ATTCACGGCGAATGATGCAAACTGCTAGGAAGATCCTTCTTCAGTGTCGCTTTCTTCCGTAGCGTCTCGGCGCTCGCTGGACCTGGATCCTGGTTGCTTGTGGATCAGGTAATTTCCATCGACTCTTTTTTTTTTTTTTGCGGCCTCGAATGTAATGTAATACTAGTACTAGTAGAGCCACAAACAGGAGTGTTCGAACGCCACTCAAGGTGCCCTTGGAAATGAACTCTATTGACCAGAACGTGAGTCTGCCCTTGACCTCCCAATGCCATCATATCACCCACCAGTCCATTGATACAACGTCCTGACAGGAAACTGGCAGGAGGATCGACTTGGCTTACCTTGACGAATGCCATGAGACGCGACAACCGACGAACTTTACAAGACCCTGGCAATAGGCATTATCAATGGTGGCCTGTGCCTGCCTGACGCCTCAGAAGCCAAGTGCTTAGATCGACCTAGTCAGCCAATCAATCTTCATTTCGAAGCAGGGACTTGGACCCTGAGAAAGACAGGAGGAGTTCCGCGCCATATATCCGTATTACAAGGGAGATTGGCAAAAGTCCTCTTCTCAGTCAGCAGAAACAGGGTGGCGGACCCTTGGTAAGAACTGCCCGGAGCGAATGTGATCGACGGGAAGAGACACGGAGCGACAAAAAAAAAATGGAAAGGCATTTCGTGATGATCATGAGACTGAAATGGACAGCTGTGGTGCTAGGTCGTCTATTCCATACGGACTTGCATTACCAACAAAGCTTGCGAGCTTGGCCAAGGCTCGGGAGCTTTGGGTTCCGTCGGCGATGCATAACACTACATCATCTAAAGCTGTGGACGTGGTAAAGGGAGGCTGGTGACTTTCACCCTGCCAAAGTCAGCTGTCTAGAAACCCGAACATATGTGCTGCGTTCAGCAACAAACATTAAACAATATGCAAGTGCTATGAGCTTTGTTTGACGCCAAGTAACGCCACAGTGGCTCATGAACGACATCAATAAATATCAGTTGCGTTTGTTACACCTGAGCTCCACTCAACTCGTCACTTGCGACAGACAGCTTTAGACAGCGCTTTAGATCTGCATCAGTTCTTATTTGTCTGACATATTTGCGTGTCATCTTGAGCTTCGCTCTGATTAACTTTTCAAACCACGATGACCCATTTGGCATCTTGCCAGATTTCCGCCGCAATACAACTTTTTGCAACCTGAACTCTTTTAGTCTCCTTCACTTGTCTACCTCGACAGGTCTGACATAACCAAGTGGCAATTACCGCGTTTGAGAACTACTTGAGAGCAACAGTAGGAAAATCTGTGTTCCATACATACGTACAGGAGCATATTATCGAGTCAGCTCAAGCCAGAGAGCGTTTAGCCGCTCTTCGACAAAATTAAACCTGTTTGCGAGGACAGAAACAGAGTTGCGTCGCGTCTACAGGCTGGCAATTTGACCTGTCTGGCTAACAAACTGAGAGTAACTGTCGACTTTCTTTAGCACGGGGATTCCGGCAGCAGCGCATTTCTTTTCTTCCGTCTAACACCAGTGAGAAGTCTGGACTGGAACCTAGACCTCCTCGGGGTGTGCACTGTTCTCATGGGCATGATACCATCTTCTTTCAACTTCACCGTCTGGTTTCAGCATATGATCCATAAACAACTCCAAGGTCATGGGATCGAGGTTATGAAGACGGCTGACATGCTGGTCCTCTTTATTTTCCCGGAGTCCAAAAAATCACTTTGGGACGAATCCATTTGAGGGAGTTGGGGCTCCTGGGCAACGGTTTATCAGATGCTACACAGTTACACAGTTGCTGAGATTCCGGGCCTTTGGCCATTGCCCAATTAGACATCAGCCTATTCCGCAAATACAGTGAAACACGAAATTACTCGCTCAGGTGACCGCCTGCTGATGTGCAGCCTGAATTCGAGCCGGCGTCGCGGACGTGTTTCAGATGCGTCCTCAATTTCTTCGGAGGTTTTTCGTCACAGGCACCTCGCTTCATCACCACCACAGCGCATTGGTTTAGAAGGAGCGGAAGCGACTCCTTGGAACGGATTACGGAGACCTCTCACATCAGTAGACCTTGAACCTTGCTCATCCACGCCACTACGGCCATGTGTTGAGGGGAGCTATCGCTACCCGGGCATGTGTCGACGAGTTGAGATGATGGGTCAGGGTTTCTTCAGATGGACTGCCGGTGCCGGTTCGCGACCTTCAGTTAGTGCTATGGATTTGCCGGCTTCGTTGGGTTGTAAGTAACCCTGGTCAGCAATCGCTAGTATGTTCTCTTTCGATTTTTTGAAGCTGTCACGAGTTGTCAGCGTCGCAGGCTCGTTGAGTCAGGTTCACACTGGCTGTGGCAGATGCCCTGTGCTCATTCTCGTTCAATGCGAAGCAGTCCACAACCACACGACAGGAGGAGTTAAAGTTGATAATCGAGACGTCTCCATCGTGCGAGTATCGCGGTTATCCAAAAGGAGCAAGGTCGGTCAAGATCTCATGTCGAATCTCATGCCATACTATCCTTGACTTAAACCCCCGTCACATGAGACGTGCAGCTCCCAAGTCCGACGATGATGTGAACCGTCTCAAACGCGTGCTAATCCCTCTACAGATTGGGAACACCTCATGTCCTTAGGACGACATTTGCTTTAGCCCTACCAAAGAGATCTCATCCTGTTTACGGATCAAAGGGGAGGGGGGGGGGGGGGGGGGGGGGGAGGGTACCATCTCAAGGTCGAGCTCAATTAGCCAACATGGACCGTGCAATCCCAAGCTCCGTCAGCACTCACGTCGTTAACGGGCGCCGTTCCGGGAAGGCTATGCGGGATGATGAGGAGGGTTGTCGGCCGGCATGCCATCCGAAAAGGCGAGATGGAGCCGAAGGACGACAGATGAGAAAGTTATGACACAATTCGGCCTACAAACTCCAGAACCGAAATGCCGAGATGCTCGCGAAGTGCTGTAGACGGTGTTCAAGCACATTATACACATCACGACGGGCTAATCGGCGTCGCCAAGGCGCATCTCATGGCAGAAGGCATCTAGCAGGGCGGCTCCGCTGCAGTCGGCCGTATATGCAGTCTTTTGCGATTACGAAGCGCCAAATATGACCAACACCGCTAAACGGCACCCAGTTGCCGTCTTGCAAGATGCCATTGACCAAACATCGTCTAGCTTGCTGTTGTATGTGGTTCGAGATGGGTCAAGTGACCTCACGACCAACTCATGAGAGGGCCACGCGTCCTGCCCCAGTTTCTGTCTTGTCCTCGGCGCCGCCGCCGTAGGTTGTCAGCGAGAGCCGGATCCCGAGTCCGCCGAGTGGTATCCACCGCCGTGCTGCCTCTTTTTTGGGAATTTTGCTCCTTCGATGCGATTCGATTCCTGGAATGGAATTCGGCGGGCGCCGAGGGCAAAAAATATGCCCAGGCTCGATAGAAGCAAGTAGCCCGTAATTTGTAGGTGTTTGCCAACCCGAGGCGATGCTTTGAATCATCCGAAAGCACTTGGATGACCTCAACACGTTTGTTCATGGCAAAGCATAATGGAAAAGCAAAAAAAGATCAAACTGCGGAGTGGCAAAAAGCATTGGACACTGTGGGAATTGAACCCACGACCTTTCACAGAGCGCATCGCTGGTGGAATCCCAACGAAGATGCGAAGCGAAAATCATACCCCTAGACCAAGCGCCCTGTAACTTGTATGAATGGAGAGGCGGAGAAGATGATCGAGAACCTAGCGAAGCGGTTCGAGGGGATGCCGAGTGAGATTCTTCGCTGGCGATGGAGCTGTTTTTGGTGGGCGACGACGGTGGGACCGCCGAGCGCGCGTTACCGGTTTGGCACACCAGTTTAGCACACATATGGTGAGAATGGAAAAAAAAAAGAAAAGGACAAGAGTGTCTTCTGTATGTTTCTCGAGAAAAAAATGCGTTGACTCTCATCGTGTCCCTCCAGACTCGCAATGGGGGGAAAAAATCAATATGGGATATCTTGGCAGGGTGCGAGATCTATATATAGAATTCGATCGCGATGTTATAACATTCTCCCCCTTCCCTTCGCTTTTCCCCATCTTGGCAAGCAGATCGTTGCAGGTGTGTGTTAGTGTCCCTGGGATAACGCGGAGAATCGTCAAGAAACAGAACTGGGACATGCAAAATAATAAAACGGAAACAGAACCCCCCTTCCCAACAGCCAAGAGCTTAAAGATAGCTTCACTTTGACGGCCGAGGTCGGTGGCATGGCGCGCGGCGCGGCGGCCAGGAGCCCTTTGTGCGAGTGCCGCGATGAGGAATGTAACCTCCCCTGGCCAGATTAGATCAGGGTTTCTGTCTCACATGGTAGATCAGGACCCTGAGAATGGGGACAGTCTTAAAAATAGGGCGGACATCGTCACTTACTCACTTTCCCTGTCGTGCATCGCCGCGGTATTGCATATCACAGGCCAAGTACGGTCTCTATCTGGAAAGATGTTGGTCTCTGGGCGGGGTGAGGTTTTGTGAGGGAGGGATGTGACTGTATGGCTCATGAAGGTGTAAGGTGCTGAGTTGGGTGTTATTTCATTTGACTGGAGAATGCGCCAAGTGAAGACTCTTGTGTAGATATGGCCGGAGCTGAAGAGTTCATTTGATGCGGGCAGCAGAAATATATGGAGGGATTGTGAGTAAAATTTAGTTGCAAGATATCATCATGGCTATCGCACACCAGTGTCGCACTTCATATTCTGCGAAAAGTATAACAGAGAAAGGCCGTTTATTTCTTTAGATATCATAAATCTTTATCTTTGTTTCATATCGTATACCCCAAATACCCTCGCCATTGTCGCTTGCTCTTAAATCCAACAGCCAAATTACAAAAGAAGATGTCCTCCCAGTCTCGTGTGATATCAGTATTCCAACTACGCCGTAGAGAAATGAAAAGACTCGTCCAGAGTCCGGAGTCATAAAAACGTAATGTATCAGAAAGTTCCTTGTCAAGAATTGAGTTCAAAGTAAAGAATCGGGCAGTTTAACGCCTTTGGAAGTACTCCCTCTCCCGCCTCCGGTCCGAAATGACGACCCTCATCCTCTCCTCCTCAGACGGCGGAGGCGGGAGCATCCTCGGGGGCGAATACCTCCTCCCCTCCACGTATCTGAAGGTCTCATATCGCGGCTCGACAGGGACCGGGACGGGGTAGGGCACACGGACAGGAACAAGCTTCTCCCGCTCGACGTACACCTCTCTCACGTCTCTCTCTCTGTCCCGGCTGCCGTGCCGCGAGTGTGAGCGGCTGCGGCTGCTGCGTGAGGACTTGCTGCTTTTGCTGCTCGGCTCAACGTCCACCGCGATAACTTCAATAGGAGCAATGGGCTCAACAACCAGCGGGGGCGGCGGCGGCGGCGGGACGGGTTTGATCTCTACGGGGGGCGGAGGAGGACACGGCAGAGCGGGAGGAGGCGGAGGCGGCGGCTTGACTTCTACCGGAGGCGGAGGTGGAGGGCATGGCTTGACAATGATGGGAGGCGGCGTTGGCTCGCGGGCGGGAATGAAAGTCGTTTTCTTTGTGCGCACAGTAACGGCGCCGTTGGTGGGAGGTTCAAGATACAGGCGCTTCTTTGCGCCGTGGTGATGGTGGTGGCGGTGGTGATGATGATACTCATAGTATTCCTTTGACGATGCTGTTTGCTCAGGTCAGTAAGAAGATTCATTTTATGACGTCAGGGGGAGAGAGGGTAAGGGGATTTTACACGTACCCATTTTGGACGCCTGGTTCGTACCAAAGGGATTTTGTTTGTGTTTCTTGGGAAACGAAATCTGAGTGCGCCAAGTGGCCTACACTGGGTGCGACTATGCGACACCGAGAGAGTGGGTGATGGGAGACTGTGTTTTGGGTTGCGGGTAGGCGCAGATTGCGTCCGTCGTGACCTGGAGGGGTCCGAATATGGGACGAGTTTCTTTGGCGGGACTGGCGAGGGGGTGCTTTGTGCGTTTGTGGAAAGTGATGGATGATGATCACTTCAGATTCGAAAAGAAAAGCCGGTGGCGATGGAGCTAAATAAGGTGGAAAGACAGGGACGGTGGGCGGGAGATGTGCTATTCATTATATAACTACGTACTTGGGGGGGGGGGGCAGGGGAGAGGTCCAATGGGTGAGTGAGGGAATGCGCCGTCAAAATGTCACTGTCACCGGCTGGCCAACACTCCACCACACCACTACCACCGCTACCACCACACCACCATTACCACCAACACCAACATCACCACCACTACCACTACCCCAAGTCGTCTCGCATAGAAAAAAGATTAACACGATAATGACCTATATTAGCGCAGCAGGCTGTGTCGGGTTAAGCTAGACCGGGACGCCCAATCTAGATGGGACATCCAGGTAGACTGGGTCGACTTGCAGCTTCTGAGTAGTTAGCAAGCATCGCATCGCGAGAGGCTCAGTAGTACCGGCAGCGGGAAGCCCGACCGGAGGGATGCACGAAAGAGGGGACGATGGACCACATGCAAGAAACACAGCCTGTTCTATGGATCCTGGGTACATTCTAGTCAAAGACTCCCCCGCGAATGGGAAGCGAAGCCAGCGAGAAAATAATGACATTTCCTTTTTAGCAGAACAACAAAAACGCTATGAGCTTTCATCCTCGTCACCCAACCATACCAGGGCATCCCGTCCTTCCCTTCCGCTTATCCTCCTCCATCTTCTTACCTGAGCGAGACCCTTCCCTTCCCCTTCCACCCTCTTCGGTTCCTTTGGGTGGTCGACCAGCGCCCGCGATTGGGCAATTGAGGCCTTATGACGCCAGTAGGCACGTCACGCCAAAATCAAGATTCGGGCCTCGTGCCCTTCCTCAAGGAGGGGCCCTGCCCCCTAGCTTCTCCGGCTGACGTCCCCCGGTCTCGATTGCTTCCGGCCCAGTTACTCGTCGAGCGCCCGCCCTGCGTCCTGCCTGCTTAATGCGTGCTGTCCGTCACTACTGTCAGCGCCGCAGAAATCAAGGTTGTTGCAACCTCATCCCACGGCTTGCTCACTGACCTGCCGCCCGCCTGCTGGCGGGGGAGGGATCGCACCGCACCGCCATTTCGCCAGATGCGCTCGGCCGCCAAAGTTGGGGGACCCCTGATCGTGGGGTTACAGGGCTGAGCTTGTCAGATTGGGTGCGCTGGCAGCTCCATCGTCGTCCCAACCATCTCCTACGCAGTAGCGCCGTTGCCCAATTGGGGTTCTGTAGCCTGCGGCGTTGGGCAAGAAAAGAGAGAGAACAACTCCCAAGTCTTGCTTTTCCACGAGATTTTGGAGGCCGGCTCAACACTGGTTGGGCGCTCTACTCAATGCCAAGGCGATAGGCGGCCACGATCTCATCTGACGATCGTGTGTTTGGCTGCATGGGCCTGAATCTTGTCCCGGCTAAAGACCCGGCCATGCATTCGAGGCCCAACCTTTAGCTGCCGTTTTTTCTTCCCTGCCCCGGCCAAATCTAGGCCTGTCTGCCTATGCGCAGAGTCCCTGTTACATCCTTGGATGAGGACGCCCTGAACCATCTTGATGCTATCCAAGCCAGCTGGCCGCCGTCCGACCAGAGCCTGATGGTGTTATCCCATCGCCGCAGCTAGCGCCGCCGCGAGGCGCGTTCAGGATCCGCCGACTTCAGCGTTGATGCTGGCGCATCCCTAGTTGTGTGTCAAGCCGCCTCACAAAGGCCTGTTTGCCTGACGGTGGCCGTGTGTACACAGCTAACGGTCGGGGGAGCACGGCCGTCGCATCATGGTGATCTGGCTTTTCTGTGATGTCCGTGTGGGGAGACAACCTTGACCCGAAGTTGTCCTCGCCTCGCACTTTGCTGGCCATCCAGTTGAACAGGTGGCCCAGCTCTCCCATCCACCACAGCCCGAGTATAATGACCAAAATTGTGACGGGTATCGCGGATGCCCAGTAAATCCATTGCCCCGCCTCCATATCCCGTATATCGCTCGTGTTCATCCCGAAGATACTTGAAACGGCGCTTAGGGGCAGGAAAATGATGGTGACAATGGTGAAGGCGTAAATTGCTTGTTCCTGTCGGTCCTTCGTCACTGCTGCGTTGTTTAGGTTCTAGGCTCTAGTCAGCAATCTCGTCCAAGTGCCCAACACATGTTGGCATGTTAGACTTACAGTTTGCTCAAGCACGTCGGCTTGCTCAGCATATTCGTCAAAATCCCTCGTTCGCCGCTCCAGTAACTGGGTACATTCAGCGGCGAGGAGATCCCTGAAGCCGGCAGAGTCCGTGGACGGGAGTTTGTAAAAGTCCGATACTTCGGCGATTGAGTCCAGAAGAAGGTTTCCCTCTTCGTCGTCCGCATATCTGTTCCTTGCCATGCGTAAATGAGACCGCAGGCCGTCCTGGAAGTTGGCTCGTCCGTCTGCTCGGTTAAAATGGCTGCGGTTCAGACGGCGAGTTTTTGGTATTGTAGATAAACCCTGGTCTCTTGAGGCTAGGATAGAGTTGAAAACAAAGTTTTGCGCTGCTATCGTGCGGTTTATCACAGTTACCTCCTGTCGCAGAAAGTTTATTCGCTGTTGGTAGGACGCATCCGACGCCCCATTCGCAATATCGTTTTCCTGCGGATGGTCAGCAGTTGAAACGACGGCAATCAACTCAAAAACAAGCTTACCAAAGCCTTAAGATACTCTGAGTATGTATCGCTAATGCCTGCGAATCTTCCGGAGGTGTTGGAAAGGAGATCATAGCTGATCAGCGACACAATCTCCAACGGAAGGACAGAAGACCTTTCCAGGAGTTTGAGATTTGACAGGTTCTCCATAATGTGCTTTATACCACTCTTGACGAGGGAATCGGCTACGTCGAGGTGGTCCTCCCACATGTGCGTATCATGACTGGCATAGACCAGGCTAATGACCAGATGCAACCAGGCACGGATCAGGTCCACGGGTACGTCGATCTCGAGGCGATCCGTTGGCTCAGCGTAAGACAATATTCCCTTCAAGGCCATGATGGGAAGGGCTAGCTGACGAAGGGCTTTCCGAATTGATGGTGCATTGGCAAAGACTGCCTCGCGCCGCCTCTTGTCAAGCGCATGTGGATGACTTTCGGTTTCCATGTCATCAGATAAGGATACCTGAAGCATGTTAGCGACGTGGCGGGATTAGTAGCAGCTTCGAAGCTGAACTTACCCAGACTAGGTTCATGATAGCTCCCCAAAATCTGTCCGTTGTCGGCCCATCAAAAAGGGGAGGCAAGAAAAATCTGAATAGCGAATCCGCCGCATTGAAGATGTCGACGCGCTCTTCGTAATCTTGTTTCTTCCATGGCTTGTTCTTCACATCTTGAAGAGCTAGTCCTTGCTGTTCCAGATATGCGTAGACCGTATCCCGTGTTGACACCTCGGCGTCCAAGTAAGCACGGCGGTCTGGCCCATTTGTCTCTGCTGTTAGGAAATCTTCCACGTCTGAAAGCTGCTTTTGGAGGGCGATAAAATTGGGTCCATCGGTTGGACTCGTAGAATGAGGGCCGGCCCAGCTGAAGACGTGAAACTTTTCGTGAGCCTTACCATGCCCTGGGGGGTAACTCAAGTGCTTTCCCGGCAAAAGGGGAGCTGGCTGAAGCACAACCCCAGGCTGAGATCCAGAACTGCCCACGGCGTGTCCAATCGGTTTCAAAATGCCGCTGGGCGGGAGTTGAGGTGGAGGACTGGGTTGCGTTAGATACTCCTGTTCGTCGTTCGGGCTGGGTAAACTTACCAAGTTTCCATTGTAATGACAACATTTCTGCGTGACGTCTTGGCGAACTGCATAACCTTCCACCATCGGCTTTCCGTGAGCAGGCGACCGTTGAATTGAAAGCGCACTGTTTTGGGCCAGAAGTCCGAGAAGTGAGCAATAAAGGCGAACCAAGTCTGACACTCCGCAAGTGGGAAGGACCACATCACCGAATCCCCGTATTGAATGAGAATTCTCTTGGAATCCGCTCCCAAGGTAGGATCTCTGGCAGGCTCCGACACAAGGCTGACGGTTTCGCCGCGTAGCGTTGCCTCAGACATGGAACCACAGGTGATGAGAAGTGAGTTGTCGAGGACAATGCACCACAGCTGGCGAATATGAAAGCAGAAATTCTTGTCTCCATTACCAATCTGCCGCGTCGCCTGTTGCATGTCCCGCTTCTGAGAGTTTCGTGAGAAGGACGACTGAAGAAGCGTTTGGGGTGGATAAGCTCCTGGGTTCCCGGTCGCCTGGATTCCGGAGTATTCCTCAAGCGAGAAATAAGGGATACAGAGCCATGTGACCGATCGACTGCCTGTCTGCGACCCTTTCGTCGTCTCTCTGTCCTGGAGAGGAAGCTGGAGGTAGCCAGGCTCCATATGCTTCACAGTTGTATCTCTAGAGGTCCGAACAGTCTTCGAGTAATCTTTTCTTACATCGGAAAGAAGCTTTCGGATGTCGTTCTGCTCGCTTTCTGATAGGCAACGTGAAATTTCATTCTGGAGGGCCGTCAACTCGAATTTACTTTAAATGAAAGGAGAGGAAGGAAGAACGTACTGTGAGTTCATCGAAGTTCATCATGTCTTGTTGCACGTGCCTGGAAAGCAATTAGCATTGAAAGAGCGAGCTTGGTATTATACTCACAGCCATCTAAACAAGGACTGTCTCCGACGCCTCGCATCGTAAACGATTTCTAGAGCTGCGGAATGTGAACCGCCCAGGACACCCTGCCCAGTATACCGTGATTCATAAACATAAAACGCTCTGCTGAGTGGCGGATCTTCTCCTCTCAAGGTATTGTCGTCGGAGAATGGCATCTCCAGATCAGATTCATCATCATCATCTCTTGTCGGATCGGCTGACGGTCGAGCAGGATCAAAGGCGTACACCTTGCCTGTGGTATCTTCAATATCAACCCAGTCATCGGCCTCATGAACGGGAGTGAGATACTCCCGGTTCATAAACTCAGGCGGCATCGGAAACCCATCCAAGTTTAGGCTCTGGTCGTCTTCTTCAGCATCCTCGTAAACGGAGAGTGGCGATGGTTCCTGCGAGGGCGGCTGAGGTATTTCCTCCTCTTCTGGTACCGCATAAGGAAGAATAGGAGTCTGCTGTCGTGATGAGTCGTACGTAACAGGCGGTGCCATAGGCGTCTTCGGTCGCCACCTGAGTGCAGTGGTCTCAAGAGGCGATGCAAAACGGACCATAGGTTGAAGTAACGACCGGTTCGACCGCCGCCGTCCAGGAGCCCGCGGTGGTGGCGTTGGTGGGACTGGGAGATATATGTCATCCTGTTTCCGGAAGTCCTCGATCAGTTGCACAAGGTTCGCACCCCTGCTGTACTGACTCCGAAGGCTTTGCGTTGATGTTCTTGGTGGGAAGAGTGAATGGCCTCGGCGGCGTTGTTCTCTATGAGGTTCATACATTTTTAGGGTAAATACGCACTGTGTCCTGTGCGGGAGTGTGGTGTTTCCGATACAGTGTGGTCGTTCAGATGTCGTTGTAAGTGCTCGCCAACGTTCTTAGTTGGTCGATTATTCGTCGTTCTTGTTCAAACAGCAAGCAGATTCCAATAGTTTCAATATTCGAACGCCTCAATTTCCAGATCGGGGAGTTTCAGAATAGTTTGTAACCTCTTAAGTAAGAAAATGCCTGCAATAATGCTTCCCCCAATGTCACCCAGCCAACTTGGCCAGCCACCGAGTTCACGTTGAGGTCGCAATCAAGTGGCAGGGCCGGCACTAACAGAAGGCCTAGTGACCATGCGCACCATCCGAGCGCTGTGGCTCCAGGCACACAGGATGACTAGCGCACGTTAGCGACCCCTTCCCCGCCACTTTCAGCGGTTGACACGGGAGGCCCCAGCAGGCGTCGGCGCCGAGCCCAGCCACTGGAACATTAAATCGGCGCTTGCTGGTGGCCTTTGATGGGGGTGTACCTGCATCGTTAGATTAACGACAAGACGAGTTCTTCCATCTCGACATGGCCTCCCTGAGGCGTTCACAGTAGTCACAATTCATCAAAAGATAATAAAAGTAGCACACACTCGGACCTCGTTCAATTCCCATCCTAATCGAGTGTCTGATAAAGACAACAGAGGTTCGTGATCCCTGCACTCCGAGTTCAACGTAATCAAGGCAAGGAAAGATCTCTTCCCATCCTAAAACCAAATCCCAATGGTATCTCATCTGACCAACTAATGAAAGGGGGAAAAAACAAGAAAAGAAAATAATGAAAAAAACGAGGACGCAAATATTGCGAGGACTCGTTCCCATCCATCCATGTCTTAGAATATAGGCCAGCGAGGTCTGATAGGTGACTTGGTCGGCCGAGAAATTCAAAGCAAAACCTCCGTATCAAGAGCAAATAGAATAGGAAGTAACCCAGGCATGTAGTACGTATCCATCAGTGTCCCAGATCCTTGCGTCAAGGGGCCATCAGAATTTGTGATCAGTTGGTTGACGTTGAGGAACCAATCCATACAACCTATGAGAGTCCAACTTGCTATTGTTGCATCGGAGGGACATCGTTTGTCCCTAGACAGAAGAGAAAAAGAAGGGAGGAAAACAGAAAGAAAAGATGAAGCTCTTATACTGCCAAAGCCGTCTGATTTCGTGCTGCGCAAAGTTTGAAGGTCCTCGTCGCGTTCCTTATAATTAGCAGTCGAGGTGAATGATCGATGTGGTTTGATCCGTGATCGAGGTGACCCCAAGTTCAAGGCGTCTTCAGAAGTCCCGCACATTAGCATCTCTCATACGTCGAGTCATCTCATCAACTGAAGCACCGTAGAAAGGAGGTGCACCAGAAGAAGGACCAGGGGCACTAAGATTCTGCGGTTCAGTCTGTTCTTCGCCGTGCTCCTCTTCGATCCAATTGCCCTTTGTGTCGAAGATCTGCGCGTACTCATTGAGAAGGCCCTCATCGTAGAAGGCCCTCATGTCCTCCCGCCAGGGAAACGGCAGGTTGGACCAAAAACCCGAAATATGATCTTTGTACGCAGGCTGACGGCGGATGAAAGGGAGGATGGCCACGAATAGCTTTGCAAGATACGCCTTCATCTCTCTCATCTCGTCAGGGTGGCTCGCCTCCTGGTACAGGCATATGTAGGCCATGCGAAAAGGAATTTCGAGGTTCTCCACGGACCCGGGTTTAGAAAACTTGAAGTGATAGAAGCGACCAGACAGAAGAGGGCCATAGTAATCTGAGGCCTCCTTGATGTTGCTCAGCACGTGATTGACCGCCGACTTGATCTCAAGAGACGCAGCAGAGCGATAGGTCATGACATTGAAGAGGACAAAACGCAAGTCCCATTTCTTCTCGCGGTTGACGTTCAAACCGGGCATAACTAAAGGTGGAATTGGACATCAGAAAAAATAAATTTCAAAGGGAAACTGTCGTCTGTGTGAATACTCACCATCCGTGTAAAGGAATGTGCAGATTGGGCCCATCATGTTTGAAGTCCAATCCGGCAGGTGGAAAGTAGTCATGCCATTCTTTCATGAAACAAGTTAGATTAAACTGAATGACAATAGGTCGAGAACAGGATTGCCTACCTTGTCGGCTGGAGGAAGTCGGTCTGCCATCCACTTAGACTCAGCAACGATAATGTCTCGATGGACCTTAATGCTCGTACGGTCCTTTCCCAGGATTATAGTAAGATCGTGGCCATGCTTGGCTCCAAAGAGTCTGCAAACATTAGCGATCGTTGGTTTCATCTCTTCGAAAGTTATAACACCTACTTGCGGCGACGGTCTCTTTCCAGCGCCTTTTTATCGGCCTCTTCCTTCTTCTGATCAGCGGCAGCTGCAGTTGCCGCCTCAGCCTCGGTAGAAGAGACGTCGGATTCTTCAACAGAAGAGTTGAGGGCGATCCCCTTGCCCTTACTGTCCTTCTTCTTCTGCTTCTTCGTCTTCTTCTTCTTCCTCTTGCTCTTCTGCTTCTGCGTATCCTCGGTGGCCGAGGATGGGGCCGCAAAAGAAGAGCCGGCTGGAGATTCAATAGCCTCTGCGGCTGTTGCGGCGGCGGCGGCCTTTGCCGCCTGCTTCTCCATTCTCTTCGTATTCGCCATTTCGTCGATGGCGATGGTGGTGGTGGTGATGGAGGCGGGAGTGGAGGAGTTGATGGTGTTGGCGATATCTGAAGCCTCCCCTTTGGGGAAAGAAGTAGTGGTAGCGACGAGTTCTTCAGTTTGTGAAGAAGCTGGAAGGGGTGAAAGGGCTGAGCCAGGATCAGATTCTGCGCGTGAGGTCGTCATGTCAGTAAAGGCGGAATGCGCGCTCTGAACAATCTCATGGTCAACGAGAACGCCAGAGTGAGCAGCCGCAAGAGCAGCTGCAGGTGTAAGAATAGTTGGGACAGAAGAGGGAGTAGAAGGTGATTCGTTGTTGATATCTTCACGTAAAGGATTAGGTTTCATGCCCGTGGCGACCTTGGCCCAGGAAGACATCGTGACAGAGGCAAGAACGGATAATCGGGAGTGAATAAGGTTGTAGAAAGCAAAGATATTGAGCTTTCTGAAATAAAGAAGAAGATATTAAATCAAAGTATGTGCAAAGAGTCAACGGTGATAAAAGAAAACTCTTGCAACGCGACAGAATAGAACGATGGTGTGTGGATGAAGGGTTGCGCAAAAATAGAAGGAAGACGGGCAAGGGCGAAGTAGCAAACTTCACAAAATAACTACCTGCCGAAAAGAAAATAAAAGGTACGATAGGTTGATTTTTGAGAGCTGAGTCCCATGTAAGCAGTTGAGAAACAGCCTGTGTAGCGGTACTGTTTACATTGCGCGAGGTTTATTTTTTATTTTCAATCATGCCTAAGACGCCTTCTAAAGTAGAAGGAAAGAACGTAACGCTATTATAAGATCGTTCTTGCTTTCAAGAGCTGGAACTTGTATTTTGCAGTATTTGATATCAAACACAATGTGTGGACTCCCTCGGTTTGACCCTGTATTGCTTTAAAGCCGGTGTTTAAACACTTCAACAGCCTCCTTTAGTAGTGAGGTTGACTCTTCAACGTGACGCTATCGCTACTATGCGCTTAAAGTCTGTCACAATGTTGTCGTTGAAGTTGAGCATGTAAACTCTTTTGCATTACCAAGGCTACCTCGCTGACTAGGCTTAATGGCTACTTAATTTAGGGAACAAGTCCACAAGATTTGGAGCAAGTGGAGGCAAGTGCTGCTTGGCCATGGTTCATATGTTAAATAATTCATCATTCACGGTTTTTTTCTTTCTTACTGACCACAAACACACAAATGGCTTGCATCTTTGTCCTTCCGGAGCCCAGCAGCATGCTATTGGGGCAGGTTAGCTTTGTAGGATATCATGTGTAATGTTTTTCAAAGAGAAATAAGAAAGAGCCACAAGTACAACACACCCCTGGCATATCCTTTTGGTCGCCCTCTCTACCTCGCTTCATAACCATGACTTAACCTGCAGACTGAACCACACTAAATCAAAGCCAAGTTTGTTCAGCTACAAGGGCTATCTATCTACGAATATGACAAAGTGCTGGTGGGAGCTATCCACACTGAGTTAACGGTGCATTTCGGATACCCTGAATTCATCACAGAAAAAAAACCTTCTCATTTTCTGCCATGTGTTGAGGTTGAATTATGTGATTATCAACCATAAGAGGTTGCTACATGTGATGTTGTCAGCAGTCTTACATAAGCGGCATCAAGAGGAAAGCCCAAAAAGTCCGGCCGTTGGCAAGTTGTGTGAATTATCTGGGGCATAGGCGATATAAGGTGAAAACACATCCCAGCCGAAACTAGTCATGCAAATTGCCTGTTCAGTGAAGCGATCGGATCCACATATCAACCGATACTTACGGATTGGATAACTGTCACCAGTTCAGGCGGGTGCTTTGCAGGGCTGTAGGTACTGACTCCACAAGAGCGGCTCGAGCGCAGCCGGCGCCTAACGGACGTGATGCTAATCCTCTCACGAACTTGATTGCACTCTATAATCATTTCAGCACAGGCTTACAAATAAGGGCCGATATGAGGTTTAGAGTTCAAATGCGCTAGGTGGACTTGCCTGATGGCACAGCGCTCGCGATTGGGACGGCCGGGCGAAATCCGTTAACGTCACTATTCCACCTCAAGATGACACCTCGTCTGGACCCCCATCCTTCACGGACATCACAAGTGAGCCGAACTGCGCTCTTATGTAGTCAACTCCACCGTCCCCGTCTGAAATCGGACTCAAGAACCGGCCCGAGAAACGTTGACGCCTTCCCGATTCCCTTTAATAATGGCTGCTTGCCCTTCGCAATTCTAGAACTTCTGGCGGTACAGTTCAATAATTAAATCATTATTATCAACTTTTCTTGCTCTGGTTTACCATTCTCAAAGAAACCAAGACTCGGCCTTTCAAAATGAGCTCTTCAACCGGCACCAACAGAGCTCTCTGGCTCGCATCTTACTCCGAGCCTGCTGAAGTCATCGACCTCCCTATTCCAGAGGCCCCTACGGGCACGGTTGTCGTAAAGATCCTGGCGGCACCCATTGTCCCTTATACCCATCTCGTTCACTCTGGAAAGCTTGAGGCAATCAACCTGCCGCCTCCTTATGTCCCTAATCCCAATGCCGTCGGCCGTGTTCATGCAGTGGGCCCCGACGCTGTCAAGCTCAAAGAGGGCGACCTCGTTTACGTGGATGCTACCACTCGCGGTCGCGATGATCCGGGCAAGATGATCATGATCGGTCATATTGGTGGCCATGGTAACGAGGGAAAAAAGCTCACCCAGGAATGGCGTGACGGTTCGCTGCAGCAGTACCAGAAAGTGCCGCTCGAAAACGTCTACCTTTTGGATGAGAAGCGCCTTTTTGGCGACCTGGGCTATGATCCTGCCGTCCTGCAGTCTATTGCACACTACTCGGTCGCTGCGGGTGCGCTTCTTGAGGCGGCTGACGTGAAGGTCGCCGAAACAGTCGTCATCGGCCCCTCAGGTGGCTCCTTTGGTGGTCTGGCTGTTGAAATCGCTCTCACTGCTGGTGCCAACGTCATTGCTCTTGGAAGAAGTGAGAATAAGCTCGCGGCTATGCGCAAGAAGCTTAATGATCACCCCCGCCTCAAGACGGTTGTTATGACTGGTGATGACGAGGTCGATGCCGCCGCCATCTTTCAAGCGACCCCCAACGGCGCCGGAGCCGAAGTATACAACGACTGGACCCCCGGCGAGCTCAAGAACCCGCCTTACCTTGGTGCTGCCCTGCGTGTGCTGAAGCGTGAGGGAAGAATAGTTCTAAGTGGCGGTGCTAGCGAAACCCTGACGATCCCTTACGCGCCCTTTTCCATCAGGAACCTGAAGTTGGTAGGCAAGTGGATGTGCGAGCGCCGGACACTGGAACAGTTGATTAGAATGATTGAGGGTGGCCAATTGCGCATCGGAAAGGAGAGTGGCAGCGAGCTAGCGGTATTCTCTTTGGACCAGCACCACGAAGCTATCGAGCATGCAAGAGTCAATGGTGGTTGGAGGAACTACACCGTCATCGCGCCCAACTCTTGGTAAACGGCTCAGTATGAAATGATGAAGTAAGTACGTTATGGTACATGCTCTAAGTTAGACGAGGCGAAAATGTATAAAGGTTCACATGAGTTCTTGAGATGATTCCAATAAACTGGAAGGACCAGGAGAATACGAAGACTTTAATCAAGCATGATATCATGAAATACGCAAAAGGCTTTGCCAATGATACTTATTCAATCGCGTCACTTTGCCAGATCGTTATCAAAGAGTTTACTTTGTTTTGGGGCGTTATTTACATAACTTTCACCAGACAAAATTTTCTGGTCTTTTTCGCGGCAGCGACAATATTCACCAGCAAGTCTGTACTGCATTGTTGTAGTCTGAATTGGCTAGCTGCTGGTGTCATCTGTTTGTTAGGTACTGACCCTCTTTTCTTTTCTTTTTTTTCTCTCTTTGGTTTTTGTAAGTACACTGGTTGTGAAGGAAGGGCAGGAGGGCAGGTACGTATTAGCCAACCCTGGCCGGTTAAAAGCTTACTGTATTTACCGATTGAGAATCTAATAGTTTGCCTGAAATGGAAAGAAGAAGCAGGGCATGTCTAAAACAGCTCGGCTGGCTGACGTGCAGATATTACTTAGTGGCTGATTTGAGGCTCGCAAACACTGAATGCAGTTGACGAAAAATTCGCGGTAGGTACCTCGAGATTATTGCCTCATGAGCAATTATCACACCTTGGGTCTGCTTCTTTTGATATGTATGTGCAATATTTTACCATCAGTATCCTTGCTTAAGGATAACGAGCTTTGTCCCTTGGTACTGTCAGTATTCAACCATCACTTTCAACAATGATCACTCTGGTCGGTGGCTAATACAGCGTTGTTCACCCGAACTGAAGGCCCGTGCACTGTGTCCCTTCCCCGGACACTAACATCGCTCCCGTCGTCCACTACTGCGATCCCTGCTCACCACATGGCGGGGGGCGCTTGCCAACGTGATGCACTCTGCACCGATTTGTTTGACCGGTGTGCTTCCTGCCCAGTTCCTTTCATCGACCCAGATCTGCACCAATCAATCTGAGAAACAGACAGTTGGCGACACCTTCCAGCCTGAGGCCCCCAGATTTGAAATTCACTTTCATCTCATCCTCGCCATCGACTTCATTTCACGTCGACCTCCCCCAGGAAGGCAGGAGACGCTGCCGCCTTCCCAATCTGAGCGGAGGGACTTCTGACACACTTCCTGCCACTGGGCGCTACAACCACAACACGATCACTCTTTGTTTTCTGCACCAGACGCGCTTCCTCTCCACCATCACTGTGACGAAACCTCGTTATCACATCATAATCAGATTGTTTTTGCGCCTTTTCATGCATCTGTTACAGAACATCATTCTCACGGTAAATTTGGTAGAGAGTACGTGATATCTCCAAGTCATCCAGGTAAGCAGTCCTTCTCATCCCTAACTTGTCGGATTTTCTCTCATTTCACTCAGGTATCCTTGCTTCATCATGGCTGACCGTTCGGTCATCGATCCGCTGGCTGCTGCGACCGAGACGCTGATGGCGGCCGTTCAGGGTTACGTCCGCGCAGCCGTTGCTTCTGGGGTGGCTAACAGTCAGTCTCAACTCACCGTTGCCCAAGTCGACCCCCTTCAGGTTCTCTCCGATGCCGCTGTCCAGGAGAACAGAGGTTTGAAGGAGAAGAGCAAGAAGATTGAGAGTAATAAGGGTATGCGAGCCCAACATGGCATGTTTCACCCTGATATTTATGCTGCTCCATCCATGCTAATTTGTTCAATAGAGCAAGACAAGAAAATTGACTCCTCCAAAGCCCTTCTTACCCCATACCCCGGCTCTGGCATTGATACCTATGGTCATAAACACCCTCGCCATTCATTCCCCAAAGCCGAGTTTCATCTCTTCAAGAAGCTTCCGCTCGAGCTTCGCATGAAGATTTGGAAGTTCGCCCTACCAGGTGGAAGAATTTTCGAGTTATCCGGTCCTGATGTGCACTTTCATCGCCTCATGCGTGTCACTCAACCGGACCCTTCACAAAACAACCCTGTTGTCAACACCCGCATTGCATCCGGCCTTCCCGACATGGCCATCACCGCTCATAAGACGCCTAAGCTTCGTCTAGCCTGCAAAGAAGCGAACACGGCCTTTCTCGAGACCGGGCGCTTCGAGTTCGGCCTGTTTGGCAGCCACTACAAGGGTGTGTGGTTCAACCACTCGGAGGATATCCTCTATCTACGTGCGGAACCTACGAGCTGGATTAACATCGACATGTCACGTATCGTCCGCGTCGCCCTCCCTCATACCAAGCTCATGAACAAGGACAATTGCAACGCCAAGATAGATGTTATTCTCAACTACTTTACCTCTTGCCGCGAGATCATCATGCTGCAAGCTGTGGACTGGGAATACCGCTCATGTCTTCCCCATCCCCGCATGCCACCTAAGTTGTACACACTGAAAGACGATGATATTGTCAGCGTTCATGATTACCCCATGGAGATGTCGACAGAGATAGGAAATGTTGCTCACTGGAAGGACGTCAAGCGCATCGTCGAGCAGTTGTGGAAGGAACACGTGATTCAGGCCAGGGGCCTCAGTGAGAGCAGAATTCCCAAGTTTGCAGGTATGGAGATGTTGAGAGCCAGACCCGGTCTCTTTGACTAGGTACCACTAATATGGGTGCGAACTTCTCAACAGTAATGCGGGTTCTTCGCGACATTGGCATGCATCATGATCAGGCAAGCATCAGGACGCGGCGTGTTGGATTCGGATAGTTTATGGCATGAGGTTTGGCACGGTTACAGGATCAGACATTTTACTTTCTTACTCATTTCCTATGGTATTTCGCTGTGCCGAACGAGGCTAGGAGGGAACGCAAAGGCGTTTGGTATACTTTTCTTTGGCGTTCTGGAGGCTGTGATAGCTGCGATCCAGTAAGAGTCTCCTTCTTTGTCGTCAACCTACAGGTGGAAGGGCAAGCATTGAGACCATACCAGATTGTCATTACTGATGGTCTGTCCCAAGACACACATACAGAGACTAGATATAAAAGCTGCTCAAGCACACAAGTTGCATCTCATGACGTTCGTTGCCAATTTATCCCGGAAGCCGACCATCAGTTGCCGAAAATATCTCGGGTTGAAGGAGATTTAAGCTACATTGTATTTGCCCCCCTCAGTTTGTCACTAATTTGCCTAGGCTGTAAATATGATAATCTCCAACGTGCCGTCTTGGCCTTTCACGAATTCTCATTTCCGAAAAACTTCTACGGCTTCCAAGGCGAAGGGACCTTTACTTTCCCATTTGCTTTTGTTTCCACTCACATGTTGTCGCCCTTGTTCCAAAAGATTCTGAAGGACTTGCTTAACCTCGCCCCAGGTAATCGGCGCGCCCTCAGCCCCCTCTGGATAATCTTGATTATCGTACTCGTTGATTCCCACAATGTCTTGATCTCGTATTCGCCGGAAGGTTGGCTTCGTCATCTCCAGTATCCTGGAAAGTATCTCAGGTCTCATTGGATACTTTGGCCACATTGCAACAACGAGTCGCTGGCATAAATGAAGCCCATGGTCATAGATCAAGACGTCAACGCAATCTCCGCTCAAAGCCATGTCCATAGATGTATAGATGTTTTTAATGCCGTCCAAGCAGTTGCTTCCCAACTGATCCTGACAGGAGTAATATATAGCGTCGACGTCGTTGTTGTACCAAAGGCCTCTAACGTGGGAGTTTTCGAAGTACCCAAACCTGAATTTACCTGCTGACATGCATATGTTGTATGCTTCTCGGCAAGACTCTCTCATCTCTGGCGGTGCCCATTCTTCAAAAAATTTAGTTGGTTTTAGATCGGCATCGATGCCTCTCAGGTGGGGTTCGTAAACTCGGGGAGGAGGGAGAGAGGCCCGCCAGATTGCGCATCGAATTTCAGCAGGTAGCTTTCCGAAACGAGATAACGATGTCGCGGGGACCTCGAGGTCTTCAATGCCTGCTAATACTAACATTAGAGAGATCCAGATCAGCAAGTATAGAGGGAAGGCTAACCTTGTGTAGATTCTACATCTGTTTTGGTTGATGAATGACCAGTTAACCAAGACGCCGCCTTTCGAATTCTGGCCATTAGGCCATCTGTATTCTCCTTCAAGAAATCGGCTTGCTGAAGAACAAAATTCCTTTTGGGGGCCATGTTTGGTTCTGATATGGTTTAGTGGATCGTTGTGAGAGTGAAAAGGAAAATGAGGTGGCAAGTATGGGGCTCTTCTCCAGTTAGTAGTTGGAAGGCAAAGAAGATTGCAGGTGGGCGACCAACCTGGGAGGGTGAGAAAGGCTTCACCTGCCACGGAAACGGAAGGTACGAATATGACCTTCCCGCTTGATGTATCTCATCACGCATGTATTTCAAGGTTGTTGAAGAGCATTCATCCGTAATGTGTCATTTGAGAGAGTCTCATAAAATTATATCAGCGTCATAGTTGCTGCAACAGTGAGCCATCTATTTATCACGCCAATATTGATTGAAATACATTTAGTGCTTAAAGGCTTGCGCAGGCGCTTCAACCTTCGAAGTACAGTTCCTCACAATTTCTCCTGTGAAGCTGGTTGCTCATCAAGACTGCGGTTTACAAACCTTGCCATCTTCTCACATCATGACACTTAAGACAAAGAAGCCTTCAGAAACGGAAAGGTGCTGAGATAAGCATTACATCCCAAATAGAATCCAGAATCCGACCATTTGGCGCAAAACAAGTCAGCGTAACACTTATTATAAGATCAAAGTACGTTTTTTCCAAATTAATTCAATAATGGCAGTTTTGTTCAGAGGTGATGATCTGAAACTATGCAGTATCTCGACCGAGCTCTCCTACATCGATTTACTTACAGGCATCGCAAGCATATGTCATGGGAATGTTTTCTGACCCTCCTATGTCAACTTTATGTATGTTTACATTATATTTATTAAATTTTATAACATTCCTACTCTTTCCTTTTGAAAAAACAAAAATCCTAGACAACTTACTTTACATCTACCTAGCATTATCATACTGCTAGTTTGCTAGATATACATATTTTGACACTTATGTATAAAAAAGAAAAAGCTGCAGGCTGTTTTTGAGACGGGTTTACTATTGCACCATGTTGAGCCCGGCAAGGCAGCCTCGTGTAAAGTGATTTTAGCAGAGGCAAAGGGTGAAGCAAAGAATGCAATATACAGCCGACTTGAGCGCAGCGGATATGAATTCCAGAAATCATTTTAAGACGTTCAAGTCATATCAAAACGGGAAAATATTAGTGAGTTACCTGTTGCGATAGTTGGAATACGGAGTCGTGTGGCACTTCCAGCCACACGCCCGCCAGGCTGAGAGGCCTAAGCCTCCCAGACCCACGTGACAGGCCAAGGGGGAATATCCCCACCTTCTAGTCAACAACACCACTTTCAACTATAATGAACCATCGATTAGAACCAATTTACTGTTATTTGTTATTGACGAACGGAATTCCGTTTCACCCCCTGTGAAACCTACATTACCAAAGACATTCCGAGTAGCCGAGAACACCACCCCTAGCTTAGTAAAAATTGCGGCCAGAAGCTGTCGGGTGGACGCCGCGAGTAAGAACCTTTCCAACCAGTCATTGTTCTTCTGGGCTCTGCGTCATCTTCCAGTATTTATCACTTTGGGAAACGAATGGTATTAAAGATATGGTGCGGAAGGCCCAGATGGGTAGGCTGAAGTTGGCATCAAATACTTATTCGCTTCCTGTGTTTTATATTATGGGTAGCCTGGAACCCATTAACCCTTTTTTTTGGCCGTATCTAGACTTTCAAGCATAAAGGTAGATTTGAGACACAGCGATGACACAGGTACTAGTGAAATGGCAGTTCCACACGTAATCCACACGTGACGGCGTTTAACCCCGAACAAGTTTTTTTACAAGTCTTTCTCTAATTTGATCGTCTTCAGCTTCAAATTACAAGAAAGCTCATCGAGTAATCTTTCTTTTTGGTTCAGTCACCGCTAGCGTCGAGAAAAGTAGACGAGGACCGAGACGGAGACGCGTAGAGACGTCAAGTCTGTTTCTACATATGCTACCAAGCGCCTCGTCGTGATAAAGCATCCACAGGTCTATTTCACTCGATTGTACCTCAGTATATACCAGGTCATCAGTCATCAAACTGTTGTAAAAGGTCTCTTGCCACAGGTCTCTTCAAGTCGTCTGGGTATGTGTAGATTTTGATATGGACACCCCGCCGAATGCCAGATGTGTTCGCCAAAGATAAACAAACACACAACTGTTGAATTGGCAGCGTCATCAGAAATAAAAAGTCACCCGAAGATACTCCGCAATGAGTTCGAAATGTCTGTTTCGAAACGTTGGAAGCTCGTTGCCAAGACACAACTGTTCTTGTGGGCGATGGCTTCTGGACGAATATCCAGAACCCTGCAAGAACCCCGTATGTCCCAGAATGGGTTAACATTATTGATCAACCCAGAAGTGCTACGTGATGCCAAAACGCAGCAGGACTAGGCTTCCATCACCTACTTCCACCGATTACAAAGAGCCCATGAGCGAAGCATTCAGAGGCAAAGGAGAGCACGAGTAAGCAACGAAGGAAGAACATGAACCCGCTTCACTTAGAACATAGACGAATCAATTTTGCAAAATTTCCCCAGTTTCCCAACCTCGAACAAATTGGTTCGCGACATTCGGGCAATTTATGAAAGAACGCCAAGGTATTGTGAAAGACTCAGCGGTGAGAAGAAATCCTTCCAGAGATAGAGAAACTTGACTGTTTACAATGAAGACCTTAGAGCCTATAGTTGGTGATGCAAATCATCGTGTTGCTGTTTGTAGAAGATGTTTTGGATAGAATGAGACTTAGATAGCTCTTCCTCTTTGATCCGTGCACATAAAATAAGGCGCTAGTCCAAAAATGGTATGGCGCGGGGTAGGCAAGCTACCTTCTCTGTGTATCTGCCTTGCGTGCGTCGTCGCGGGGCAGCTTTCTTCTGGGTTCCATCATCAACAACATCTTCATAATACTCCCGACTCAGGAAAATCACCTTCTCGAGTCGCGAAGATGAGTACGATCCACGTAAATTCTTCGGCAGAGTTTCAGAAGCTCTTGTCGAGCTCTCGAATTGTCGTCGCCGACTGTGAGTTCTCCCTCTTTCCTCGCTGCCAAAGTTGCACCCCTACCTTTCGCGTCCCAAGCAATATGACCTGGCCTCCAAGGACAGATCATGATGTTCTCAAAGACTGGTCCTTTATTAAACAGGCGTAAAACACCCTGTCACTGAATTTTACCTCTTGCTGACAAAATTGGGTTTCAGTCTACGCCGACTGGTGTGGCCCCTGCAAGGCTATCGCCCCTCTGTACGAGCAGCTCTCATCCTCCCTTTCTCGCAAAGATGTCGTCACCTTCGTCAAGATTGATGTCGAAGCCAACAAGGATATCGCCTCCGCATACAGTGTTACCTCGCTCCCCACCTTCATGGTGTTCCGGGAAGGCAAAACTCTTGAGAAGGTCCAGGGTGCCGATCCCCGGAAGCTTCAGGAGGTCGTCAAGAAGTTGGTGAAGGAGGTTACTGAAGGCGGTTCCTCCTCTGGATCCGGTGAGGGCTCCGGCAGCTCGAGCGGAGGTAGCTGGAGAGGCGCGGCGCTTCCTCGTGGCTACGGAGATATTACGGACCAGATTGAGACCAAGGGCTGCGAGCTTCTCAACGCCGACGAGGATTTCGGCCCCGTCCGCGTCTTGTTCGATACATCCAAGCCCAGCGCGCTAGCCAAGAAGGAGGGAGCCAAGGACTGGGTGGAGAGTGGTGCCGATGATCAGCTTCTGCTGTTCATGCCCTTTCAGTCCATGCTGAAGCTGCACACTCTTCAGGTATGCTTATGACCCAACCTTGAGCACTTTAGGTGACTAACCAGAGAACATAGCTTACCTCTCTTCCTCCTACCGATGCTGAAGACGATGACGACGAGGTGCCAATGCGCCCTGGCACCATCCATCTCTACACAAACAAGCCCCACAACCTCGACTTCAGCGAGGCCGATGATACCCCTCCTACGCAAGCCATCACCCTCACCAAAAAGGATTGGAACGCCGATGGCACTGCCAATATCGGTCTCCGGTTTGTCAAGTTTCAGAACATTACAAGCTTGATTATCTACGTCGTCAAGGGCGATGGTGATGGCGAGAAGGTCCGTCTCGACAGAGTGCGTCTTATTGGCGAGTCGGGCGAGAAGAGAGAGATGGGCAAGCTGGAGAAGATTGGAGATGAGGCTGGCGAGTAGAGGGTGCCACCTGTGATTTGAAATCGGACCAGTGGGGATGATGAAAACTCTGCGGAAATGCACAGATGAGACATGAATAGAGCCTTTCCCGTAAGCCTATATAGACTTCCGGCAAACAACCGGGCAGGAAGTTTACGAATAAAAATATGGAAAAATCAATCTTGCCTGCCGACCAAGCTTCGAATTCCAAGTCACAGTAATTTCAACAGTCAAGGTCAAGCAGATATCGATTGGATGTAAGAGCAGCGTACACACATAGACAGCAAGAAATTCACAGTGAATAACTTGCTCGCTAGGCACGATCGCTCACATCAGCCTCATAGATCGAAAGCATCACCTCATGGTGTGTCAGGTCGAGATATGTCCGGCCCCTCGCACGCGATCTAGCCGGTAGATGGCCATCAAGATCAGTAAACGAGAAGCCGGCTGCAATTAAATTCGCTCTGGGGCACAACTGACGCTGTGAATAAATCCATTGATTAGGGGATTTCAGCAAACAGGGGAAACTGTAAATTGTCATGCCAGCCGCACGAAGAAAAAAAGAAGAAAAAAGAGTTCTTCGACGGTTGCGCGCTCAGAAAATCTTTTTTATATCACGGTCCGCTGCTGCACGGTCACAAAAAAATGGAGCATTTGCGCTTAGCTCAGCGGAAAATACATTGACCGAAATTCCTGACAGTGGTATCTGCAGCCCTGTCAGTCTCCACACAGACACTGGTCTCCACACTTTCACTCAGTGTGCGACGAAGAACACGACGGCTTTGAGCCAACTAGATGAACCCCGCCGTCATCCAAAGTCGCCCAACATGACGGTGAGCAACAAATGAACACACCCTCTTCTGCCTCCATCTCGAGCCATCCTGTGGGCCTAGCTCACACTCTCGCCAACCACCGAACGAAACATGCAGACCCCAGTTTTACGCAACAGGCGGAACCAACATGTCGACCAGGCTGGCTGGCTCCTATCTCGGCTTAGGCAAGCCCCTAGGGGGTTGCGCAGGGGTTAAAGTGCGACAGATGAGCGGACGAGTTGACCAAATGGTCACGCAACATCGTTCAGTGCCAGCCTTGTTCCCTTCAGATTAATTATGGCAAGCCCACGACTGTGCAAAGTGATAGATGTGAGGGAGGTGACAGGATCAAAGCAATATGCTTAAACCAAACTCCTTTATCCACATTCGTATTGTTCCTCCGATCCCAGCTTTTGACAAACGAATACCCGACCGCACTAACAAGGTTGAAACCCTCCTGGGCCTTCGTGGTTTGTCACCACCACCGAGCTCCTCGCAACGCCCGCCCCTCTTCCGATACCACCACTTCCCCGACCCTTACCCCGGCCGACGTCTTGGCACCTTACCCATCTGCCATCTCGTTGGAAAGCGGCGGTCACCTTGCAGCAGTGTGGCAGTCCGGCACTATGCTATGCCGTGAAATGGTCCAAAATGATGACGGAACTCGACGCTTCTAAACATCAGCACCGGTTTCTAATTACCAGCTGACCGGATCACGAACCTGACACTTAGATTACCACATACCGCACTCATCCGGTCTTGTCAGGTTTAGAAACCTGGGCCATTTGTATCGTGGGCTCGGCTGAGTCCAATGACGGCCCACTGAATGCACTTCCTAACAATGTGCTCTTTCCTCTTGTCAGACACCGGAAATCCTATTCACAGTTTCCATCTGTCTGCCGCTCAAGCCCCATAGATGCCCAGGTGCATCCCCCGTGCTAACATCGGCACGTCTTCCACTGCCGGCATCACTGCCTGATCTGACAGCCATGGCGCCCAATAGTTCCTCCTATTGTTGCGGCGGACCGTCGTGACATCCCACGTTGCTTTTACGCACTAACGGCGCCGCAGGGACGATAGATGACCATGCCTCTGGACCTTAGTCAAACCGAAAGCCGTCAGATGATCGGGACTAGCCCCAGTTTCACCAGTGTGATGGGGAGTCTCCGGAAAGCTCACAAAACCAGCTTGCATTCCGTCATTCAAGTAAGATTTCGGCCTATTTTTCCTTCCAATCCACTTCCTTCCTTGCAAAGGAGCTCTATCGTTCACCGGTAAGGTTTCTCGCTTCGTTCCGACTTCCTCCTGCGATCACCGTTGCCGCTTTTTCAGCCATCAACCTGAGGGGTTGTCAAGTGCCAACCATATACCTCGCTTGCCTGGCTGCCTCTCTATCCTGGAGGATCTTCGAAACAAACTCGCATCCTCATCTATGCGAGATCTCTCGGGCCGCTAGTTGAAACGTTATACGAGTGGATATCTCGGTCCTATATTTCAACTCCATCCTTCCTGTAGACTCGCACCGCCTGGGTATTTGGCCAGACCATTTCCCGGTCGCTGTCCGAGTGGTCGAGACTGCCGATCATCAATTTTTTTCCCAGCCGAGAGAGCCTTAAAGAAGATCGCCAGCCAGGTTCGATTACATTGCAGGGCCTTCAAGACCTCTTGCTGCGATGCAACGCGGCCTAAACGTCACACAAAGATCAACATGGCGAACCTCTTCCCGACTTACAGGAGGCCATCTTCTGGACATGCACACAACGGTCAGCCATTCCCCGTTATGAAGCTGCCGGTAGAGATCCGATTGATGATTTGGGATTACGCCCTGCCGGATTCGCGCGTGTACGAAGTCATGGACGCCCCCAATGCTAGCCAGAAGACGCCTGCCGCATCAGGGCTGATGTTTGCCAATGTTCGAGATGAACCGCCACCAGCCTTGGGTGCAGTGTGTCACGAGACGAGAGTTTTTGTGCTACAGCGTTACAGACCTCTCACTCTTTCGCTCACCACCAAATATGTCGATTTATCGCGAGATATTCTTCTCCTTGAGCCGTACTTGCTGGTCAAGCGCTTGCTCCGGACACTCCATTTCTTCAGTCAGATCCCTCTTGTCCGAGACAGTCTCAGCCGTCTTGCATTCGGAACGTCATACGGATTATATACGGGTATTTGCCACCCTGTTCTCAGCTGGAAAGTCTCCAAGTCAAATACGGCGACACTGCTAGCACGTTTAGCCAAATTTCGGAAATTGACGAAGCTCATCTTTGTCGTGCATCAAGAGTTTCAATTCGACTTTGATGTTCACTATCCATACGCAGCACCTCAGTCAAGTAGCCTAGCGGCACTGCGGCCCCAATTGGTTCACCAAGGTTACCGCTTCAAGTTTGACATTGAATCCCACCTCAATTACACACAGCCCCGACGCCCGCACTCCAATGAGTTCCTCAGATACCCGCTGGCCATAGACGAGGACAAAGACGACTGTTTCGATAAAGATGACTTGGAGAATGAAGCAGATCTTTTTGAGTCATGGCCGACGAATGATGACTGGCGGCGTTTTCGACGGAGGTTCCAGAGAGCTATTCACCTTGCCGTGGAGAAGGGACCCGCTGAAAGCCCTCGGCCGAGGTTGATTCCTACGCTGGAGGGCGTAAGTCTACTCTGGAGATACACCAAGGGGCAACGTCATTGACCAGCGGCTTTTTTTTTTTTTTTTTTTTTTTTTGGTGTATATGGATTTAGCATATGAATATTCGGGCCGTTATCTTATACCCTCTCTATAGAATATGATTTATGATATTTTGGTGGCACCGTATTACGATCTGTTGATTCCGAGGTGACACTCCTCATGTTCTATACGTGGCTGACATTGATATCCATCTGCCATTTGCAGAGATGATTGGTAACTCATTATACCTTTGCTACCGTCTTTACAAGAACTTCTCAGCCTACTAATAAGAAATTGGCCATGAGGATTGCCAGTAATAAAAGCAACATTCTCATGAAAGCCTCCACTACCAGGTCCCCATCATCTCGTCTCTCTTCGCCAGCACATGGTTACGTGGTATTCTCACGGCATTAAGACGCCAGCTACGTGACTCACCCGTGCGTTTGATAGGCCAGCAGTTGTCGCAGTCGCAAAATAAGCCCTCCCCGGACCAGACCCTTCTCTTGGCTTCTCTCACCCTCAGGTATCTTGTTCTTATTGCAGCCGTCCTCTGTACCAGCGCGGATGGTAGCTTGAATGTGTACTTTGTCTTGGCTGGGGATCCCAGACCCGTTCATATCAGCATCTGGATCAAACTTATTATCGACATCCTCTTCGCCATTGTCTTTCCGGAAAAGATTCGGCATGTCGCTGTAGTCAGCTTCGATCGCTACCATCGATGCCATCGCTGGCTCGGTTGCAGGGTCACTCAGGTCTAAGGGGGGCATCTCAAGAAGATTGACATCCTTCAGTTGTACAGCGAGAGATGGTGAGGCATGTTTGCCGGGCTCCATTTGTTTGGCGCCTAGGCGAGGACTCTTGATGCCATTCGATAATTGAAGCCACTTCCGCTCCGCCTTGATGGCGGACCTATACCCTCGAAAAACCTCAGGGTCGACGAAACTTAGTTTGTATGGTTTTGTTGCGATGCCTGGGCTATTCAACTCAAAGGCAGGGTCAGGGTAGGTCTGCGTAGACCTAGAAACTCCTGTAGAGATTTCCAGTGTAAAACATTCCTCAAGGAGGCCTTGCGCCTGTGAAGGTTTAGAGTCAAGTCGCGCCATGCGCGTACGCTTTTCACGTCTGGCCTTCTGGTCTTCAGGAGATGAGCCCTTAGCCCAGGAAATAGAAGTTATCGCCATGTCAGAACCCAGTCGAGTCTTGGTGGGGGCTTTCGCGTTATATAGAGGTTGATGAGCCACTATCGAGTTGAGGGTCTGAGGATAATGGTCTTTTGCATGGAGCTCAAAGATTCCTGATGACTCAGTCTCGCTCGTAGTAGAGGAAAGAGGAGTGAAAGCTTCGCTGGAACAATCAGTGGAGATATTTCGGATTTTAGCTGTGACGGAGTTGCTAGACGAAGCATCGTTTTCGATAACGGATTGGTACGTGTCGGAAGTAACGCAAGGCGAGAGAGATGGCTTGGACTTCGGGCAAGGAGAGCGGTCTCGCCAAAACCGTGTCTGACTCACGGCGTCGACGGCCATGTTGTATGGCGCTTTACAGTAGCTGTTGCTGTGATCTTTGTTGCCTGTTATGTATGCAAATGTTCTGACGGGCGAACAATTATGGAGCCGGATTGGGGAGTGTCTGGCAGTGTGAGTAGTTTTTTTGACGTTTAGAATGTTCCACCTCACCTTATTGTACTCTCCATCACCTGATCGGAGACATGCTAGCAGGCCCGTAGCCGTGGTTGTTGCTAATGGAGATGGACTGACTGGGAAGAGTAACTTTTCACAGGGTGAAAAGGTAGAGCCATAACAAAAGCTTCAGTGGTACGGCATTCCCATGTCGTCAGATGGCGGATGAGGTTAGAAGCGCTCTTCGGGATTGACTTGAAACTACCAAATCGAATAGTATTTACCAACGCCGTATATATAGAAGCCGAATACCGCTGAATGGCGGACATTCTTATGTCCGGATGAAAAGAGCAAAACTCGTCGCTTTCGTTCATTGTCGATATGAACAGTGGCACGGATGGGAAAGGGTTGATAAGGCCTTTATCGCGAATACCTTGTTGGTTACAAGTATCCACGACATGGTTGGAATTATTCTGGGAAGATACCATGGGACAAAGGAACATTATTAGCCATGGGACTGGCCGTGGGTGCCATAGATGCTGTATGGAACTTTACTGAAAATAAACTCAGAATTGGAATTGGCTTAGTGAAGTTGCTTTTGAAGCAATTGACTTCAAGAGGCATGTTTGGCCTTCAAATAGATTCTGGCTCTCGCAGTGAGCTCGCAATAGGGACGTAGTATCTTCTTGAAACCGTTACGGTCTCCCTGCCATGATTGCTGTGTTTGTCGATCGGCGGCTATCTTTTGGATGAGAAAGTTGCGTACGCCAGCGGCCCTGTGTCGTCCTACTAGTTCGCAGTGTCATTTCGTTCATCCTAGAATAAAACATTGCGACATTGCCGACACACATACAATGTAGATAAATTAAATATGGGCCTAGGTTTGCATCGTGGTCATGTTGGCATTTCAGTATTATATTCACTCATTGACTGGCAAATAACCTGAAACAAGAGAATCGGGCGCCGAAGTGAGTCAGGCCATCCACAGATGAGGAATGCCAACATGCGCTGCCCAGTGCAGCACACAACGGGATGCCATCGGATTGGCGCACAAAACAAAACGGTTGCCTTTTAAACACCTTGTCATTAAACGTCTATTTCCTACTCTAATCACGATTGCGACTTGATCATAAAAATCTGCCTCAAGTTAGTAAAGGGAAATGTGTATCCAAAAGGTGAAATGCAGCTGCCGCATACCTGGTTCAAGGCCTTGTCGTCCATCGTCGCCATCTTCTTCTGCGCAATCCACCGTGATCTTACGGCGTGATGGCCTCTGAGCACTGGCGTCGAGGCACCGCTGGCGGGTGTTGATGTGCCTGTAACAGCGGGTGTGGAAGAGGACTCTCGCGATGCCTCTTTCTTGGCGCGTTTCTCCTCCTTGCGCCGTCTCTTCTCCTCCTTTCTTGCAACCTTCTCGGATTCCGTCTCCTCATCCTTCTTGTGCTTCTTCTTGGATGACTTCTCGTCCGAGCTGTCCGCATCGCTCTCCTTCTCCGCCTTCTTCTTTTCCTTCTTCTCCTTCTTCTTGTCCTTCTTGGCCTTCTTCTCTGCGTCGTCCTGGGTATCTTCTGAAGCATCCTCCTTCACAGCCTTTGACTTCCGCTTCTTGTCCTTCTTCTCCTCTTTCCTGCGCTTCTTTCTCGCCTTTTCGTCTTCGGAGGATGACGATTCGTCGCTTGATTCCTCCGCCTTCCGCTTCTTTGAGCTCTTGCTAGATGCATCCGCGACGACAGGGACGTCTTCCATCTTGACATCGTCCTCTTCTTCCTTCTTTGGCTCCTCATTGGCACTTTCCTTAACCTGATCACCCACAAGCCAGCCACCACTGACGAACCGCATAGGACCAAACTTAGTATCGCAATACAGAGTGCTCTGCAGCTTCGCACGGGCTTGACGTTCACTATCAATCGCCTCAGACGATTTGCCGTTCAGGCGACCAAGCAGGTCGGAGAAAACATCCATACCCGTGACCCTGTCATCCCTAGCTTGCTTGAAGCCGAGGCCGAGCATGTCGTCCTTGAGGGCGACACGAATGAAGGAGGCATTAGCGGCGGTATGGTGCACTGCGTGGGCTGCATCTTTTGCGCCGAGATACTGGCCAGGCTCCCAACCCTGCGATCGTAGGATCTTTTGGCCGAAAGAATCAGTGTCCTTGGTCCATTTCGTGTTGTTGGGATCCTTGCTGATCTTGCGGCGGCTGTTGTGTGCAAAGTCAATACACAAATCATTTTTTTTCAATCTGGAAATAGCAGTCTGCCTTACGTTTTTGCTTGTGCCAGACCCATCTTTGCGGTTTGACGAGAGCCGACCCGGTTGTGGATGGAAATGGGAGTTTTCGAGATGCGATAAGACTCTGGTGCAGATCCATTATCGCAGAAAATTTTAGTGGGGTCAAGTTATCTGGAATGTGGCTAATCCCTGCAATTTGGATCCGACGTAGACCCGCTCACCGGAGTTCACCGAGAACAGCACGGTGAAAGTCTCACAGCTCCATGACCTATAGACTTTTGAGAGAGAGAGAGAGAGACGGGGCACTTAAAGAACCGGTTAAAGTAAAAATACAGGGTTGCTGTTATGACATGGCAGAAATAACATGTCAAGCAATGCACTGGGAGAAAGATTTACTCGTCAGCATGTTCATCATCGTACACCGCAACCCACATCAAAAAAAGTCTCGTTTGCCTCTCCAGCTAAGCCTAGGAGGCGCTTACCAGGGCGGCGACAAGAATCGGGCCGGACTGAAATATAAAAGTAACTGGTGGTCTTATTCGCGGCAAACATAGATTGTGGGTTACAAGACAATGCCCCAGACCAATCGCCAACTATAAGGTGCCACCCAGGTGAGCTTTCTTAAAGTTTGGCCGCTTTTGTAGTTCTCATATGACCTGCTGCCTCCAATGCCAAACCATGACGGTCGCACGAATTTGTGTCGCTCTGAGAAGGCGAAGTTGGCCTCGGTATTTGCCTTTCATGCAAGTTCGCAAAGACCTACAAGGAGTACCGCCTTCCTGAATAATATTTATGATTATATTTAGAGGACATTTGTCATTTCCAGCTGCTGCACTAGGAAGAGAAACACAAGGGCGTATCCTTTCAGGATACAAGGTTTACCGTAGAGCCCAAAACATCTTGCCTTTTGCAGCAAGTTATACATACAATCATCTGTGAACCAGAGTCGTGATGGTGCTTTATTCCCCAACGCCGTGTATGCTTCAGTGATATTGTACATCTATCGTCGCACCGGTGCGCGCGTTCACTTTCTTTCGCCACGCATGCCTTATACCGTAAAGCCAAAGCCCTTCATACAGCTCCGGTATTGGTCGATCATGGACACGCAGTCCTTGGCAGGGTCGGCAGCCTTGGAGAAGAGCATGCACTCGTCGCGCTTAGCCTTTTCCTCTTTGCACACGCAGCAAGGCTATTCGAAAGAGTTCGTCAGCATTAGAATCGTTATGCAACACTGTCTTGAAGGGCAGGCGAGCTTGTTCGATGGCGCACCTTGGGTTTAGAGGTTTGCTCAGCAGCGGCTGGCGCGGCGGCCGGAGTCGAGATGGACGCTGCGAAACACACTTTGGTCAGCCATTGAGAGGTCGCAAAGCTCTAAGGGATATCATACGCAATTCGCAAGCTTGAGAGGCCATTTTGGATATAGAGAGGGGATTGGTATGCTCCGTAGAGTGGCTTGCGATCCGGATGGAGGCGGGAGGATGGATGATTATATCTTCTGGACCTCAGTCCACTTTTTTTTTTGGTTACCTCACCGAAGCAGTCGCATTTGTCAGTCGCTCGCTCAATTTCGGGAAGCTTTCGGCATCAGCCAATCACGTCTTTTACAATCACGTGTTTGTGCAATCACGTCGGGCCTATTTCTTTTTCTCAGCAAAAGGTGTCCCAAAGCTTTAAAAGTCTGAGAGTATTATCATCTCATTCGCGTATTTCGTATCGCGGAATATCCCTATGGTGACGTCTTGAAGTTCCAAGTGCCATGCTGTTTCGTTTCCTTCTCAGGCCTGAGGGAATAAGCCAGGACAGGTCATTCGGCGTGTATAAGGCCATTCATTGGTCCGGTTAGTCCCGGCAGGTCCCGATCTTTCCAATGACCGGCAGGCCATCAACCTCTTGTGAAATCCGGGACCCGCCTGCCGCAGCGGAACACGACTATGTTCCATATGCCCCAACATGATGACCCGCAGTTCATCGAGCGCGGCTAGCCTAACCTAGAAACTTGCAGCTGGGTCATCGATATTGGAAGGTTGTTAGAATAGAGTCGGGTAATATGATACATCCTTTGCGTGAGCCAAGACGTTGGAAAGTAGCATTTCTAAAAGTAGCATGGCTACAATCCCCGCGCTCCCGTCGGCGAGGTCACAGACGAGACTTTGGGTAAGATATTTTGCGAGGATAAGAGGAGCCAGTACCCTTCCATCGATAACCTTCTTGTATCCATCAACCAGGAAGCCATCTTTCACCTTAAAACTATACTGTAATAAGTGAAGCAAGCCATCAAAAATGCTGTCAGTTGAAGAGACGTTGGCGCTCGCCACACCTACTCCAGAAGTGAAGGAGGTAAAAACAGTCAAACACACGATGTTATTGCACCACTAACCCGTGCAAACTCTGGAACAGTTACTTATAACCAACCCATCTCACATTGGAGGCTGGACGATGAACACAGATATTGACCTGCTGAGAAACATAACCGCCCAGATAAGTGCGGCCCAGCGCCTAAGAGGGCCAGATCCGTCGACTTTGCCATACATGGAAGAAGACACTCACATTTCCACAAGAGATGGCTCAACTATTCGTATCCGCATTCACAAGCCCAGACATAAACCTAAAGATGGCTGCCCTGCGTTGGTGGCGTTCCATGGCGGTGGTTTCGTTATTGGGACAGTTGAAAATTCAACGTCTTTTTGCCGGCTGTTCACCTCCCTCGGCGGCATAGCGGTTAACGTGGAGTACCGTCTAGCTCCAGAGCATCCGTTTCCTACTCCGGTCAATGACTGCTACGACGCGGTGAAATGGGTACGTATAATAACCACTGAGATGAAGTTGACAGGCTGACCGAAATCAGACCGTCGAAAATGCCAAGAACTTGGGTATCAACCTAGAGAAGGGCTTCCTCGTCGGCGGCGAGAGCGCGGGCGCTGACCTCGCTCAAGGCGTTGCCTATCTGTACGGAAAGGAGAAGCTGTCACCGCCGCTGACGGGAGTCTATTCCTCCGTCTCCTCTGCAGCCATCGAGGAGACGATCCCTGAGAAGTTTAGAGATCGCTTTCTGAGCGTAGAACAGAACTCTTACGCGCCGGTTATCACGAAAGAGTCGTTGCAGCTGATTAGAGGTAAGTTGGTGCCGCATATCAGTCAGTTGGCCGGATTACCTGAGGCTGATGGTGTGGCAGCAAAATATAAGCCTGATCCGAAAAGCCACCTTGCCTACCCCATTATGTCTCCAGATCTCGGCCGCTACATGCCGAAGACGTACTTCCAGGCTTGCGGCATGGATCCTTTGCGAGACTGCACCCTCATCATGAATGAGGTGTGGAAAGAGGCAGGAATTACGACCAAATTGGACATTTATCCGGGTCTCCCCCATGGCTTCTGGTTAATCTTGCCCAAGGCGGATGCAAGCCAAAAGTTTCTGGACGATTGCAAAGCTGGTTTCCAGTGGTTGTTGGGTTTAGACTAGTCTCGCACTTCCTCTATTACCGATATCAAGAGACGGCTTCCATAGTAGTTTCTGCTATGGTAAACTCCATTCAGTGTTAGTGTTCAATAGAAGCTCCTCTCAGGCTATAATATGGAATGATGAATAGCACGTAGTCAATAGTGAAAAGACCCATTTTTTAAAAGAACGAAATGCGAGTGACGCGCTGTGAAGTTGTAAAAAGAAAGTTTAAATATAGGGGGCCAATCCCTGGAGGCACTGGTATTCAGACCCCTGTACGCTCCGGCGTTATAGCGGGGGCACTCAACGCGCTCACAATCGCAAGACGCGACAAAACGGGGCCGCCCTTCCAATTGACATCACCGTACAATTCTTCCCGCCCTTGTCCACCATCACCACCATACAGCGCCCGTACTGCGAAATATGCCCACCAGTCGACGATGGCGCCAAAGTCGAAGCCCCCAGAAAAGCAGCAGCAGTCGCTGACGAGCTTCTTTAAACCCAAGACCGTCAATGGACTTGCTGCCGCTTTTCAAAAGTCCCAATCCGAGTCCAAGGCGAGCCCGTCCAAGTCGCCGGAGACCCCACGCAAGAGACCCCTAGAGGAGGATGCGGACAAGGGGAATAACGGGCCTGAGAAGGCTTCCAAGAGAACAAAAGCGGACACGGACAAAAATCAAGATGTTCCCAACGCCGAAAAGAGCTCGTCTTTCTCTGCAGAAGGCAAGCAAACCAATCGCGAACCCAAGGCAGGCACAGCTGTGTCTGGAAGTAGGACTGGACGCTTCGTGTATAGCCAGACCTCAGATGGAAATATTGAGGACCTATTGGAAGACGACCCCGTGACAAAGAGGACCAAGGAGGAGCTTCACAAGAAATTTGTGAAAAAGCTGGGACATCCGGATAGCATGCTGTGGCGGCGTCGTAGGGAAGATGATAATGAAGCTGGCGATGGAGACGACGGCGCCGGCGAGGATGATGAAGAAGACGAAGCGCCACCGCCAACCAAAGCAAAAAAGGGAGGGGCGCGGGCAAGCAAAAAGCTCACGCCAATGGAGATACAGTTTCTGGACATTAAACGCAAGCACCTCGACACTGTCCTCATCGTCGAGGTCGGATACAAATTCCGCTTCTTTGGCGAAGATGCCCGCATTGCAGCCAAGGAGCTAAGTATTGTCTGTATCCCAGGTAAGTATCGCTACGACGAGCACCCGTCGGAGGCGCACTGGGATCGTTTTGCTTCAGCGAGCATTCCTGTTCACAGGTTGTCGGTTCACGCCAAGCGCCTTGTTGCTGCTGGCCACAAAGTTGGAGTCGTCCGCCAAATTGAGACTGCTGCCCTGAAGAAGGCCGGTGACAACCGCAACACGCCGTTCATCCGGAAGTTGACCAACGTGTATACCAAGGGCACGTACATTGATGAGAATGGCGAACTAGACAACTCGGGCGAAAGCGGAGCTCCATCAGGAGGATATCTGCTTTGCATTACTGAAAACCCGACAAAGGGGCAAGGCACGGATGAGAAGGTTGAAGTTGGCATAGTAGCCGTACAGCCGGCGACTGGGGACATCATCTACGACACGTTTGAGGACGGCTTCATGAGGAGCGAGATCGAAACTCGATTGTTGCACATTTCACCGTGCGAGTTCGTCATCGTCGGAAATCTTACAAAGGGGTCTGACAAGCTGATCCAACATCTATCGGGAAGCAGCACAAACGTTTTTGGCGACAAAAGCCGCGTCGAGCGTGTTCCTGCCTCCAAGACCATGGCTGCCGAGGCCTATTCACACGTCACGCAGTTCTACGCCGAGAAGCTACAACAAACCCCCGATGCAGCAGCATCCTCTCTCCTAGATCGCATTCTTCATCTCCCTGAACCTGTCACCATCTGTCTCTCAGCCATGATCACTCACCTCAAGGAGTATGGCCTCGAGCACGTCTTCGACCTTACCAAAAACTTTACCAGCTTCTCTGCAAGGCAGCATATGCTCCTTAACGGAACGACACTGGAGTCGCTAGAGGTCTACCGTAATGCCACAGACCACTCCGAACGGGGTTCCTTATTCTGGGCACTGGACAAGACCACTACCCGCTTCGGACAACGCCTTCTCCGAAAATGGGTTGGCCGCCCGCTCCTTGATGTCTCTCACCTTGAGGCTCGGGTCGCTGCTGTCCAGGAGCTCCTCGACGAGCAATCCTCCGCCAAGGCTGAACGTGTCCAATCTCTCCTTTCCAGCATCAAGACCGACCTTGAGCGTAGTCTAATCCGCATCTACTATGGCAAATGCACCCGACCCGAGCTTCTCTCCGTCCTTCAAACGCTACAGCGAATTGCCATGCAATATTCAACCGTCAAATCCGTTGAAGAAACAGGGTTCACATCACCTCTTTTAACCTCTGCCATCCTTTCCCTCCCGCAAATCCTCGACCTCGTTGTCTCGTATCTTGAAAAGATCAACCCCGAAGCTGCTCGCAAAGATGATAAATACAACTTCTTCCGCGAATCAGAGCAGACAGAGGACATTGAGGATCACAAAATGGGCATTGTGTCTGTGGAACAGTCTCTCGATGACCATCGAGCCGAGGCCGCTACTTCCATTAAGCGCAAAAAGCCCGTCGACTACGTTACAGTCTCTGGCATCGAGTACCTTATTGAAGTTGCCAACACGGACCTTAAAGCTGTGCCAGCCTCGTGGATCAAGATCTCGGGCACAAAGAAGCTTTCCCGTTTCCACACCCCCACGGTTGTCCGCCTGATCCAAGAGCGCGACCAGCACCGCGAAGCCCTCGCGGCCGCCTGCGATGCAGCCTTCACAGCCCTTCTCCGCGAGATTGCCGATGCGTATCAGCCCCTCCGGGACGCAGTCTCCTCTCTCGCCACCCTCGATTGTCTCCTTTCCCTCTCCCGCGTTGCGGCCCTGCCAGGTTACAGCAAACCAACCTTCCTACCTAGCCAAACCCAACCCACAATCTCCATTACACAAGGCCGCCACCCCATTGCCGAACACACCTTGGCAGACCCGTACATTCCCTTCACAACGACCCTCTCTTCCCCGTCTCCTCTCGCCCAACTTATAACGGGTCCAAATATGGGCGGCAAATCTTCCTTTGTTCGCGCCGTAGCGCTCCTCGTTCTTCTAGCGCAGATAGGCTCTTTCGTTCCCGCCGACGAATTCTCACTGACCCTCGCCGACGCGATTCACGTGCGCATGGGCGCTCGTGATAACCTCGCGGCGGGCGAATCCACGTTCATGGTAGAAGTCTCGGAGACAGCTCGCATCCTCCGTGCCGCCACCCCGCGATCCCTCGTCATCCTCGACGAGCTCGGTCGAGGAACTTCAACGCATGACGGCGCCGCCATCGCACACGCTGTCTTAGACCACGTAGTTCGCGAGAACAGGTGTCTGACTCTGTTCATTACTCATTACCAAAACCTCGCACGCCTAGCAGACGGCATCGGCGATGGGCTTGTTAAAAATGTCCACATGCGCTTCACGGCCACGCGCGGGGCTGCGGTAGAAGATAGCAAAGACCACGAGGATGCCGATGCTGATGAGGAAATTACATTCTTATATGAAGTTGGCGAGGGCGTAGCCCATCGTTCGTACGGATTAAACGTCGCACGTCTGGCCCGCATCCCTCGGAAAGTCATTGAGGTGGCCGCACAAAAGTCACGGGAGATGGAACAGGACGTTCGGATGAGGAGGTTGCGCGGCACCGCACGTCTTTTGTCTGATGTTCTAACGGACCGACCAGATCAGCTCGAACATCTTATCTCAAACGTAGAGCAGTTGTAGCACTTCTATGCAAGTCACAGTTGCTATGATAATGAAATGACTTTTGTTCCAGATTACATTTTGATGTCGGGTCAAGAATACTGGTGAATGGATGAAAACTGAGCTGCTCGTATTTACTCCTCCACACCCAAATCAAAAATTTGAAGACCAAGTGCTAGAATAGCGATGGAGTTCCTCGATCTAGGCTGTGACTAGTCTATATGCTTCACTTCTGTATAATGAATGATGGTTTTCCGGCCCCAAGCCCGCCATCTTGATAATTCGTCAAACTGCCAGCTGTTATTGTAGTGCTCACATCGTCATCGGGTGAGTCCTGCATGTGACCGAGGTTCTATCCCTATCACCTTAGTATCGGAGTAAGGTTAACCTCTTCTGCAGAAGGGCATGCCGGAACTTCATGAGTGCATGCGAAACTTGGTGTATGTACTTGAATAGCTATGAGTTGTCAGTGATGTCTGAGAAATTAGAGAAGCTGATGGAAGTGTTGTCTTACTCGAGAGATAAAATGAGACAAGAGAGAGAAGAATAGAAAGCTATTATGCTGGCATCCGGGACGTTCACTCTGTGTCTGACTCCTTTAAAGAGGAGAGCTCCCGGAGTGTGTCCTAGACGCCTTCGTTGAACATGCCTGAGCTCTGTCCTTGATCGTTCTCGTTGTTATTGTTGTTGTTGTAGGCATTGACTGCCATTGACAATAGCTGGTTGCCGAAGAAGAGGTGATGGTTGGGATTGCCATTGATTGGATGGAAGGCGTTGGTCGGGGCACGTGAAACGGGTGGAAGCCAGGAGAACTGAGAGTTTGGATGGTATACCATATCCGGCGTCTGTTGCTGCTGGTAGTTGTTGAAGGGGTTCGTTGTTCCCATGCTGGGCATTCTGGTCTGGCTCAAACGTATGTTCGGGTCACTGGTGTGAAAGTTGCGGTTTCCAAGTCCCTGCTCCTGTAAACCATGGTTATTCTCCTTTCCCCTAATAAATCTCTGCGAAGGCTGCTTGGCAGCGGGGGTAGAGGAAGCCAAGCTCATGTTCGAGTTCGAGTTCATCGGCTGGAGGGGGATACGATTCCGAATATCGAATCTGCAAAACAGGGGTCATCAATATACCGTGTCCAGATAGGGGTTCAGGTCAAGGCTGAATGCCGACCTAGCTTCATCCAGAAAATCACGCTGGAATGCCTGAGCTGCAGAAGAGATTAGAAGACATAGAATAATGGCATCAACAAGGGCTTACCGGTTGGGATCCCATCGGGAAAGACGTCAGGCTCTTCGGGAATAGTGAAGGAATGATTAGTGGTAAAATTGCTGGGATCCTCTCCGAACGAAGAATCATCAAGCTCGGCGTCAAAGCCGTTTCCTATGTGGCTTTGCTCGGAAACCACGTTCAGATTTAGTCTGAGAGGGTCTTCGGTCATGGTAACATTTCCAACATCGCTCGCAACCTCCAGCTTTTCTGCATTGAACTCTATGTCTGCCCCAGGAGATGGGCTAAGTTTGAGAGTGTGTTTATTCATCTGGATCTCGTTCTTGAAATGCATTCGTTTGCCACGAGCGGCTGGTTTGGCAGGCTCTTCATCGGACTCAGGCTCTGCCTTGACAAGAACCTCAGGCGAACCATTACCGTTGTCAACGCCAGTGTGACTACGCCTCTTGCGACCTCGGGGCTTTTTAGCCAACTGACTAAACATTAGTGATTGATCATGTAAAATTGTATTGAACCAGGTGACAAGCTCTAGCAGGAAAGCACTTACAGGAGAGCCCTCGACGGATGGCGCATCATAGACATCACGAGTTCTCTCAACCTCGAACCGAAGGTTTGATACAAGCTCTGTCGAAGTGACGGACTGAGAATCAAGCATCATCTGCTGCAGAACGGACGCATCCTTTCGCTGGTTCCGCTTCTTCTTCTGTTCAGGGGTCGCAGAATCAAAAAGACTCATACCTGGCCAAATAATCCCCTTGAGTCTCACAAAATCGGCGCCGTCTTCGGCCCAATCTTGGATGTTTCCCAACGAATCCATGGCCGGGCTCCTACTCGAGTCGCCGTAGAACGTGATGGCTTGTTGATGCTGTAAGCCTGGCTCGTTTTTAACCCGCGAAGATGTCCATGAATGACCCCCGTCCGTCCCCGCATTAGTACGAGACAAAAGAGTCTTCTTCCTCTTTTGAGACTTCAGCGATTAGCTTAAACGATGGAGGGCCGTAGAAACTTAATAAAACACTTACCTGAGACAAGACCAGGCTGACTCGCCTGCCCTTCTCCTTCCCGTCCTTTGCTGCCAAAAGACGCTCCGCGAGCATTTGATGAAGATTGTTCTGAGCATACCATTTGTCGTAGGTTGCAATGGTCTCAGCCGCCGACAGATCGGCAAGCGAGCTGAGCCTGGTCGTGTTCAGGGTATGAAGGTGCCCTTTGGAGCTCAAATGTGTCAAGAGGTGGGAGACATCTGAGAAACGCGGATGACTAGGACAGACACAGCAGAGCAGGGGGATCGAATTTTCATCCGAAGATTTGGCCTCCACCGTCTTCTTGCTGATCGGCTTAGTTTCCGGTTTATTGACATCAATCTTAGCATCGGCCGACTTTGGTTTCTTTAAGAGTTGCGAAGTTCTCGAGATTTTGGAGGCCTTGGAAGCTTTAATTGGGTTGTCGGTATCCGTGTCCATCTCTATAGCCGCAAGAGCTGCCATATTCTGTTTATAGTCAGCATTGGTTGTAAGATTGGGTGCCAGAAGCCAGCCATGACTGACTACTATGTCTCCAGAATTGAAGCGAGTGTAATGGAGGGCAAAGCTGTCTTCTCGAGGTAACTAAAACGCAAAGCGAGAGGCAGGAAATTCTCGCCTTAACAGTTTGGAAGGAGACAAAGAACAACGGATGTTTCGAGATCTCAAAGGTACGAGGAGGAGCTGTACCCGGAGAGACGAGCAATGAATTGACACTTGGTAATTCAAGGCATGCGGAGGAGAGAATGGGATGATGCAACAACTGTCATGGGATGTCATGCCAGATCGGAAGATAAGATGAAAGAACGGATGACAAGACGGGAATTGATTCTCGGGCTTGAAGGGTAACGAGTTGGGAAAGGGGTTTGCTTACAGCCTGGGCAGCAAGAGCCGCTTGCCTTCTTGGGGCCATTCTGGAAAGAGTAGCTTGACAAGCTATCCATAGTAGCTTATGCCGTTATCTCACTCTTTTAGAAGGTCCACGTCGAGAAGACAATAGGTATGGGAGACAGGACTGATGTTGGCGGCTCAGAATCCTATGTAGAGTAGTTCTTGCCTGTCGATGAATCCACTTGAGTTAGTACTTTATACCTTGACATAACATGAAGGAAAGAATGAGGGCTATAATTCTCTCCAAGAAAAGCAAAATTGCAAGAGAGTCCTGGTTCTCTGAAGGCAGGTGCAAAATGCATGGTCGTCACATGACTGGGCGGGGCACTCTCTAGCTAGCAATTGCAAGTCCGCACGTTGCATTGACATAGCCTTCGTAGCGCTAAGAAGGAACTTCCTCCTAGTAGTTCAAATGCCAAAACTCAAGCAGTCGGCTGATCGCGTGTGTGTCAAATGTTCTCTGGCTCAGAGACATTTGTGAAGCAGTTTTGTAAGGAACATTATAGCCACAGCTCCAGTATATGGCCGTACAAGAGACACCTCGTTCTTTCCCTGTGGCGAGTTTCAACTTACCTAGACTTGGTGACTAAATCCAGGGCAAGTTCCAAGAGAATTGTTCCCAGCAGGACTCTGGAAGTGGCAGTGCCAAACAAAAAGGTTTACTGCTCCATAGATTGCGTCGGCAGTACCTCTCCGAATCGAGTCTAATTTTAACAGGAGCGACGCGTCGAGTGTCGCGAAAACCCGATAGAAGTCGCCACGGGGAAGCGCCTCGTCTCTTATGGGTTGGTCTTACTTGTATGGCGTAATGAACCCTTGTGGCACTGGCAAGAAGGGAAGTATGGATAAACCAAGAGTAGTGTCGTAGTGGGTGTATCGAGGGGGAGAAAGAAAGGATGGATAACTCGAGAGCCTAAGACCTTGTAGAAGAGAGAAAGATGCTGAGAAATGAGTTTTTAGATTAGGGTTCTCGCCCTCCTGAAATTAGTATGAAGAGATGGACGAAAGATCGTCAAAATAGCTGTAGCTCACGACCCATTGTTGACCTGAACTCGGAGCCGAGGAGGTAGTGACCTTTCTAGAGGGTACTCGCCCATTTCCAACGTTCAGCCCATAGAAGCGAGTTCATTGCACACGCCTCCCCCTCACCGAGTGATCACAAAGTAAGTCATTTCCTTGACGAGGTGAAGACTTTTGCGGTTCTGTTCTTCAAACGAACAGTGACAAGATAAAGTGTGAGCATCCAGGACATCTCCCAGTTCAATATAGCATCTAGAGAAAAGGAATATGGTCTCTCGTGAAAAGGCAGGGTGAGCTGTTCAAAGAACTGAGTCACTGCTTTCCCAATTCCAACAGAGAGAGAGACAAAGAGCAAGTGAATCTCAGACATTTATCAAGCCCAAAGGCAAAGACGACAGGCTGTTCAGTGCCTTCAAAGATTGAAAATTATCGGGATTGACTTCCAAGAGTCATGTTTTGCGGAAAGGGGTTAACACAGCCACATATACAGTAGGAAGTGATAAGGCTCCAGTGAGCCGAGTATGCAATGAGTGGAAGAAATCAGGAGCGTGTCCCAGTATATGAACACAGGGGAAAGCACAAGGATAGGGTAGTCCCTTTCATGTGTCCAAAAAAAACAAAAAAAACAAGAAGACATAACTAAACAAATCCATAACAGCTTATTAATCTTAGTATACGAAATATGAAAGAGAAGCCCCTAGTCTCAAAGAACTACTTGGAATGTAGTGGAAAAGGTTGAAGTCCAGCCCAAGGCTTCACAGTCTGTACATTGAAAAGGTAAAATGAAAGCTGAATACGCGTTTTAAGATACGTCCAAAGTACATATAGTATGCCCTTTGTCACACTGGCAGGCTACATCCCAAAATATTCTCGAGGAGACCGATTGACACTGTCTTAAAAGAGGAAAAGAACAGCGACAAGCTAGAAGAAAAAGGGGGAAAATTCCGTAACAAAAAAGACGAGTAAAGTAAGTAATGGCAATTAAACAACAATCTGGTAAAAGACCATGGCTAAGGAAAGACTTCCACAACATACTATGACATCGCCAAAAGTTATGATACCAAAGATGTAATGCGATGTGTAAAAGAGGAACTTCGTCTCGCGAGAGATGTTCTAAGCCTTTGTCAAAGATGACGCCCGAGATTGCTAGGCCTATACATCTGCACCAAAACAGAATATGAAGTCTATTCATTTGGGAATGGCAATCATGTAGTCAACTGGGGAGACACTAGTAGTCAATGCTTAAAATCCGAGCATCATGAGGAGCAAACACGGACAACCTACGGGCTTGTATGAGCCGTGTATCATGGGGTCCCATCACAACCACCAGGACTTGTATAAACAAATAAACCAAGCAAAGACGTCAGAGCACTAATGAGAACTACTGATTTCTATTCGTGCCAGTGTTTGGTTCTGCCCACGGTGCGAAAACAATCATTGAGAATGCCTGTGGGCTACTAGAGGGCAAAGCGGATATGATTAACGCAGCCCTTGAAGTAACCCACATTTTCACTGCTTTTTCGCCTTGTATAGTTGCTATCATCAATCTTATTTAAGCAGATTGCTAGATTGCAAGAGTTCGGGTGTGGTTGGTATAGCCACTACCAGTCATTATCGTCATATGGGGTATTTGGGGTTTCCTCCTACAGCATCATGATATATTACCCAGCGCCTTATCAATCACTGACTTAGGCATGCAATACACCGGGTCAACCTCCACCATGCCCGGATGTCCTAGTAAGCTTAGTCCTGTGAGGCCGAACAGCGTGTGCCACACATCCACCATGTTCCCAGGACGGTCTGAGATGCCACCAAGCTCAGTGTCCTGACACTTCAAAATAAAAGTAATGAGCTTCTGTCGGTCGATCCAGTGCGTCTTTCCAATAATGCTTAAACTACTCAGCACCCACCAGCTATAGCAGACGTCCTCATCCTTCTCGGGCCGTCCATTGAGGCCGCCTGCGGGCACCTGCCTCTCACTTAACCACCGTCCAAGTTTCTCTTTCTCGACAAGATCAAGCCGCCCAGCGATGGAAAGCGCCGCAAGGCAAGTGAAAATTTGGCCTGAATGGGACTCGGCTCCAGGGCTGACACCGTAACCACCATCGAAATTGGTGCAGGCGGCAATGTGCTTTACGGCTTTGTCAACATCCACCAGAGAAAGCAGACCCAAAAGTGAGAGAGCGTTCAGCGCGCCGTAGAGGAAGCGGGTGTCCTCCTCACCCCATTCATCACCCGCAAAAGTCCCGCTATCGCGATTCTGAAGACTGGCAATAACTGCCACGGTGTCAGTGTTGTCCTTGACATGGGAGTAGCAAGTACTTACACTTGCCTACTTGCGCCTTCCCCGTGCCGCGCGACTCCAGCTCATCCAAAGCATCGATCATGACAAGAATCTGTACAGCACTAACTGTATAGAGCATGTGAGCGTCGTGACCAGGTGCGGCCCCGAAGCCTCCGTTCTCATGCTGGCAGGAGAGAACGAAGTCTATCGTCTCAGCACGGGGAAGCGCATCAGGATGACCAAGCAGGTGCAACGCAGTCAGACCCCAATAGAGGCCGTTAAGACGAAGGTGCTCCGTCAGCCAGTAGTCGTATTCGTCTTTGCGGGTATCCAGGCTCTGGATATATTTCACATGAGCTGCTGTTGCCAGCTTGAGCTCGTCTGGCAGGTTCTCAAAATGGGCCGCCATCTGCTTTATTCACATTCGCTGTTGTAATGGGAAAAAGGTTGAGAGCGTCGTTGGGACTTTGGAGTGAGTGACTAAATTTTGGTGATGCTCCACGCAAGGCAGTAGTCGTGAGGTTGCTTTGATTAGGTAATTCAGTTGGGGCACCGAGACGGCAGGTTCCGCGCCTGCCGGATATCATGGTGTGAGCTTCCCCGTCGGGAGCGACCTCAAAGGAGTTGGGCCCATGTTTTCTGAGTGTTGTTAAGATGGAGCGTGACGTTTAAATCCCCGAAAAGCCTAATGTAATATTCCATCGATACTTGACAGAGGGTTTTCTTCGCCGCATGAAGGGTGCGAAGCCTTGGCTCTGATACGAACTTGCACTTTCCACTTGGTCAAGTAGATGTTGCTACGGGCTTCCAAATCGTGTAGAGCCTCTTTATCTTAGTGACAATTGGCCGCAAACTTCGCTCACTCGTATACCACTTCGACCGGCTGTATTTCGTATCCACAACTCTCCTGTCTTATTCTGCCCATATCGGCATCTACATAGTGAGTGTGGAGGTACAAGAGAGGCCCACCTTGGATCACAATCCCCCTTCCCGATGGGAAATTGGGCGGCAAGATGATGGTGAAGGATTCCAACATTGAAGATCGACGACAAGGAATGAGTCCCTATTATATGTACCTATCCCGAAGGTCAGGATTACCGTGTTCTCAATGCTGGCTTTTGGAGGGCCGCTTTCCAGATCGAGCGAACACATAGATGCATGAATCAAGGAATCAAAAGAGACAGTAATTGACAGGGAACGATTTTACAGGCTTTATCCTGACAACAAGCTCACGTCTATGTGCTAATCAGCGAATGTTGAGCACTCTTCTTAAAGATGGCGTACTACTTAGACGACTTATGTATGTATGCGAGACCTCACCAGCGAAGCGCTGAGCCCCAGCCAGCGCTCTTTACTGTGAAGAGGGATGCCCCTTCATTGTCCCACAGCTTTGGCAAAGCCATACCCATGAATGACGGCGGGATGCGGCCCATCAGGATGACGGAGAAGCCACGCTGCCATGTGCGCGTACCATTTTTTTCTGGGTCTCTCCCGTCCCGGCACCGTAGCGTACAGCAAGCGGATGACAAGTGTGGCCATGGTCTAGCACGACTTATCCACTCCAGAGGCTTGGCCATTGTTCGTCGAGGAAACACTACCGAGTTTCAGAGTCATCGGTTGTGTTCCTGAACTAGGCCTCTTTCGGCCTGGCCGTAACTTGTAGATTGCCTGGCCCTGTAAAAATCTCAGTGTGACCGTTCGCAGGATTGAGCACCACTGGAATAATAGTCTCGGGTTGCACGCGGTATATGTCAAGGCACACAAAGCAAATCGACACCTCTCGCAGGCGTGTAAGCTACCTGGAACAAGTGGCATTCGGATATCAAATTTGCTCCATTCGCAGGTGCTAAGCACCTTGCTGAAGTTTTACGAAAATGCCGTGCAACCACCTGTCCAACTGAACTAGCCAACGGTGAGGTCGACAGTGTGTACTTATGCCTCCGTCACCAAGTTTGGGCTTGCGCTTGAATGGAGCTGGAAAGGCTTCTTCTGCAGGTTGGTACCGCAAACGGATGCCTATACTCGCCACGATGCGACTGTTCCGGAACTTGTGCCTGCCTCATCACCAGGACATAATGAGCATATCTAAGCCCACTTATCGACAGTTGCGATTAATACTGTCGGAGCGGCGATGCTTTTGGGGTTTTGGGTGCCGCGGGTCGTGAAGCTCCGCGCCAGTCGCCAACGTGACCTTGGTGCATGGCTGATCTGCAGACCCCAAACTACAAAGTAGCACGCGCTGCGATAGCTTACTGCGTTTAGTTTCAAGTTTTGAGGGTGACTGACAGATGCCTGGGGAAACTTTGCACATAGAAAAAGAAGGTGCTAGTCAGCACTGACAAGAATGCCACTCGATGTTGTCAGGGTTTACGGCTATAGCGACAGCAGTATTGGCCACAATGCGAAGGCTCGGTCGGCATTGGCTAACACAAAAAGCAAGAAACCCTCATTGTTGGGAGGAGATGAGAGGACGCCGTTGGAATTATTGCTTGCCGATGAGAATTATGTTTCCCCAAGGTCGCACCGGCAGTATGGTGAAGAGTGCAGCATTGAGATCAGCAGAGTTTGCAATGCCTTTCAAGCAATGACCGATCGTCCTGTCCCTCGATAAACTCTGCTTAAGAACATTCATTACCTGGGGTTGACGAGTGAGCACTTTTTGAAGACTTTTCAGGATTCGGCTTGCGCTGGTATCATGTACCAGCATTAATTTGCTTAAGCGGACCTCAACGGGCGTCAGGCAGGGCGGTAGGTTGGTTCTCAGATCATCTGGGGCCTTGGAGGCTGGTAGTGGATGATGAGCTTGATGAAAAGACTCTCATGATGCCTGTGCCATTGCAGAAGGACGCGCAGTAGCGTCAATCTTTTCCGTCAGACCAGCGGCCAGTCGCCGGAGTTTGGGTGGGGTGGTGTGCCAGAGAGGCAACCCCAGCGAAAGCGTAAGGATATATCCACCATGGGCTTCCAGGCGCTCTTGAAGGGTCTGAACGTGATGTGAGACCGCACAGAGCAGTAGATGCTGAGTTTGCCAGCAAGTATGAGATGTCACATCATGCCAGATCTGTCCGTTTCTCCGTCTTCTGTCTCCGCTGCGTGTCTCGTCCTTCACTGTTCAAGCCACGTTCTGTTCCATATTGTCGCCCCTTCATTCCACCGGAGCGTAGGGGCTTGCTCTCTGCCTCTCGTCATTTGTGTTGCGATGGCCTGGCTGGGCATGGCTGGGAACGGAGATGCCGTCAACATGGCTCAGTTCCTCCTGCCCGAGCGATGGGGCCCACCGAATGCTTCAATTTGAAATGCTTAATGCTGTTTGAAGGAAGGCGGTCGGCACCTAACAACAAACAGGTCATACTTTAGCAAAGAATTCGGGCTGTGAGATGAGGTAATGAGCCGTTTAAGGCTCCCGCCCGCAGGTGCAACCGAATAGCACCCCTGGCATAGGTGCATTCCTAACGAATGTCATCTATGGCTATCCATAGAAACGTTTGTGTTTCAGAAGTCTGGTCGCTGGGCAGCCTTGTAGAATTAAGACGAAGGACCATTTGTCGTCTTGGTACAGACATTGGTTGTTGTGGTAGAACACACAGTGACTGCCCGTCTCACCAAAGCCGTATCAAAGGGGTCCATTCTCTTTGGTCTCGAGCAAAGCGATAATTAAGACCAACGTGTGCCCTGCTATATGCATGGCACTCTGGCCGATCTTTCGCCATTTTCCCTCTCCGAGTCCGTCAAGCCTGGTGAACACTGTTGTTGCTTGCAAATACGCACAGGATCGTAGTGAGGCAAGGGGCAGAGAGCGTTGACATCTCTCTGACGTTTTGGCACTGGGTTTGAGGTAGGCGTCATTGAAGAATGGTCTGGTTGTCATTCCTCGAATTGACCTGAGAATCTAACTCGATTGAACTCGGCTTCCTGTAGCTTTGGGGCCGAGATGCTCATTAGGGTCGTTCAGCACAGACGTGGCTTCTCAATAGCTCGAGCAACATAAATGTCAAACAGACGTGCGCAGCTCCAACCAACACTAGATAGCAACCGGGTCCTGACCTGTGCGCGTACGACAGATACCGTTGGTCTAGTCTGGGCCTGCCAGACATGTCGGAGCTGCTAGGCTGCAAACATCAGTTGCTGGTAAATGGAAATGCCGCTCGAGGCAATTGGAGATCGGGGGAGCACGAAGAGGTGCGAGGTGGAATGTTGGCTCACTGATTGTGTATAGACGGCTCCTACTTCCCACAACATGAACAATGGAAGGAATAATCTGGATGCAGGGTAAACACAGCCCCCTTTTTACCCCCCCTAGTCGGCCATTCAACAGTAGGCCATGGGATAATGAGGAGCGTCTGCTTGTTGGAAACAATCCGCAGAATCCGTACCGCCCAAATTGGATGGGGGTCACAGAGGAAGAGAGAGAAAAAGAGAGCAGCCCATTCACCACAGCCCGGGGCCGCTAAGCCTGGGTTGCCCCCACAGCTGGCTTAGCGCCTTGTGGTGTCTATACCAAAGGCAGCATACCCTACCTCCGCTCTTTCTGTCTCTCTGCCCAACGTTCCCACCTGGTGCGTGTCTGATTTACACCAGTGGATCACTTGCCTCCCTGTCAGTCATGGTGGTGCCGGCTTCGATGGCTGTCTGTCTCCGCCAGGTCCCGTACCGCACCAAGGGTCAGATCCAGATCCACATGCACCTGGCCTGCTTTTGGCAGCCCAACTAACACCGGTGATTTGCTCCTGCTGCCCCTTGTGCCTCTTCCTCCCTCCTCGTCTCCTTCCCCTCCCACCCACCTCCAACACACCAACAGTGCATTCTACTTACAGCACCACCTTCCGTCGCCTCTATTGAGGGGGCTTGTATCTTGTACCGATACCTTACAGATTACGACCCTGGCCATTGACTCCCAAGTACTCCGTACAGATACACTCGATGACACAGGCACCAACCCAAGTACAGACACAACACCTGATCTGCAGCAGCTGCTGCAGAAGCACTCACCACCACCAAGACTGGCATTGATTTGGTTTTACTGGGCTTGGTTGTGGTCTGCTCAGGCAAAGGCTTGGATCCCCTCCCTCTCTTTTCTTTCTTTCTCTCTCCGTCCCCCTCTGTTCCATCCATTCCCTGTTACTTTGGCAAGTAACTGCAAGTAACCAGCATATTTTCGCCGTGAACACTTTTCAGCCACTTGGTGCACAAGAGGATGAGGAGGGAAACCCAGCAGAAGTCATCAAAGGGCCGGTCATTGAAGGCCCGACATTCAGCGCCCATTCCATAGTTACATCAGCCTCCCTAGCGCCTCCTCCACTCGTCTACATCTGTTACTTCCTTACCTACTTACAGGGCTCTGCTGGCTTCACCACTATTGTTTGTTACCTTCCATTCATTGATCTCATCTCCCTCACTCACCTTACTTTCTTACTGCCTGTTTCTATCACACCCTCTTGTGGGTGACCATCCCATCTTTCATCATACACACACACATACATCTGTTTTTCCTGTGTCTTCCTTCACACACCCCACGCCCACTCTCCGGCCACCGGTTGGGCGACCGCACAGTCACAGGTTTCCCAATCCGCCCATTCTGCCCTTTATTACCCCCTTTTTATATCTCCGACAGATGCGTGATCCGTCTTTCCTTGTCCCAGTGCGCCCACCGAAACAGCTACAAACTGGTCTCCCTGCTGCAGACAACGAATCAAGACTGGGGCCGGTGCTGGGTTTGCCATAACTTCCCATCCCATCCCGATCCACGTTTTCTCTTGCCCTGTGTTACCTGTTAGTGCTATTCCTACCACTACCACTACCACTACCACTACCACTACCACTACCACTACCACTACCACTCCCATCACCACTACTACTCCAACTGAGGGAAGTGCCGGTCCTCTGTTGTCAGTGCTGCACCGCTACAGCTTGCAAAAGCCGCCCTACAGACACCTTACCTTCCTTGTCTTCTTTTACCTTGCCGCACCTACCGTGCACCTCCTCATCTCACAGGTACCTACCTACCTCCTTGCTTCAACCCCTAACCTGTCGAATTCATACGGTACGGATTTCCTACTTGGAACTACTGTTGCTTTATTCTACTTCGCTGAGAGGAGCTCCTCGCGCTCCTACTTTGGCGCTCCTGCAGCCCGCAGCCGCTGTCCGTCACATCCTCGCTCGCCCATACCGACGCCGCCTTGTGTCGCCCCCATTGCCCTTGACCGGGCCCCCAAAACTCTTATTTTACCCAGCTGCCTGCCAGAGGATCGTTAATTTCCTGCCATGGGTCGGAAGCATGTACCACAGCCGCTGACGCTGTCTGAATCCCAAGCTGCCGACCAGCAACCTGAAGACGTCCCGCGCTCTGCTGAAACCCTCGTCTCTACTGCTCCCCCAAGCGCTGGCTCCAAATCGCAATCTTCTCCCAAATCTCCGCGTTCTCCCTTTAGGTTCACTCCGAGAAGGCGCAGCACCAGTCGCAAGCAATCTCTACAGCTGGCTGACGAGCATCGAAACTTTGAGGACATCAACTTTGAGCGGTATCCGCCCATTTCTTCCGCCCTGCACCGCGCGTCAGTAGATACGGGTCCTCGCCAGCATCACCAACACAACCCAATTAGCCCCCGTTCGCCGCACCGCCTCAATCATCCCTCCCCCGGCACCTCCAACAAGCCATCCAAAGGCGGCTTCTTCTTCAATTTCACAAAGGCCTCCAAATCGTCCCATTCTGTCAGCTCTTCACCGTCGTCCTCTCACGACCAGCATCAACTGCCACCATTACCACCATTACCACCAGTACTGCGCCAGAACCACCAACAGAACCCGACTCAAAACCCTGACTCGGGAGGCGAAACTATGTCGAGGGGCCCCGACAATGCTCCCTTGAGCACCCAACCCACCCAACCTACAGGTACGAGGATAACTTTCCTTCTTGAGACCGCAGTGTCCACTGCCTGTGCAGCTAGGGCCCACCGCCTGATCCATCCCCCGTTTCGCCTATCGTGAGACCATTTCTTCAGCCGCTGACCCGTCTACCATTTTAACAGAAGATTCATCTTATGCTGAGAACGCCGTCCAAAAACCCGCACCCACCCTGCCGTCCAGGTCCGACGTGTCATTAGCATCCGCTGCCGACTACGATCCCGCCGCCTCTCAACCCTCCTCCTCAAAGAAGGGCAAGTCGAAACCGTTCGGTCTGCTAAGCCGTAGCAAGTCGCTTCGCGACAAGGACCGCGAAAAGGACGGTTTCAACGCTAGAGACAAGCAACCTAGCCCTGTACCTAATCCGATCACTGAGCCCGAACCATCGCATATCCCTCTCGACCACGGCCATCCGCGCAAGACGTCGGCACCGGCACCAGATAGGTTATTGAAGGAAATGGTCAATTCGACGGTGCAAAACCGTTCGGAAGACCGCGGGCCGTCGCGAGACATGGGGGGCAAGGAAAGCCAAAAGGAGAGGGGGAATAAGGAGAATCAGAGAGAAAGAGAGCACCATCCCCGGCAGAATTCCTCTTCACAAAACGGTGGCTTTTTCGGTGGTCTGAAGAGTGGTAGAGACATGATTAGCAGTCGCCTATTTGGAAAGGGAAGCCGAAGCGGCAGCACGACGGAGAGGGAACCCGTCATCGATGATGAGCATTATGTGCTCAAGACGATTAACCTACCTCTGGTGGAGCAGACACGCCGCACTCGCATCTCGAAACGCTTGGAGGACTCCAGAGACAAGACTGAGTTCTGGATGCCTGCATTCCCGTGGCGCGCAATTGACTACCTGAACTATAAGGGCTGCGACGTTGAGGGCTTGTATCGCGTGCCTGGGAGTGGACCGCAGATTAAAAAGTGGCAGAGAAGATTCGACGAAGGTTTGAATATCCCACGTTTTCACGCTAACTCAGTTTACTGACAACTAAATAGAGTACGATGTAAACCTGTTTGAGCAGCCTGACTTATACGATATCAACATTATTGGCTCCATGCTAAAGGCCTGGTTGCGAGAGCTGCCAGATGAGCTCTTCCCTAAAGAGGCACAGGAACGTGTTGCGAGAGAATGCGCCGGCTCCGAAACCGTTCCCCCACTCCTTATCGAGGAGCTGTCCAACCTATCGCCATTCAATTATTACCTTCTCTTCGCCATCACCTGCCATCTCAGTCTCTTGTTGGCGCACTCTGACAAGAACAAAATGGACTTCAGGAATCTTTGCATTTGCTTCCAACCCTGCATGAAAATCGATGCCTTTTGTTTCAGATTTTTGGTTTGCGATTGGCGTGACTGCTGGAAAGGTTGCAAGAACGAGTCTAAGTATATCGAGGAGGAGTACCAACTTTTCGACCAGCCGCCTCCAAAGGGGCTATCGGAACCTCGCAAGCCGTCTCGTGAGACTGCCAAGGAACCCACGCAAGAGGAGCCAGCAATTGTTATAGAAAGAGCTGCTTCATCATCTGCTAGCAGCAAACATTCAAACGCCAGCACCGAGCAACCCAAAGATAGACGGCTAAAAAAAAAGCCCCTCCAACTCTCTGAGTCCAACGGCAGCGTTGCATCCAACTCCACAATGTCGACAACTCTGACCATTGACAGCGGTCGTGATGTGCCGAGAGGCTCAAACGACTTGCGACCTTTGTCGCCTATCAAACCTCTATCCCCCCTTGGTTTCTGAAGCCAATGCTTTGGAACCTTTTTGACAGTTTCTTTCTTCCCTCGAATACCCAGGCGGAACCCGTGTGCATATGAAGCATTCGCATCATCATCATCACCGAATTACTGACGACGACATTATGCCGTTGATGACTTTCGTTTTCATCACTAAACGCTTCTGGCCTTACATGTTGCAAATGCAGGCCGGGTAGCTACACAAGCCCTCTTGGACGGACCGCCTAGAGATTACAGAATGGGTTCTGCTTCGTTTGCAACAAAGCATCATGCTGTTTGGTATACCCCAAAGCATTGAATCGTATCACAAAAGCCGTCGATTTTGCTACAGAAAATTGCGTTGGGCTGTTCTCTTTTTTTCCTTTTTTTTTTTTTTTTTTTTTTTTTTGGGCATCAACGGACAGAGTCCTTGCGACTCTTTGCTCCCTGAGCTGCCATCGAGCCATTCACGTTCCTGGCAGCTCCAAATCTGGGTACCTAATTTTTCCTTCTTTCCGCTTTTGTGAGGTGCTACGAATCTAGCGATGTTTTGTCTTTGGTAGCATAGCAGGTCGGGTTGAGCGAGGAGCATTCACAAAATGCTGGTTAGGGGGAATATGGTCACAACTCACGAATAAAGATGATTTGAGGGGTGGGTGGAATCTGTGTACAATATGTGATGGGATTCTGTACGTGGCACGGGAGAGACGAGCACGGCCAGGATCGAGTGGGTAGCTCGGTGGAAATGGAGACCACTTGTTCACAAATAGAAAGCATCACTGCCCGTTGGAAGTGTATGTTCCTGTCAGAGCCACAAATCTGGACTCGCAAAGCCGTTCCATTCCTTTTGAAAGTCCGACGCCCAAGCACAGAGACTGGATATGAATACCACCACCTTTGAAAACGCCATACCATGCCGAACCTAAAACATTACAGAATCTTGGCCCAAATTTTCTCTAGCGCTTGCCAGCAGCCTCGCGCTGGTTCTTTCTCATTTTCCTTTCGTTGCGCTTGATTCTCTCCATCCTTTCCCTCCGCTTGTCGCCACGGATCGTAGTTCCTTCCGCGCGATTCGCCTCCTTCTCGGGGTCTACCTCGACAAGCCAATCGTCTTCGCCCTTCTTGTTCATGCCCTTGTAACCCCACTTGCGGCGCCATTCCTGAGTGTCCTCGTCGAAGACGAGGTTCTTGCGCTGCTCCCGTGTCTTAGGCTTGATGCCACGCTTGGCGGCGAAGCGCTCCCACTTGGTGGGCTCCTTGGGCTTGGGCACAGGCTTCTCGCGCGGCAAATCTGTCGAAGGGGGGGGGAGCGTCAGCAGAACACCATCGGTAGTGCTCTGGAGCGGACAGGTGGTGAGAAGTTGGTTGATAATAGCCTGGGCACCATCACGGGCAGTGGCGGCAAGGGAGTCCTCAATCGCGGACTTGTCGAGCTCGAGGGGGTTGGGATCGTTGGCCAGCAGCAGGCCCAGGTCGAAGTTGTAAGGTGTGGGCTTGTTAACTGCGACAGGCAGCTTGGGGCGCGAAACGGAAAGCGCCATTTCGTTGGTTTAGTGCCGTGAATCTGGATTTGTTGTCCTCTTGAAGACAGCGATTGCGTACAAATTTGGAAGTGTAAATGTGTAGTGTCCGACTTACAGAAAGCGAATCGGATTCCGTAAGTGGGATATCCAGAACTTTTTTCTGCCAAAATTATTTTGGCGGCGAGCGATAAGAGCCGGATCAACTGTCACCGGGAGCCGAGAAGCCATACAGCCAATCAGCGCTCTAATTGGCTAAGCTAGACTGAATGGCCAGGGGTGTGCGTCTAACGTCCCGAAATTTACTTACGAACTTTTTGGAGCTCTGGGACAGACATCACACGACGACCTAATCAAGGGCGACTCGACGAGCTGCCTCGGACGGTACAGCCCAATTATTCTAATACGAATGGCCTCATAACATAGGACATCCGGCATCTCGATCAAAAACCTTCCGCTCGGGCTCGCCCTTCCCGACAGCACATACTCACACCATGGCCTCCGCCAACTGCGCGCGGTGCCTCACCAGGCCCACGACTGCGGCCGCACCTCGTATTCTCTCGCAGCGCATAGTCCCTCTTATCACCTCTTACGCTGCCGCCGGTCCGTCTGCCAGCGCCGCATCTTTCTCAACCTCGTCTGCCGATGCCGCCGCCGTTCGCAAGGTCACGTACTGGGGAAAGCATATCCGTCGTGGCAAGGTCAACCAAAACGCGAAGAAGAAGCGGGACAACGTAAGAGTTAAGAAGCCCGCCCCCGGAGAGCGCAAGGCCTTCCGCAAGCGCATTACACTCAGCAACAACAATGCGCTTCTTGTCGAGGGTCTCCAGGATGCATCCAAAGAGACCTTTTCCTCGATCGAGGCTCAGGGTAGTGTGGTTGGTCTGCCAGACCAATTGGTAGACCAACTCAGGTCTCTTGAGGCGTTTAAGACGACTCAGTGCTGGGGCCTTTTTAGGAGGCCACACGTGCTTGTGCGAGAGGAGACAGTTAAACTGGCCAAGAGAATGGACAATGCCGTCAAGGAGAGACAGACGCTTAGAATGGTCTTGACGGGTGACAAGATTTCTGGCAAGAGCATTCTACTGCTGCAGGCCATGGCTCATTCCCTATTGAACAACTGGGTTGTCATCAATATTCCCGAAGGTATATTTGTTTTCCCGCTAGTAAGCAATTTCCGTCTCGGAAGTTGTTGCTAACATTGTTCAGCCCAGGATCTTACCAACGCCAACACGGATTACAGCCCGGTCGCCAACAGCAAGCCCCTCCAGTTTTACCAGCCTACCTACTGCTTTGATCTTCTCCAGCACATCATGAAGGCCAACGGACCCGTTCTGAAGCAGTACAAGGCGTCCAAGGAATATCCCGAGCTTCTTCACGTACCTAAGGACGGCACTCTCTATGATATCGCCAACTCGGCAAAGGAGCCCGAGTTCGCCTGGCCCGCCTTCCAAGCTCTCTGGTCTGAGCTCACTACCACTCCTGGCGGCCCCCCTGTCCTCCTCGGCCTCGACGGTCTCTCGCACATCATGAAGGTATCTGCCTACCGAGACCCTTCCTTCAACCTCGTGCACTCGCATGATCTCTCCCTCGTGCGCCTCTTCGTCGACGCCCTTAGCGGCAAGACGCCCCTCGCTAACGGCGGTGCCATCATTGCCGCTACGAGCCGAAGCAACGCACCGCGTTCACCTTCCATGGACCTTGCTCTCGCGCAGTCCGCCGCCGCCGCAGCGGACCTGCATGTGCCCACCCCGGACCCCTATAAGAAGGGTTATGACGACCGTGTCTACGAGGCAGTCCGCGGTGTCGAGGCGTTCAATGTCAGTGGCATCAGCCGCGACGATGCCCGCTCCATTATGGAGTACTGGGCTGCCAGCGGCCTCCTGCGCGCGCGTGTTGACGCGGGCTCTGTGTCCGAGAAGTGGACCGTTGCCGGCGGTGGCATTATCGGCGAGCTCGAGCGAGCAAGCTTGCTCAACTCGCGTGTGCTGCAATATTGAGGGGAACGGGTGAGATGCTAGCAGAAGAAGCAGTGTATACATGTACTAGTGTACCAAGATGTCGAATGTAGAAGGGTGGTGAAAACTTTTGTACTATACAACAATCATCTAAATTCATGGGATTTTTCCGATCTATCGTTGCGAAAATGCTGCCGTGAATCGTCGCGGAAACTTCAACCCATCGTATAATTGAAGAGACGAAATGAATGGGCTACATCTGATGACTTCGAACTCATTATTTTCTTCATATGAACAATTCGGAAGTAAGTAATACTTCGCCCTCTGCCACTTCATCCGTGACAATCCGACAACGCCAAATCCCAAGGCTTCTCTTCACAAAGCCTTATATGGAAAACATAAACGAATTCAAGGACATTGCGCAACTTCGACAGACCCACGATCCACGGGTATCTATTCCTCTCTTTCCGCGTTGGACGTAATGAAAACCAGCCTCGTACCGTTGCCGGCCGTTTGCCAAACCTGTTTTGGTAATTATTAGCATATTTCTCATAAACGTTTCGATTTGGTAATATCCTTACATCGAGCTCGTTGTACTCCTCCAAGGCAGCAAGCCACTGATCCTCAGTAAAGCCCTTGGCGATGACACGCTCCTTGACCTTGCGCAGGGACAGCTCAACACCGAGCTCCTCATCATCCTCCGCATCGTCAGCACGGCAGGCACCACTGTCGGCAAGGGTCTTGACGAGGTTGTAAATTCTGCTGCTGGCATTAAGGCGCGAACGTCCCGAGCCACTCTGTTCGGCAGCAAGACTCTCCTTGGAAGCCTCGACGAGACGGAGAGCCTCATCAACATCGTCGTGAGAGACTTCGTTGCTGAAGCGCAAGCGGGCAAGGGCCTGGGCGAGACGGACGACACCGAGGAGGGTACGCGGGGTGGTGTGGGTGAACTGCTGGCCCTTCTTCTCAGCGCGACGTTGCTGGTCGCGCATGCGGACGTATGTCTTGATCATGTACTCAGAAGCAGACTCGGGAACAACGGGACGATAAGTACGCGCTTGGGCGACATAGGAGCGGACCTCGTGCGGGGAGAATACGACAGAATCGTTGCCGATATCCGGGTGACGTTGGTGCATGTGAACGTAGGCGACGTGCTTAGCGAGCTGGGCATCAGACTCGCGGGTTGGGGTGTCAAGGAGAAGGAAGAGAATATCGAAACGGGAGAGGAGAGCGGCGGGGAGGTTGATGTTCTCAACGGGAGAGATGCGAGGGTTATAGCGGCCGTAGATAGGATTGGCAGCGGCAAGGATGGAGGTGCGCGCGTTGAGGGTAGTAGAGATACCGGCCTTGGAAATAGAGATGGTCTGCTGTTCCATAACTTCGTGAATGGCAGTGCGATCATTGTCGTCCATCTTGTCAAACTCATCAATGCAGCAGATGCCGTTATCAGCGAGAACGAGAGCACCGCCTTCCAAGACCATCTCGTCAGTGACAGGGTCGCGCATGACAGCAGCGGTGAGACCAACACCACTGGAACCGCGACCAGAGGTATAGACGCCACGAGGAGCAACCTTGGAGATGTATTTAAGCAACTGAGACTTGGCCACACCAGGGTCACCCATGAGGCAAATGTTGATGTCACCACGAATCTTCATACCGTCGCCGACTTCCTTTGTAACGCCTCCGATGAGGAGCAGAAGCAAAGCCTTTTTAACGTCGAGGTGGCCGTAGATTTCAGGAGCGATAGACTTAGCGAGAAGCTCATAGACTTGGCCTGATTGTCTGTACTGGTCGATACGGCGGGCCAGCTTGGGGTCGACGATCATCTCAGAATAAGCTTTCTTGTGCTGGACGATGTGGTGGGCTTCCACATAGGTATCCGTAAGAAGACCAGCCTTCATAGCCTTGAAGCCTGTGTAGGGAGTCGGCAGGAAGATACCCGAAATGTCGACAACGTCGCCAGGATTGACCTTCCGCACTGAGGTACCGTAGCACAGCACGGTCAGAGTACGGGGGATTTGACCGATAGGAACCTGTTCAGCGAGCTCCTGAACCTTGACCTCTTGAAAGGGAAGGAACTTTGAGGCTCTTGAAGAAGGGTGGAGCTGACCCTTGGCTTGGTTCTGCTCACAGTCCTTGGATGGGCATACAGTCAAGGGGCCGTAGGACTTGTCGTTAACTGGCTGGAAGATTTCGCAACCGCATCGGTCGCAAGTGTATGCGCTGACTTGTACGATAGGCTTCACATCTGACACTCGAGTGGCGATGGCGCGAATAGTAATCAGGTGGCCAAGGTGCTCGCCCTTGACTTGACGCACCGCAAGCGCCTTAGTTGGGTCGGATGCAATTTCAGATCGAGGCTTGAAGGCGAGAGTATATCGGCGCGTGAGCTCAGCAGGGAACTTGTCCTCAGCCAGGGTTGGGTCGGGAAGCTGGCCATCAACCGGCTCCGTAGCAGCTCGCTGCACAGCCTCGTTTTTCCGTTGTCTTCGCTCCATGAGAACGTCCAGGACATCATCTTTGAAGCTGTTCGTAATTAGCGTATGTAAACTGCAAAGTAGTTTTTCATTTAGCCATACTTAACATCAGAACTAGGCTTAGGCATCAGTTTGTCAACCGCCCTCGACATTAGTTCAACGTAGTGCTTGGTGTTGATTTCTATCGAATGAACCAATTGGAGCTCGTCGCCGAGTTGTGATTCGAACTGGAATTCTGTCAGTCCACAATTGCATCTCAGCGAGAAATCGGGGTCTCCCACAGCTGCCAAGTCGTCCAGGTCAATCAGAACCTCGTCAATCTTACGATCTGCCAATTGCTGCAGCATAACCTTGTATTTAGGGCCAGGCGCACTCTTTGTTTGGCGGCGGGTCTCGCGCGTCTCATCATCGTCCATCAAGTCGTCATCGCTGAAGTCGTTTTCGTCTATCGTGATGTTGCCGAGGGCATGCGCGATCGTTTGCTCAGGGGATGCCTTGAACTCCTGAAGGAAGGATTCCAAGGCGGCTTGGTGCGAGTTAGCAACTGGTTGGGAGGGTGATGTGAAATATGAGAAGGCAGAATTGGCTTACTCTGCTGCGCTTCATACGCTACCGGCGCCTTGAATTGACGAAGCGCCATCTTGACAAAGTTTGCGGAGTCTCAGCTGCAGATATCCCTTGAAGCTTGTCGACAACTTATTGTGGCTGAGAAGCGTAGTTACGAAGGGTCTACGGGTTCGTCTCTGCAACGGCGGCGGGGAGTTGCTCTCAGGGCTGCTGCTGTCGGGATTGAAGATTATTTGACGCTGGGTGGGGGGCTGGGAAGAACCAATGTGAGATCAATGCAACAGGGGGGAAGAAATTGGCTGGGCGACGGTAAACGCGTCTTTTCGCGTCATGAAGCGTGTCGCACAGCCGCAGCGGTTAATTGATTTTAGATGCGCCACAGGTGGCACAAGCTGTAATGTCAGGGGGATCCGAAAAAGATACGTCTATCTGCAGCTACCCCGTGTTCGGACCCAATGGGGGTGGAGGTCCCTTCGATGCCGGGAATGCCTCGGCGTCGGCACATGCTAGGGCCAGTCTCGGTTCAACTCCATCATCAGCTCCAACAGCTTCAGCACTGATTACCCACAGCATCGTAGCGAAGCACTCCCCACGTCTCCTTGCTCTTTGCTTAGAGAGCGCCGTTCTTTTTCTTACCTCTTGTTCATGGACTGCTGATTGTTTTATCGCTGCCATGGCTCCGAAACGTAATGCACAATCAACTCCAGCGGAGATCTCTCTCGCCCACCTCAAGAACTGCCTGGTCAACCTCCCCGCATCACTGGTCACGCTTCTAGTCAATGTCAACACTGTAGGTCTGCAACGCTTCATTCCATGGGGTAGGCTGACGTAGTTTGGAATAGCCCGCTCAAAATGTCGTCGTCGAACTCACATACCGACCTTCTTCCGCAAACGCTTCCGGCGCCAGCGCAACACAACAACATTCTGTCTTCGTTGGGTGGACTGGTATGCCCAGTAAGCGCAAGGTTGCACCTATCGTCGGACGCGATGGAATCAATGGCGGGAGAAGTGGTGGCTCATTACGCGATCAAGAAGTTCCTCAAGTCGAGATCGATGCCACGCTCGCAAATACCCTTGGGCTATCGGATGGACAGAAGGTGACGGCCTCAATACACGTCGATCCCCCTGTTGCACACACCATCAACATTGAACCCATTACACCGGAAGACTGGGAGATGATTGAACTTCACGCGACGTTCCTCGAGCTCAATCTTCTATCCCAAGTCAGAGCATTGCCGAACCCCGCCTTCACTTCAAGCTCAGGGACTCTAGTCGCGCCGCATGCTTTAACGCTGCATCTGTCGCCAACGTCGACAGCAAACATTAAAGTCGTTTCTCTTGATCCTGTACCGGCAGCCAATTTTCCGTTTGCCAAGATTTCGCCCGATGCCGAGGTCATCGTTGCGCCGAAGACCCGCGCAAAAGCATCACATTCGCTGGGAGAGAACCGCAGTGTAGCCAGTACCTCAAAATCTAAAAGAAGTGGTGCAAGCACAGTTCGACGGCGAAGCGCGCGGGAGGAACGCAAGCTTGCAATGTGCCTCAGAGGTGTGGACCAAACAGCGTGTCGGGACTGGTTCGATGAAGACATCACCAGTCAAGACTTCAGCGTGTGGGTAGACCGCGACATTCTATACACCAAGGACTTCAGGGGTGTGAACTATGTCTCAGTCAGTATCTTGCGGCCTACCCCACAGCCAAGTACCAATCCCCAGAAGCCGCAGCAAGACGCTGAAGCGGCGTCAACCTCCAAAGCGGCAAACAAGGTTATTGCTCATTTACGGGCATGGGATGACCCTCCTGATAGCAAGACGATTGCACTATCCTCACCACTCTCTGCAACGTTGGGCTTTACTGGTGCTGTCGGCGGTATTGTAAAAATCGAGCCGGCGCCACAGCAATGGCCGCTTGATGCTGTGCAGAAACTAATTGTCCATCCTTTTGCGGCATCTAAGAAGTCGCCAGAGGGGTTGAAGTTTGGCGGAGAATCCAAAGCTGGAAAGGAGGAGGCCTCGAAGCAGTTCAAGCATATGTATGGGGCTCGTAAAGATGCTACATCAATTCTCAGTGGACCCCTTACGGATGGATCAGTAATTGGTCTTTACGAAGGACTTGAAGCTCCTCAGGGTTGGGAGGGAGGTATCATCAAATTTGATCCAACCGCAATGAACAGCGACCCGTTGAGATCGTCGACAAAATGGGTCCTGGGTTTGAGTGATAAAATTACCGTTGAGTTTCGGGACCCAGTTCCTCGACCTTCGTGGATGAACGACGACAGTATTGCCGAGTTACACTCCTCTTTCGATGGTCAACTTGTGGGCATCGACAAACTCCTACAAGATCTACGAAGCCATCTCTCTCACCTTTCTTCAACTCTACTCACAGGCGCCCTGGGCTCGGGCAAAACTGCTGTCGCCAAGTCTCTAGCTCACGAACTTGGCAAAGACCTACTCTTTCACACCACTTACTTCCCCTGCCGTAAACTTGTTAATGATGAAACAAGGATTGCGACTATCAAGGATACTTTGCATCAGGTGTTCATGTCTGCCAGCTGGGGTGCCAGATTAGGCGGCAAGGCACTGGTTGTTTTGGATGACTTGGATAAGCTGTGTCCCGTGGAAACAGAACTACAAGTTGGCAACGACAATGGAAGAAGTCGCCAAATCAGTGAGATTATATGCTCTATCGTCCGCCAATATTGCAATGCGGAGTCTGGCGTAGTATTATTAGCAACATCAGAAGGCAAAGACTCGCTGAATAACGTCGTCATTGGAGGTCATGTTGTTCGCGAGATCATTGATCTGAAGGCCCCTAATAAGGAAGCCAGACGAAAGGTCATGGAGTCCATCGTAAGGCAAGATGCGGTAGGTCCAGAGGAGGCCCGACAAGCGTCTCACAACGGCAGCCGCCCGCCCACGGCCGATGGTAGCACTGTTGGAGAAGATAGTGCGTGGATGGATGCCGGCAGCCAAGGCAGTCGAGAGAATCGCAAAGGCACAGGAGGAGGCTTTGTTTTGGATCCTGATCTAGACTTTCTTGACGTCGCCGGGCTTACGGATGGATATATGCCAGGAGATATTAGCTTGCTTGTCGCAAGAGCTCGCAACGAGGCAATCATCAGATCAGTCAGTGAGGAAAGTGACGGAAGCGCAGTCACCCTGGGCCGAGTTGACTTTGACAACGCCCTTAAAGGTTTTACCCCTGCATCGCTACGAAATGTCTCGCTGCAAAGCTCGACCACCACGTTCAGCTCCATCGGCGGTCTGACAGAGACACGTCAGGTTCTACTAGAAACCCTGCAGTATCCGACCAAGTATGCGCCTATCTTCGAGCAATGCCCACTTCGGTTGCGGTCCGGTTTATTATTATACGGATACCCAGGCTGTGGCAAAACTCTACTTGCGAGCGCTGTCGCTGGAGAGTGTGGCCTCAACTTTATCAGCGTCAAGGGACCAGAGATTCTCAACAAGTATATCGGTGCATCGGAAAAGAGCGTCCGCGATCTCTTTGAGCGCGCATCCGCTGCGAAGCCCTGCGTCTTATTCTTTGATGAGTTCGACTCAATTGCGCCGAAGCGTGGGCACGATTCCACCGGTGTGACGGATCGTGTTGTGAACCAACTTCTAACTCAGATGGACGGTGCCGAAGGCCTTTCTGGAGTGTATGTACTCGCAGCGACATCCAGGCCAGATCTTATCGATCCTGCGCTTCTTCGTCCAGGCCGCTTGGACAAGTCTCTGCTTTGCGACATGCCGACATTGGAGGATCGTGTCGACATTTTGAAGTCTCTTTCGAGTAAGGTCAAGTTGAGCGAGGAGTTGACAGAGTCGGACGATGCCTGGACAGAGATCGCCAGACGAACAGAAGGATTTTCGGGTGCTGACCTCCAGGCGCTCGTTTCGAACTCCCAGCTTGAAGCTATTCACGACGTGTTGGACGATGTCGACCATAATCCAACAACCAACGGCAAGGTCAACGGAAAGTCGACTGCCTCTCATGGCTCGATCCCTAGTTTTGTGCAGTTTCGCTACGGCCAAGATGCTACACCGGCAACCAAGGCAGTCAGTCGTTCAGCAGAGCTGGTGGAGAACAATGCAATTCTTGCAAAGTTGGAAAGCATCAAACAAGCTCGAAAGAGGGTCAAGCATGCCCAGCGTCCTGATAACGAAGCGAAGCCGGTGAATGACAAGGAGGTCGTAGTGAAACTAGAACATTTAATGAAGGCCCTGGAGAGCACCAGGTCCAGTATCAGCACGCAGGAGCGCGCCAGACTGCAAAGGATTTACAGGGAATTTGTTGTCGGGCGAAGCGGTGAGATGAGGGACGGCCAAGGAAGCATGGAAATTGGTGGGCGAAGCAGCCTCATGTAAGCGTTTGTGTCGGCCGCTCAGTGTTATGATGAATGCATACGTCTTTCCAGGGGCGTTGTTTGAATATGAATCTATTCATACCATATACAAGTCTGTCATTGACAGGCGCTGTTTGTTTCGATTCCCCCGATTTATCTTAAAACATCTCTATCTCTTTGATGTCTCATGCCTTACCAGCTAAAATCTTCTTATGAAAGTCTGTCCAGTTCGCCTCGCATTGGCCCTTGACGACACTGGCCAAAAACCTGGAGCATTTAATCTCAACAACCTCGACCAGCTCGTAACCCCCATTACTGGATTCCCGAACACTCCAGCGTGTTTCAAGCAGAACACTGAGTGGGCACTGAGTACGGACGAAGCTGCCGTCTTTGGTGAAGGTGAAGTCATAGTCGCTGACGGCGTCCTTGTCCCAGATTCCCTTGGGCAGAAGTGTTGGCACACTATCAGTGACGGTGTAGCATTGAGTCGCGGAGATTGGCTCGATATCCTTGGGTACAGTAGGCGGTATCTCTGGAGATCGAGCGGTGTAATCCTTCATGTTGGGGTCGCACTTGATGTGATGCTCCGCATCGTGGAGGAGGGCAATGACGTCCTCTTTAGACATGCCCGAAGGAACCGGGGTGACATGAGTTAAAGTTAATGAGGTGTTGAGCATTGCGTCTAAGCCCGATTTTTCAAAATTCGAGAAAAGAAGAGTTGCCGTTAATGATTTTGAGATTTTCTTAACGTTATTTGGTTTGACTTTATAGAGAACGAACAGCTAAAAGTTGAAAGACGCTTGCTTTCGACAAAGACACGTAAAGGATGAAGGTCAAAGGCGTAAGTTAAGCACAAACAAAGAAACAGAAAAGTAAAGATGCTCGGCTCGTCCTTATAAGCTGGATGCCACTCTGCGGGAGTCAATTGCATGTGATACACTTGACGTATCAGATGACTTCTGCCCACGGACCCGAACATGCGAGGGGAGCAGATTGATCTTCTCCTTGATCCGGGAAGCATTGACGGGCAGTTTGGTGGACGTTTCCCCCGCATTTAAAAGTTGGTACTATATACTGAATCATTGAAAACAAGCGAGGTCCCCTTTCAGACCTCATTTGTTCGCTTTGGGGACTACTTACGGTATAGCACATCGAGATGGGAAAGTTTAATTCAACCTCCCAACACAGCATCCTTTCCACGCAAGATGTAAAGACTGAAGCACACCAAAGAGTAATGACTTTCAAAATAATCTCAATCAATGTCAGCACGCATTGTTTTCGTTGGCTTAACCATCGGTGGAGTTGTCCGCGGTGTGGGCCAGCTATGACGAGGCACTGCTACGGAGGCTCAGACCCGGATGCGGATGCGGATGCGGATACGGAGATTCAGCAGTTGGTTTCCGTTATTGATCTGAACGGAAATAGATTTGAGGTTTTGGAAAAAGAAAAGAAAAACGCCAATTTGACGTCTTCTGATGGTTTCCTTGCATACTTCATCGGATCATCAACATACCGCCTAATACTGCGCGCTGTTAGAGTCGGAGCAAGAATAGTGCCACACGCACGCCACGCTACCAAGGAGATACCCCAACGCGCTTCGGCCAGCCTTCAACAAACGGGTCAAACGGAATACCAGTAGCCTGCTACAAAATTGCCTGTAAAATACTTACAAAGGAGAGTTGCAGAGACCTTCCATTCTCTTGCACTTCACTATAACGATACCACTGACTTAGCCGCAGATATCAGGAGAAGTTCCAAGCATATTTCCACTAGAAAATCACGTTAAATTCACCAGTTCACTTGTTGCCCTCATTCAACTGAATAAGTCTTTAAAAACTATGGGAAGGCACCACAGGGTAGATCTCGAATTAAGTTTTAGGCTTAACAGCACGCACTCACAGGCTGTCGGCGCTTGATAAGCCGCGCGGTCACCATCTACAACCCTGCAAGACGAGCTTTTGTTGCAAGTGACTATGCTGCGTCCGAAACATCCCAGCGTGATACGGCAAAAGAAATAAAGGTAATTGTGAAATAACTATCGCGATTCCCTCGGTATATCTATCTCTAGCCGTCGCCCGCCATTGTGTGCATGCATGGAAGATATCTTTCCCTGGCGTCTTCTAAATGTCTTATAGCTTCCTTGCATGAAAAACAATACACTGGAAGATAGTGACCGTGCTGGAAGAAGAATGCTATCTGTTGCAGAGAACACAGCCTTTGCGGCGTGTCTGTGTTCGAGTCATTCCGGGCGAATAGAACAATTCGTCGAGAGTCATATCAATTGATGGCAAATTGATTGGAAATTAATATCATAAACGACGGCGCCAGTTGAAAGCGGAATAGGGGCGAATATGAGCTGGGCTGTCCAAGTAAGCCGGGCAACTCTGAGATGTTGTGAATTCCACGGTCAGCGGTAACTACCAGCAACTAACATAGATTCAGCGCCCCAAAAGTAGTCCAACTGGGTTACAGAAGCACCGAAAATGATGATACTACACTGTATGTTATTTGAAGATACCTGGAGGCAGCTTATATCTAGCCAGGTATCCAAGATCTATTTTTGAAGGGCTTTTAGAAGCCCAAGCCGAGAATGCCGCCGAGTTGAGTTCTGCTAACACTTAAACTTCTCATTTGAACTTCGGAGTTTAACGGTCATAAGTTAAAGATATAGTGAAGATCCGAGAAGATGAATCTGCCTGGGATGTGCAACGTCAATGACGGTAAAGATCTTAGAAGAAACTCAACCGTTCAACCAAGTGGGTTCTCTAGTGGATGTTCCTCGGATTCATTCTGCTGGCCGATGAACGTTTCTTCATTCCTCTACCAAAATCATAATGGTACGCAATCATTAGGCTAGATATGTCTGCCATCCCATTCCACTATGAGCTCATTCTCATGGGGCCTGCGACTCGTATTCACAGCGCAACATCTCAATATTTACCTCCGTTTTCTTCATCGTTGTAAATACCTGGATGCAATCGACACTCATGGCTTCCTCCTCTAGTGCAACCCTTCGCTCCTCTGAATTGTAAATCTTACCAAAATCAGATCCCATCACCGCGCCATGATGCACGTTAGTGTTCCTACTGGACGTAACAACACCAGAAATCTCGTACGAATCATTGTCGTTCAATGTCAGCTTCGAATCCCACTCTTTTACTAGACCAACACTTGTCTTTTGGTGCAATACCTCGGTTTGCACAACGTTCAGATACTTCTTGTTTATGATCCATGCCTCGAGCTTCGGAAGCAAGTAGTACCGAGCCTGTTGCAGAACCATGGCATACATTGCATAATCGAAGCCGTTACATGCATCCCAAAAGAAGGGATAGCTTCCTGTGCGCAGGTAACGAAGGATATGTCCGAAGAGATCAGGGTCGTTGTCAATATGCAAAATGCCGTCTCGGTACCACTCTAGAAAAGGAACGGAGAATAGATGCTTGAAGTAGGGACTCCGTTCAAGGACGTCTATTGAAGAGACAAAACGACGGCCGCCTACCTCCAGGACAACGCGATTTCTATAGACAGGCGGATAGTTGAATCCCGGAGGTGTAGGGGGTGGAACTGTAATACTTTGGTGGCTGGCGAGAGGCGGCGAATGAATTTTATTGCACTCCGCATCTCTAAATTCAACTTCCTCGGCTTTTTTTCTTCCTGCGGTGAAAGTGTTATTGTTTGCCGCATTGGAAGTAGAAGACGATTGACTGTCATCCCCAGTAATGATACTTGCCGCGCAGTTAGCTGCATAGGGGTTCACCTTTGGATCATCCGAAAAGATCTCCGGGTACTGCCGGGACCAGAGGGGACAGGTATAGTACCCAGGCTCTTTGCTTGGTTGGAAGAGAGTAGGCTTGCCTTCTTTCAGCCATATTTTCGGCTCAGAGCTCTTATCCCAGATGGCAGGTGACAGCGATGACGGGACAACAACTTGTTTTCCTTCCAGTTCTGCTCTCAAAGTTTGGCCAGACTTCTCTGACTCTGTGTCATTATTAGTTTCGCTGGTTGTCGCAGCAGAAAAACGGACTTTCTTGTCGATGAGTTTCTTGCCATCGGGTGTGGTCTTTGGAAAGTCATAAGGGGGATTAGATGCAATGAATGCTGTGGACGGGAGGTGCGAATTCTTCTCTGTCTGCTTCGAATTCGATTCCAAGAGTTTGGGCTGAGTTTCCTGCCGATCGATGGGGGTTGCGGTTTCGCTCCTGTCGACTGACTTATTATCACGGCGTTTCTTGGTGAGTGGTTTGTAAGAGGCAGATGAAAGAAGACCAACGCCAGCTGGCTCCTTTTTGTTCAACTCGAAAACGGTCTCGGCTTTTTTGTGCCGGTGAGCTGATATTTTTGAGATTTGGTTTGTGGTGGATAGGGGTGACGCCGCCTCTGAGCTGCTGACATTGAAAGGACTTTCCCGTTCTAGTCTTTTGCCGCCAACTGATGTTCCCAAATCAAAGTCAGATCTTCGGACTGTGGGGTTGGTCATATATGAAGCGATTGGCTTCATTAGGTCCTCGGCGGTAACCGCTGAAGTTTCGGCCGCTTCAGTCGAGGTTGGATTCCCGACCGGCTTGGCACTGTTATCCATTTGATGAATGATGCTTGGAGATGATATCTGATGAGGTTTTTCTGTGGTTGTGGATAAGTCTTTTTCGAACCTGGATGGCTCTTGTGATGTGGACTTTAAAGTCTGAATGCTTTCTTCACATTCTTCTTTGTTGGAGCCAAAGAGCATGGAAAGGCGACTTTTTTGTATTTCTCTTGACATTTGAAGGTCTCGAATATGGTGGTTTTTTTCACTAATGAGCAACATCGAGATTTGTAAGGCGGAGATCGGTGCAAGAGATGGGCTGCTGGAAGAAACTAAGCCTGTCACTTTGTTATATGAAATGGGGAAGGAACAATGGCCTTGTTTTTTTGCTTGTTGATTTTTCTGGGGGAGCAGAATCCAGTATAGGTCGAATTCACTTGAGTCGCAGTGTTTCTCGAAAGCGGGTTTGTCATTGGATGTTGGGTCACTTGAGATGATAAATGGTTTCTCGTTGATGAAGTGAGAGCCCTCGTCACTGTGGCGACGGTGCATGTTCGGTTCTTCACTATCTAGTTTGAGAAAAAGACATCGTTAAATAAAATTGTACATTACAAGTATTGCTCGATTGAACGACTGTAGGAGCATGAGGCAAACTCTCTTTGAAAAGCAGCAATGTTTACTTGGAACGTGGGTGCTGTACCACGTGAACCAGCACAGCACGCTGATAGCCATGACTTGCTGTATGACTCTGAGAAGTGCTTTCACCAGAAACCATTAGTTGGAATCAATTAAATCAAGATATACCACGTTTAGCATCCCAATCTGCCAACGAAAGCCGAGCCTACCAAATGTAAGTAGAGCGACAAAAAAACATGTCACTAAAAGAGGTTTATCTGGGTCAAAATCAACAATACAACCTGAAATGTCTGTCAAAAAGTAGGATTCAGTCTGGCTTTGATAGCAGCAAAGATTGACTTGAATGGATCAGGTTTGCCATGAGCCAAACAACAATTTGAATGAACTGCGCCATGAGGCAGGTAAGGGAAGGTTTGCCCCGCGGACACTGATGGCGCTGCTCAGTCCTAATCAGTCCCATGCAAATGGAAAGTAAGCCGATTTCTATATGATTTGATCGTCATTAAACCCCCTGTTCAAATCTGAGCTGTCAGTACACGTATCGCAGCATTATGTTGTTTCTTGTCAACCTCGTCGGGATCGGAATCAAAGCCCCTTGATGGTTGGGTAATTACGTCAAGGAGCCGTGCCATTGGCCTCTAATACACCGTCAATCATCGTAACTTTTATGTTTGCGTCGTTTATAGTGCACATGTGTGGTTTTACTCAGGATACTTGAGGAAAGGTATCCAATAGTGAACAAGTACAGACACAATTACAAAATTAGGAGTTACATAGGGTTGATCAGGAGGCCATGGAAAGAGAACAATGAGTTCAGTGGATACCCAGCAGCACATTTCTAAGAAAGATTAAAGACACCAGGATTTTTAAAGAGAATTGGAAAGCATTGGGTGTCGAGCCTTCAGTAGCAGGCTTTTGAGCTAGAATGGGTGTTTCTTGATGGGGTTTCGGCATTCGTCAACTCGAAGGAGGAAAAATACATTATTGCCATGGCAGATGCGGCCCCACTATTACTCATGGGTCTTTTTTTCGAGAAGGGGTAGTAATATGAACAACGGGTGTGTACGTAATCTGCACGCTCTCGGTGTAGATAGAGGGGTCCTTCAAAAAATTTCCCATCTATCGATCGCAACTTTTCGCAGTTCAGCCATAGTGACAAACCCCACCATGGCGCCCATCACACCCAGTCAAGCCGAGCTGGACCGGCGGAGAGTAAGTGAAGAAGTTTTTGATCTCTTCTATCAATTTATCTAATCCATTGTACTCCAGATAGTCGGCATCAACAAGGAAACTGTTACCGATGTAAACTCGACCGACTACCCGGGCACGTATCCGGGCGAGGATCACGCCTGGGACCTCGAGAAATTCGCAAACAATTTCCGCGTCCAGTTCCACCACAACAGCCAGCACGATGCCTCCTTCTCCCTTATTGGTGTCGACGCCTCAATCGCCAACGCCTTCCGTCGTACTCTTATCGCTGAGATCCCAACCATAGCCATCGAGAACGTCTACATCGAGAACAACACCTCCGTCATCCAGGACGAAGTTCTTGCTCACCGCCTTGGTCTAATCCCATTTACCGGAAACCCGGAAGGAATCCATAAGTTCATCAAATGGTACCGCAAACCTGAGCAGGGTGGCAAGGGCTCCTTTGACTACAACACTGTACAGCTGCGCTTGCGCGTCGAGTGTACTCGCAACCCGGACGCCTCGCCTAATGAGACCGACCCAAATGTGGCCTTCAGGAATGCGAATGTCTATGCTAAGGACATTGAGTTTGTTCCCATAGGCCGCCAGGTGGAGTTCTTTTCTGGCGAGAACGCTATCCGGCCCGTCAACCCGGACATCCTCATCGCTAAGTTGAGGCCGGGACAGTGCATAGAGCTCGATATGCACATGCATAAGGGTATTGGCGCCGACCATGCAAAATTTTCCCCCGTCGCCACCGCCTCATACCGACTCATGCCTACTATCAATATCACGCGACCAATTCTGGGCCAGGATGCTGAGAAGTTTGCCAAGTGCTTCCCACAGGGCGTCATTGGTATCGAGAAGGTCTCGAAGAAGGAGGCTGCCATTGCAGGCAGCGGTTACGAGGGACATGAGGGCGAGAAGAAGGCGGTTGTCAGGGACGCCATGAAGGACACTGTCAGCCGTGAATGCTTGCGTCACGCCGAATTCGAGGGCAAAGTCAAGCTTGGCCGGGTGCGCGACCACTTCATTTTCTCCATTGAAAGCACTGGGCAGTGGGACAGCGATGAATTGTTTTTGGAGTCAGTTAAGCAGTTCAAGACGAGGTGTATCCGTCTTGAGCAGCAGGTCATCAACATGGTTAGATGAAGCTTCACTGCACATGTACCATATCTATAGATATCCCGTGGTTTCTGGTTTGTAACGGCTGGCTGGCAATGGAAAGCAAAAAGTTAATTCATCGTTGATTTATTCTCCTGATGTTCCATGCAGCCAACCCCGTTATTGTTGTCACATATCGCGCCATGTTCTAAATGTCCGTCTCGGACACATCATGCTGTCGTTATCGTCCCTCCATTAATCATTGAGTTCGCCGGTGGGTTACGCAGTTTGTTTGAACCGCAGGTAAAAGTTGAACTCAAGAGGGAAAGCAGGATCTGTAACAACCACATTTTGTCCATCTTCCAGCCCAAGATCCTTGATAGTTTTTTGGAGATTTGCACGTGTCTTTTCTTCCAAGCTGGGCGGAAACTGCATGTAGAGCGTCTTTCCCTCTCCTCTGATCGAAGGCTTCTTCAATTGAGCTTCGGGACGAATAGCGAATGAGTCCAGAAGGTCCTGAAGGGTGCTACTAGGGTCGACCTCTAACGGACGCGACTGATTACCACAAACAGGACAGTCGTCTTTCTTTTCGTGTTTGAAAGTATATGTGTAGATGCTGTCGTTACCAGAGTACATCATATAGTTCTCTTCCATTCCCAGCGTTGGTGCGGCAGAGCTTGCGAGCTTAAACGCTTCGTTACAACATGCTGCCGCGATGATAGCATTTGTTGACGCAATGGCTGGAATGATGTTCTTAATGACGCCTTGTGTCAGGGCGTAAGTGACACCGGAGATCTTGAACTCCTCTGCACGTGTGAGGGCCTTCTGGTAAAGCCACGAAACATGGGCAGGGTCATCCTTGTCCAATTGAGGGAAGGGCTTCTCTTGGTCCCATGCGATAACATGCGCCCACTCGATGCAGTGTTCCGGTTGACGCGGAATTGAGGCGATGGTACAAAGAGGAACAGCAGCTCTGGGTGCATGCATATCCAGCTGGCATTCGATACAGGACGTAATCGATGGAACGATTACACGAGCCTGGCCTTTGAAACCTTCTGTACCACCATCTATCATGGGGATAAGGGAGTCAGGGTCGTCGCCCTCTTCGGCTATTGAAACTAACATGGCATTGATCCATCTTCTCGCCTCAATGCTGTCCAGGCCGCAGATGACAAATTGAAACTGCTTATAGAAAGTGGCGTCGAAGTCTTGGATACGGCAGTTGTGTGCAGTTATCGTAACGCCTTTGACGCGACGCATGACAAACTGGGCTGCGCACTCGGCCTTAGACTTGCCTACGTCAAATTTCCTAAAGAGAAATTGTCGGTTGAGGTTCGAGATGTCGATGGTGTCTGGACCGCTCTTGTCAGTCCTATACATACAGGCACTTGAAGCTGGCTAGACTAACCCATGTCGATAACATGGATGTCTTTGAATTTTGACATAGCCAAGTTCTTCAAGATTTCACAGCCCAAGCCACCAGCACCACTACGAATGTCAGTCGGGACGCCTTGTGATGACGAGGGGAAGCACAAACATAACTCTACCAAACCCCATGTTAGCAGGATTGCAACATAACTCAATTTTTGTCTAGCTTACAAAACTTTGATCTTGTCAAACTGCTCAAAGGCTTCTTGTGTTCCGGCGACGTCAGGGTCGCTAAAGGGACCGGGGTTCTTTCGGATGTTGTCTAGGTAGGTCCTGAAGTTCGGATCAGCGACCAGCAGAGGATACCGTGATAGTGGCAGTTGGCGTACCATCGTTTCCCCTCGTCCACTTTACTGACAAATGGCGGGCCTGTGGCTACCGCAACGGAAGCTTCGGTAGCCATTTTTCGGGACGGAAATATGGTCGAGCTCGGATGTGACAACGCACTAGAGGTAGCAATCACGAACGATTGCTGTCGCTGGATGAAGCTGTGTTTTGGGAGGTAGAGGGGCCGGCATGGCATGATGAAATAGGTAGGGATAGATAGGCGGTGCCTGTATTTGGGTCCGTGCACGATAAGCGTTATCGGAGACTACGCAGCATCTTCGGTGGGTTATCCAGGGGTGTCCCGAGAGCGGTGGGGTGAATGGAAATGTGCTAAAGCTCTCAGGTGTCCGTCTTTTGATCTGTAAGCTGCCTACATTTCAGCTACTGGTAGAAAGACCAGTTCTTGATTGCCTGTATCGAAAGCGTTTCTAGCCTTAATCGCAGTCGTGGTCTCGAGACAGCCCAAATTTGCCGAAAATCATACGTCCTGAGGACTTACCAAAGCCAAATATTAGATTTGGTGGTTTCTCAACGATCCTCATGCTCAATTCATTCCCGACTGATAGGTAACTCAACTGCAATGGACGATTTCTTCACTCCAGTCAGCACAACCTATCTAAAGGCGAGGCCTGAGAATGGCTTGCTACAGGAGTTGAACCCGAGCAAGACACCCAAAGAAATCACAAATGTTGACGAGATTACGACCGTTGAAGTTGCTTTAGAAACTTTGAAAAACCAACCAGACTATGACATTCTCATAGCTGTCTTGAGGTCTATCGATCACGGACACATATGCGCTTCAGGCTTCAGCATCTCAACGCCAAGTCCTGAGGCTTCACAAATCATTCAATGCATCATTTCGGAGATTGTCCCTAATTACTGGCCCCTGTTAAAAGAAGATGCATCTTCAGCCTCTGGGGTCCGCGATTCCGGTAGTCTAGCCGACCTCGAGCTGCTGTTGAGGTGTTTGAGGAATGTCACAGGTCTTAATGCCGCCATAACACGCTTGAAGGCGTTGGTTCAAGAGTGCAAGGCAAGCGCCAAAGATGTTAAGCGACCAGACCTGGCGCTCAACTTAAACATCCTCCTCGAGGTTTGCTCAGCCGTCCTGGGCAAAGACGACTATCTTAACGCGCTGTGGGTTGCAAGCAGCACTGGCCTGAATGTGGCAGCTAAAAGACGCCCAATGGCCCACGAGTTTACCTCTCTGATCGCCGGTGGACGGCTTGTGTCGGTCGCAGCTGAAGCAGATGCTACTGCCAACCCAGATAGAACGGCAGGGAGGAACCACTGGATTGCGGACGGACAGCAGTACAGCAAGTGGCTTGGAAGAAGCATCGAATACTGGGCTAAATGTGATATTTCGTCAGATGATGTCAAACTTTGTACTGAAATCTTTACTAGAGCTCTTCGCCTGGGCTACTCTGGTAAGTTCACCAATGGTAGTTCATTTCTCTAGCGAAACTTGACTTACTAACCCTGCGCCAGACAGTCTCCTGAAACAGTCTGTTCAAGATATGTTGCTCGGCCAAGAGGATAGTCGCAAAGCCTTTTTTAAACTGTTTGGTCAATTCTCCCAATTAGAACAGAAACGGGTTATCTTTGCGGTGCTGAAGCACCTGTCTGAAGTGTTTCTTAATGGTCTGGATGAAGCCGAGAATCCAGAACCCAACTCGACTATATCTGCCGCTGCTGGTGTCATCGACAGACTGATCTCAAACGAAGAGAATCGGAAAACTCACCTGATCTCTTGGTTGACCAGTTCAACTGGTGCCGGTCTCGGCGACGGTATCGGCATCAGGCGTGCGGTGTTGGCTGCATTAGCACAGGATAAGGAGTGCATCAATCTGGTACTCGAAAAAAGCATTACCCAGTTTGGTGACCAACTTTACATTAAGCATTCCCCGGTACTGCAACAGCAAGCCCACGCTCAAGTTTTGCTTCTAAGTGCTGGCTACGTCAGCAAGTTATCACCCTTGAAACTTAAAATTTTGATGCGGTCTGCCAGCTATCTGAACGCCATATCTAACAGAATCGGCGCCTCTCAAGAAAAAGCCAGGTTCCTGGGATTGGCAGTGGGCGAGACGCTTTCGAGCCTTATCGACGGTAACGAGAAGCGACTAGACTTCAAGATGGAGGAAATGGGAAGCGATGAAGCCCGGTTTTACAAGGACCTGGTCAGAGTAACGGACCAGGTCGGTCCTATTGACTCCCTTATTACGAATACCGTGGTAGAAAACGAGAAGAATGAAGCGCCGATAACAAACCCATTTCGATCGAAACCCGCAGCAAAGCCGAATAAGCAACCAGCTGCTGCTTCATCTAAATTCATCATCCAGGAGGTTACCGACTCTGAGAGCGAAGATGAAGATCTTGTTCCCTATGCCAAGCCTATTGACGACCCAGAAGACTCGGATGAGGATCCGACACTCCTTCGTCGGGACAAGCCCAAGGCTCCTGTATATATCCGAGACCTCATCGCATACCTCCGTGATACAGACAACTACGATAAGCAAAAGTTGGCTTTGGCCACTGCTCCGCTTCTGATTCGCCGCAAAGCAAACTTTGGAACAGAAGTCACTTCTCATGCTGAAGAGTTGGCCACACTTCTCGTCGGGTTGCAAGACAAGTTCGAGATTGGAGATTTCTGGAGTCTTCGCCTTCAGGGCATGACGGCTATTATTGTCGCGCAGCCAAAGAAGATGGGACAGTGGTTTGCGAAGACCTTTTTTGACGGCGACTACTCCGTCTCCCAGCGTGCCTCGATCCTCATCATTCTTGGCCTCAGCGCCCGCGAGCTCGCCGGATTTGACATTTCAGATTACAAGGCTGCAGCATCCTTCCCCTCTAAACGACTTCCTGACAAGATGGAGGCCCTTTACCTCGACCCCTCCACTGCATCAAACCGGCTCTCTTCTTCGGCAACTTTGAAGGCCCTACCCTCCAATGCTCTCGATAGCATAGCTAGCTCTCTAACATCCGCGTTCATGGCCCCCATTGCCGCAAACGCCGCAGACGCAACAACCGGCCCTGACGCTCTTAAACTCTCATCTTTTACCTCTCGTCTTCAGAGCAGAACTTCGAACAAGAGGACTGGCCTCCATTCCATACCCAACACCACAGCCTCGGTGTTAAGCACATCCTTTTTCTTTCCCCTGACCGCACGCCTCCAACATGCCCTGCGATCGCATTCCGCTCGCTCGGGTGTCTTCATCCAGTCATACCTCCTATCTCTCTATCTGAAGACTCTAGCCGTGCTGATTCACTCGGCCGGCCCCGCGACACTAGCCCTTTCGCAAATGACTGCTGAGCTGTGGGACTTGCTTCTAGGCGTGCGTGCCCATGTTTCGGGCGACGTTCCAGGGACATATGCGCTTCTTGTTGCACTGGCAGCGATGTTGGAAGTAAATGAGGCGACGGATATGCGGCGACTTTGTGAGGCACACCCACGCGAGATCGTTGAGACGCAGGAGTGGGTAAGCGGCATTTTCAATGGTACACGCGGCGACGACGGTGGAGAGGAAAACGACGTTAAGATGCTTGCTGCTGCGGTGCTCATCAAGTTGCAGGAGGCGACGGAGAAGTATCGTGCCTTGTTGTTAGGTGACATGATCGGGTTCTCATAGGACAAAGTTGACAACAAAAATGAAGGAAGTGCCTCATGGAGTGACTGGTCTCGATAATAGAGTATAGCTATAGTTTTTACTCGCCTAAAAGGCTATCTTTATATTCTGAATCATCTAAACAAGGTAATTATTCGTACACTTCCAGTCATCGTGTGCCTGACCCCTAAACACCATCATTGCATGTGAGGTACGCTTGCCGCTATCATCACCCATGTACGCAAATGAAATCAAATTCCAGCTTCGCCTCCTTTACGTCGTGTCACCCATCAGGTCCTGCCTTCCACCCTTGCGTACAGGCAATGTGGATAGATACTGATTTGCGTGGCTTAGATGCTCGCCCAAGCTCATCGCCATTCTTCTTAACTCTTCCTTTACCGCATCCGCGCTGGCCGAGCCCTGCATTACCTCTACTGAGGGCGGTGCCGGAGGGGGTGGTAACGGTAGAGATCCGCGATTTGTCGATCGCGGAACCCCAGGAGGGAAAGCAGGCTGTGCGGCTTGCTGGGGAGTCAAGAACTCTGGATCTGAATAGTCGGCACTATTGAACGACTGGTGGGTGTTAAGTCGTAGACCAGATTGGGCATTAGAAGGGCGAACCGTGGCACTTGGGTCAGCTAGGTTAAGATCGACGAGACCTAGATCATCATCCTTGGGGATTCGCGACGCAAAGTCAGAATCGTCGGAGACATATATCGAGGGCTCCCTGTTTGATGTGGGAACATAGATGGAAGGTTCCCGATTGCCCGCAGGAACGTAAATAGAAGGCTCTCGATTGGACACCGGGACGTACAAGGAAGCATGTCGCTCCAGATCAAAAGGGTTAGCGAGACCAATATCCGAACCACTCACGGAGACGGCGTCGGAATTGGCCGTAGAAGGACGAGTGAGTTCCGGCATTGGGTCTGCCAGACCCATATCAAGGTCAATCAGGCTGCCAGTCGATATGCGATTGTCTTGGTTATTTGTTTGCGGAACCATAAGCTCGTCGAGGTCGATTAAGCTTCCAGATGATTCTCTATTGTTCATCTGAGAGTTCGACCGGGGGACCATCAGGTCACCGCCATAATTAGGGGCGGGAACAGGATCAGTCTGGTGATGGAACATCTGCGGTCGGGATGCCGAACTTGGCCCAGAGCGGTCGTCGTTGAAAGGAAACCTAGACATTTCAGGGTTTGCAGATGCCGGTGGCGCCATGGAAGGGAATTTCCAGTCTTGTGTCCTTCTGTTCGGATTCAAATCGGCTGGGTCACTCAAAGGCGGCTTATTGAAGTCCGGCTCGTCTCCCATATGGTAATCGACAGATACACGTGGCCCCCCAGCTCGAATGGTGTTCATATCCACAAAATTGGCGAGATTACTACCATTGAGAGAAGCGTCAAGATCAATGAGAGATTCCCTTACAGTCATTGACTGGAGAGAATCGTCCCTGAGCGGAAGATCTGAAGTTGGCGGGGGCATCGGCCTCCCATAATAAGCCCGAGAGTTGTCTTCATAATTGGATATAGTATTCGGGTCGAAAACCTTTTCAAGGGGGGCCTTCATGGCAGCAAGTTGTTGAGGCGGTGGTCTTCTCCGTCCCTTCGGCTTAGCTCTCGACATTTCGTCTAAAAACCCAGGATCGAAGTCTACATTTGAGCCATACACATCGTAGACAGCCTGAGCATCTGTGTCTTGGAAGACTTGTTGGTCGAAAGCCATGGTCGTGCTGAAATTCCATTCGTCGTTTGCGAGCGCAGTAGAGGAGAAATCAGAATCATCCATGCCGGAAATCCCTTGAGCCCCTCCCGGGGCAAAAAGAGACTTCCGGCTGCCACCTTGCGACTCCCATAATTTGAAACCTCTGACTAGTAGCGCGAGCGATGAGGCTGGATACTGCGGGGTTGTATTGGCGATGTAGGGATGCTTTTGTACCTCTTCGATCGTTGGTCGTTTGGAAGGATCCTCTTCCAAGCAGTATGCCACCAGATCCTTCAGTTGTTCAGAATATTGGTCACCATCTAACCGAGGAGTATGCGCTTTGATGTAGTTTCCGAGTTGGTATACATCAACTCCTGCCATGACGTTTGGCGGAAGACCAGAAGCGATTTCATACACCATGGAGCCGAACGCCCAAATATCCACTTCTGTACCGTATGAAGTCGACTGATCAAAAAGCTCAGGTGCCATCCAATGAGGCGTGCCTATAAATGTTGATCGTTTGTCGAACTTTGTCTCGATCACACCAGCAACTCCAAAATCGCAGAGTTGCACCCCACCAGCTTCGGTGACAAGAACGTTGGCGCACTTAATGTCTCGATGAATGATTCCCTGACGGTGAACCCAAAAAACAGCCTCAGCAACCTCTCTCAGAATTGGAATGATCCATTTCTCTTGCAGACCGCCGGGGGCTGTTGGCTTCATGAGCGTTGCCACACTACCACCAGCACAGTACTCAGTAATCATCCACATAGACTGGCCGACTGGCAAGGCATCGATGACGTGGTTTATGTTCTTTGCACCACTGTCACTAAGTAACTTCAGGGCATTGACCTCAGCCAGAAATTCCTTGAATGTGTCGGCAAGCTTGGGGTTGACGGTGTCGCTCTCTTCGATGTCAATAATCTTGACTGCGACGAGCATACTCGTATTAATATCGGTAGCTTTGTAGACGCGGCCAAAACTTCCTTTTCCGATGAGCTCATTGAGAAGGTAGGGCGGTTTGTCCTGGCCTGCCTTGGTCACTTCCTCATCTACCGCGGCTTGCATCTTCTTTGCATCTTCAAGGGCCTTCTGTTTGGTCACCGAGAAATCGGGACCCCTGACCTGGAGCGACATCTTGAGTGAGTAGTCACCGCCGGACACGGTGGGTAGAGGCAGACCCTCCTTCTCCGTAACCTAGATAGAAAGCGAACAAGAAAATAGTGCGAAAAAGTCAGAATGATGTTTCCTTGGTCGTACTGTATTCACCACTGAAGTCGCTCGATGGTATTGTAGAGAGGTTGGACTGTTCACCGAGGCACCTGATACGCTAAAGTTCAGGTCAAACACAGGGGGTAGGCACGTAGGCACAGCACAAGGGGACGAGTTGAGGATGTTTCCAGCCAATTAGAGAATCGCACACAAAACTCAGATATAAGGGTATGCAATTAAACAAAGCCCCACAGCCAGCAACAATCGTTAGTCGATCTTATATCTCACGGTCTTGTCTGATGGCATTATTACAAGTGGCACAAGAGCCCAACAGCAATCGCACCGCCGGGTTAATAGTATAACAATATATGTATATAGAAGTTTCAGTATTTCATCAAGACTTATATCTCATTAGGATACTGTATTTTGACGATCGCCTTTTCAGAAGAACCAGCCAGTCTTCTTCTGTTCTGCCTCATTGACTCTAGTCTTATAGGCTCTGGGGCTCTCAAAATCGCTTGCCTTACCACTCCATATACCAAGTTTCTTAGCCTTGGCTTTTGCCTCTGCAACTTTATATACTTCTTCGAAACCTCCCCATTCCACCCCGGATTTTGCCTCGTACGTTGTTGCCAGGCCTCGTTTCAGCATCTCTAGCCCGACGTCCTTCTTCAACAGAAACCGCCTGACATAGACGGTTGCGACGACTCGGTCGTATTGGTCGCGCTTGTGAATCCGTGCCCAGATCCGTCGGTTCAGGATGTAATCAGTCAACCACTTCAAGGCTTCTTTAGCACCTGGTTGACCGGGTCGACCAAAGTGTGCACCCTCCGGGGCGTCTATTCCAGCCAGCCTCACAGGTATCTAGATGGCTCCTATCAGCGATGCCTCAAAAAAATCAATTTATATGGTGTGTACCGTTTTGCCCTTCAGTGCAGCTCTTGTACTAGGGACTTTTCTCAACCAATCCCACCCAGCAAGTCTCCCTCCAGGGGTGTGAAACATGTGGAAGTTGTCGCCATCGCCCACACTAGTGACCCGGCCAAACAGAGTTCGTTTCCTGAATAAGTCAGGTTGAATGTGACCCGCGCTGGGAAACCGACGCAGACGGGATTGATAGAAGATGAATGCACCCAGTGATACAACGGTTGTCAGGAAAACAGGGGCCCATTCCTTGGCGGCTTGTAACGGAGGATCAGGTTGTGGGAGGAGGTCATTCCACGTGGTGGGCTTGTTGCGTTTGCTATCCTTGCCATCTTCTTCAGGCTTGGATGGCGCGGGCGCTTTCCCTGAGCTAGAAGAGTTAAACGGCCATTGCATTTTCGAGCACTCTTTGGAGAGAGTTCTGAGCCCGATCCTCTTACTGGCAATGATGAGGCTGGCTATCTGGAGTGTGCGTCAGTTAACTATGAAGAAAGAATTGGAACTAAGTGTTGAATCCCATTGGACAATGACGAGTGCCATAAAAGTCCAAAGCTTCCAATCATGATTTATGGAGTAAAATCTTGACAGACCAAATGTATCCTTACCTCTGAATGCTAGCTACAGGACTAGGTGCACGCGTTAGAGAGCTCTGTGTCAATTGAGATTGATCCTGGTAGCTTAAACAGTGTACCACACAGTGTGCACTGTTCAGACGTGAAAGGCTGCGGCAAAACTACGCTCCGTTAGGCCAATCAGCGTGAGGCAATTAGTTTCTACTCACGTCGAGCTTTCGGGACATGACGGCCACACTACACAACTTCGAAGGCGAATCCCCTCCATTTATCCTAGCCGGCAATCAGCCATTGGCACAATAAAGGAGGCTCAATTGGAGGCATATATCTCCTTGACCTCTTTTGAAGCCGTCTCTTCATACCAAAAACACGATGGCAGGCCTCTACCGACTCGCTGGCCGCAGCGCCAAGAGGTTATGTCTGCGACCGGCAGCCAACTCCTTCAACGCCGCCCGACCCTTCTCGACAACTTACCTACGCCGATATGCCGATGCCTCCTCCCAATTCGAGGGAACCAGGCTCACGCCTGTTGCTTCCGATTTCTCTTCGGCCGCCGACCCCTACAGCATTGTGCGACCACAGGGACAGGACGGTGCTGCATTGAAGACTGCAGAGGAATCCGTTGAGGATCGAAAGATTCGTCACTACACGGTTAACTTTGGTCCTCAGCATCCCGCCGCTCACGGTGTGTTGCGTCTGATTCTCGAGCTGAACGGCGAAGAAATTATCAGAGCGGACCCCCACGTCGGTCTGCTTCACCGAGGTACAGAGAAGCTCTGCGAGTACAAGACCTACATCCAGGCTCTACCCTACTTCGATCGTCTCGATTACGTTTCTATGATGACGAACGAGCAGTGCTTTGCTCTTGCCGTTGAGAAACTTTTGAATGTTGAGATTCCTGACCGCGCCAAGTGGATTCGTACCCTGTTCGGTGAAATCACCCGTATCCTGAACCATCTGATGTCCGTCTTGTCGCACGCCATGGACGTTGGTGCTTTGACTCCTTTCCTGTGGGGTTTCGAGGAGCGTGAGAAGCTCATGGTAAGTTGAACTACTACTTTGAGCAGATTATATGATTTCCGGCTAACCCGGTCGTCAGGAATTCTACGAGCGTGTCTCCGGTGCCCGTCTCCATGCCGCCTACGTCCGTCCTGGTGGCGTCCACCAGGACATTCCCGTTGGCTTGCTCGATGATATCTACCAGTGGGCAACTCAGTTCGGTGACCGTATCGACGAGACCGAGGAGATGCTTACGGACAACCGTATCTGGATCCAGCGTCTCCAGGGCGTTGGTGTGGTTTCCGCTGCTGAGGCACTGAACCTTTCTTTCACTGGCGTCATGCTTCGTGGTTCCGGTGTCCCTTGGGATATTCGTAAGAGTCAGCCATACGACGCCTACGATCAGGTTGAGTTTGATGTCCCTGTTGGTGTCCGTGGTGACTGCTACGACCGATACCTCTGCCGTATGGAGGAATTCAGACAGTCCTTGCGCATTATTCACCAGTGCCTGAACAAGATGCCTGCCGGCCCCGTTCGTGTCGAGGACTACAAGATCTCCCCTCCCCCCCGTTCCGCCATGAAGGAGAACATGGAGGCTCTCATTCACCACTTCCTTCTCTATACTAAGGGCTACACCGTTCCTCCTGGTGAGACCTACTCTGCCATCGAGGCTCCCAAGGGCGAGATGGGTGTCTATGTCGTCAGTGACGGAAGCGAGAGGCCCTACCGCGTCCACATCAGAGCCCCTGGTTTCGCTCACTTGAGTGGCTTCGACCACGTCTCCAAGGGTCATATGCTGGCTGACGCTGTGGCTGTTATTGGTACGATGGATTTGGTGTTCGGTAAGTTTCTCATAGCCTAATTGCAGGAGGAATCTTCAACTAACAGCATGATAGGTGAGGTTGATCGGTAAAGTAGTTTAGGAGAAGGAAATCAAAACGACTGTCAGGAATCACTTTCCTTTTGTGTACTTGTAGAGTGAAGAGACAGAGCATCGACGTATATACCGCATTTGTTCTCTTTTCTAGAAGAATTTCTTTCAGACTCTATGGGTTGCAACATGGCTTTGGTCTACGGCCTGTGAATCCCTTGTGGCATGACATGATTGAAATCAAGGCTTCAATGGCATCTTGTATTCGTGATATAATACATCTGGAGTATGTAGAGTACAGGATACTTGACCAAACAGCCAGATCAGTTGTTTGCAGTATAAAGGTGATGTTACAAAGGCTACCTCCATGCTTTAAAAGAGCTTCGCGCCAGTGCTGGAAGCCTGTTCCATGAAGAATTTCTTCAAAGGACCCATAGCATTGACGGCACTCAAGCCCAGAGATCGCAAGGGTACCAGTGGGCCACTCTCCACGGAATAGAGCTTATGGAGCTTGTCACAGACACCCAGCACAACGTGGTTTGCAACATAGCGCTCTGAGTTGTACGGCTCAAGGGAGAGTGTCGTGCCCAAGTCCTGGCCGGTGGACACAGCGGCCTGAATTGTATTAACCAGGCTCTGGACGTCACCCTGCCCTTGATTTAAGCCCTGACCAGCCAGCGGGTGAATAGTATGGGCCGCATCGCCGACAAGAGCAACTCGTTCGGCAATATATGTGTCCGCATGCCGCAGCTTGAGCGGGAAAGAGGCCACCGTGCCGTCTTGCACTCCTATAACTTGCTGAGGAACCGCGCGACGGTCAACGGGCGTATGCTCAAGTCTCCATGCAAGCTCCTCGGTTTGGCCGGATGGTTGAGTGTGCATGAAGCCAATGTCAACCGGGCTCAACCGGAAGGCAGCGTTGACCATGGCGATGAACTCCTTAGGAGGGAGTCTCTTGAGAAAAGCGGCCTTCTCAGGAGTCGTTGACCAAACCAGCGTCGAGTAATTACCGGGCAGCGGCAGCATAGCTACTGGCCCGGTTGGCAGAAAGCGCTGGTAGGCGATCTTGTTGTGCTCACCACCCCAGCCGTCTCCCTCCATTTGAAGCGTGGCGACAACGCCATGCCTTCCGTAGTCCCATCCTCGAGCCTTAATGCCGGCAAATGTGCGGACTGGACTGTTCGCGCCATCGGCTCCTATCAGGAGTCGCGCATGCAGCCTCTGACCGCCAGAAAGATGAACAACTGGCCACTGTGTAAGGTCCAAGTCCTCAGTCTCTTCACCAAAGCCAATGTGCTCGACTCTTACACCATCATAAATCGAGACGCCGCGTAACTCGTCGAGGCGACTCAGCAGACCCGAAGTCAGGTTGAGGTTCTCGCACATGTAGGCGATAGTATTCCCGGCCGAGGCGCCCGCCGGCCAATCAAACTCAATCCTTGCACCACTGACGCCGTCCCAAACTTGCATCTCATTATATTCCTGGATACGCTCTCGTTTCATGTGGCTCCATGCGCCGATTGTGTTGAGGTATTGCGCTGATGTCGGCGTAAGGGAGCTGCAGCGATTGGAGAACTGACTTGACGGCAGCTTCCAGGAGCGAATTTGGGAGAGGTCCTGGGCTTCGACGAGAGCTACCCTGAGGCGAGACGTAATGGGGTTGGCCCCTGAACGACGTTAGTATTCATACCATAACTTACAGCAAGGTTGGTCTTACGGAGAGCAGTCAGGAGGCTGAGGCCTGCAGGCCCACCACCCACGCAGACGACATCGTATATGTCTGGTTCAGAGGCGGACGAGGTTGCGCTTGCGCTTGCGAAAGACCGCCGGGTCTGCGTCTGAAACTTGCGGGTGCATGTCTTGCAGACGAATCGAGGCCGTGACAAGGCTCGAGGGACTGCCATTGTTCTTCAGGCCGTCAGAAACGACTTTCTGGCAGGACGGGCTGGTTTTTTGGGGTCCGGAACGTATGATCACATGGGCGACAAATGCGATGGGTAGCTCCAGTTGGTTGTGAAAGGAAAGCTCAGAAAAAAAAGCCCGCCACATTGCAGCCACATATGCTATTCAACCCACTGGTGAGAGGGAAATCAATAAGTGGCGGTGCATGATCTGTGCAGATTGAAATCCATCATCCCTGCAAAGCCAGTGAGGTCATCCCCTGTCAGGCTACACTAGGCCCCCACACTAGGTGTTTTTTGCACATGACCCCATAGGTTGCCACAGCACCCAGACACCAGCGACGCTTTTCCTTGCGTCAGTGGGTTTTTGTTTGACTTTACCAAGATCTGTCCACCAGGCGCATACTCTGCACAACCTGCATTTTACACATCGGTAAGATCTGGTGTCCGCCTGTCAAGGCCGCAGAATCAAGGCCCCAAAACCTCCGTGCGACTGCTTTTTCATAGGGCCCGCCACTCGTACTTGTCTCGCTTTATCAAGGGTTCAGAGCTGCAAGAGGTACTCCACGGGCTCTCTTGACATCACCATCGCATAGTGTCTCACCCGCGCAGAATTCGTTACAAGCTACCCCTTCATTGGGCGCTATATCTGCTTTATTGTACTCATCAATCAACCATTTTTCGCTCTTACTGTACAAATCACCAACCACCAGAATGGACGAATACGAATATCTCCAACCTGGATTTGACCCCAAGTCGCTGACGGTGCCCCGTCTCCGATCAATCCTTGTGGCGCATGATATTCAGTACCCCGCTACGGCAAAGAAGCCGCAGCTTATTGAACTTTTCAACGATGAAGTTGTTCCTCAAGCCAGGAAGATCCTAGCAAAGCAGGCGAGAGCAAAGCGATCCAGCAAAGGTATCGTCGATATGGGAAGCTCCCACGAAAGCGAGTCCTTTGACGACTACGACCTAGCTCCCCCACCCCCTAGAACGTCATCCAGGTCAAAATCTCCGCGAAAGGCTTCTTCCCGTGTTAAGAGCAATGAGTCTGATCATGAAGAGGCGCCCGCAACGATCAGCCCAACAAAGAGGAAGGTGCGAGCAAGCAGCCGGCAACTGGCGGAGCCTGAGCCCTATGTTGAGCCGGAGCCTCCCAAGTCTATTCGCAGCAAGCGCACTGTCACACCGCATATCAAGACAGAAGAGTCGGAAGAAGATTTCTTCAAGAAGCGGAGAGAGTCGGAATACTTTTCAATGGACAACCCTTTTCAGAGTGGTAGCTCACCCGCACCGATCAAGACTCCTGTTGGGCGAAGAAAACCCACAGACACGGAAGACATCCAGATGAACTACGATATTGACACAAGACGGCAGACCGATGATCACTACTTCGAGAATCGGCTTAAGTCGTCTAAGAAATCTCAGGTGTTTGAGGTTCCTGTCAGTAGATTGCTACGTGATGACACCCCTGAGCTGCAACCTGTTCCTATTGAACCTGTCGAAGCCGGAGAGGAGTTCACTCCGGATGCCCAATTCGAAATGGAACAAGAGATGGCAGTAAGGGGCGAAAGAACTCTGGCGCCGCGTCCGATTGCACCAAACCGCCCGCCTAGAAGCTTGGCCAAGCCGTTCTGGGCATTGGCTGTCAGTTTACTGGGGGCATATGGTGCTTGGTATCGACAAGAAAAGGTTGCAGTAGGATATTGTGGTCTCGGTCGCCCTGCGACACAAATTATCCCATCAAATGTTCCGGTCCCCGACTGGGCCGTGCAACTAGTTGAACCGCAATGCGAGCCATGCCCGCAGCATGCCTACTGTTATGAGGACTTTTCTGTTCGCTGCGAACCTGATTTTATCCTGAAGCCACACCCACTTGCTTTCGGTGGTCTGGTTCCGCTGCCACCTACATGTGAACCTGACGGCGAGAAGGTACGAAGAGTAAAGGCCGTAGCCGACAAGACGGTTGAGGAATTACGAGAAAGACGAGCGCAATTTGAGTGCGGCGAATCTGTTGGCGAAGCTGGGCAGGTCCTGGAGACCCCGGAAATTGAGGAAGAGGAATTGAAGGAGGTGATCAACGCGAAAAGAAGCAAGAAAATGAATAAGCAGGAGTTCGACGACCTTTGGGCTGCCGCTATTGGGGATGTCAAGGGTCGTGAGGAAGTTGAGATCGCACAGTAAGTCAGCATTTCTCTTACAACGTCAACCAGCCCAACATCAATAACGTCAAACGCCTAACATGTGTACTAACCAGACCGGTTGTGCCTGAAGTAGAAAGGCCAATTCCACCTCAGTTTCAAACGCCTACTTATCGTCCTCCTCTCTCGCTCGCCTTTCAATCGGCTGCGCCCTCAAACGCTCGGCCAAGCTCGGATTGGCAAGACATAGACTCTCAATTGGATCTGTAATCCTCTTGATTGTCAGCTACTTTTACGTTAGATCAAAGTACAGGTCACACAAGGCGACTGTGGCGCAAGTTCCAGCACTGGTTGACCTTGTATTGGCTCGTCTTGCCACGCAGAAGGAACTGGGTGAAGAGGAGATCGACGACCCCTGGCTTTTTCTGCCGAATCTCCGTGATGACGTCCTTCGATCTGTGCATTCCCTTGGCGAGCGGGATCGTATTTGGAAGCGGGTGAGAGCTGTAGTCGAGCAGAACAGTAATGTGCGGACTAGCCAAAGAGAAGGTCGTAGCGGTGAGGTCGGTCGCGCCTGGGAATGGATTGGACCTATCGCGGGAGACACTGCGAGGCGGCGCAAGAGCGGCCGTATGTCTCTGGGGCCGGGATTGGATGTCAAGAACGAAGATACCCCTGAAGCGTCTGAGAAGGCCGGGGCTCACTCAAGATGGGAAGAGCCGCGGCCAATTTATTAAACGCAAATGGTTTATACCTGAACGTCCGGGGCATGGTTTATCACAATGAGATACTACAATCGCATGTATTTTTCCCTTTGTAATGTATCAAACTCTGCAGTGCAATTTCCAGGATGTTATTGTTCACGAGCGTCGGAAACGACTTCGGCCTTCGAGGGCTTCTGAGACTCATCATAACTTTGCTAGAGGCAGGCTTGCTTCACCTTTAACATCGGAAGAGAGATTGGAAAACTGAGTGCAGTGTCTTCCCCGCATAGTAAATTGTGTCTCTTACATTTGATTGGTTTTACGATACTGTTTGACCCGGTCGCACCTCCATTGTTGTGGCAACATAGTATGCTCGGCCCGGAGAATGTCGGAATGATCGGAGTTAGGAGTGGGGACGGACGGTCGGAAAAGGACATCCGCACAGCCTCTTGGCACGCAACATGTCAGTAAGGCAAAGGTTCGAAACCACTGAACGACAGATGGTGACTCAATAAACCAAGTTATGAGAATATCGTTAGCAGCAGCAGACCTGTTTGAAGATTGTGAATCAATTGTCGAGTAATTGTTTCTCCTAATTAAACATTTACGCAACACGTAGCAGATGTCCAGTCGTTCTTTTCGAAGTTCTTGAATTGGCTAATGCACAGGTGTTTATTGACACGCAAGGGAACCCCTTGGACAAAAGAAATCTTCTCGCTCAGACTCTACGTCGGGGAATCTATTGGGCCTTGGAGGAGACGATCTCTGGAGGGGGAAATGGGTTAGCGAACGAATGCCCAAACTACTTCCGATGGCGGAGGTCATATTGGCGCTGGAGACTTACTCTCGACATCGGCAACGGACTGCTGGAGGATCTGCTGGAGGACCTTGGGGTTCTCAAGCTCCTTGGTGACCTTGGCGATGATGTTCTCGGCCAGCTCCTTCTGCTGACGCTGCTTGACCTGACCCTCGTAGCGGACCCAAGAGTCAAGGACAGCCTTGGCCTCGGCGGCAAGAGCGGTCTTCTGCTCCTGCTCGTAGGCCTCAGCCTCGAGCTTGGCGGTTTCCTGTAGACATTACCGTTAGCTTTCCTGTTGCTCCGAGAAGGTATTACTCTTCTCATCCGTTCGTCCGATGCTCGGAAGCCCCTCCATCACGTCATCTGTTGTTCGTACCTTGGAAACCTCGAAGAGAGCCTTAGTGATGTCAACGACACCGGACATCTGCTGGACGTCCTCAATGCGGCCCTTGACAGCCTGAGTGTGGTCGGCACGGGCCTGGTTGAGGATGCCCTTGATCTTATCGGCCTGGGCCTGGGCCCACTCGCTGTACATTGGGCCTCCGTACTTGATCAGACCGCCCCAAACGGCGAGCAGGCAGAAAGCGACGACGGTCTCCTCATTGACGACATAGTACTCGTTGCTGATGGCGTAGACGCTGAGCGCGGCGGAGGAGGAGAGGATGGCGGTCTTGGAGAGAAGCGAGTTACCGGGAAGGGCATCGACGATAGACTGGGCCTTCTTCTTGGGGTCCTCGGCGGGAACGTTGGAGGCGTTGCGGGCGCCGGCGACTGATGCCGAGATGGCGGGGAGGGCGCGGCGGGCCAGGGTCGGCCGGAGGAGGTTCGCGCCTATTGAATCAAAAGGGAGGCCTGCGCGTTAGCCAAATCCACGTTCATGTCCAGCTGCGACTTTTCCGTCATCGGGGCGGCCAATTGACACGCCATGCGCTCGGGGGGATTGTATCGACGTACCGACGGCGCTTCTAGCCAAGCGGGACGCCATTTTGAGATGATCTGGGGATGCGGGTATTACGGCTTTGAGGTCATTCGGAGCTTGAGAGGTGAGGTTGAGAGTTTTATCGCGCTAATTCGGTTAGAAGTTGTATCACGTGACAAGGCAAGCTCCGGGATCCAAAGGGGGAGGCGCTTGGGCCAGGTCTATCTCACTCTGTCACTGGGCGGCAGTGTAAAGAAAAATTCCCATCTTGACCGGACCCGCTGTAAAATTGAGAATTAAGATCGGCTTTGAGATTGATATCAAACGTTGTCAATTCATTCGGATAACTCGCCAAAAATGCCAACCAAAGCGACAGATGAAGGCCTAAAGAGGAAACGAGTTCCCATAAAGGAGAAGTCGAAGAAGCGCGCCAAATCAGAGTCTGGATCAGAATCTGAGGGCAGTGGCGATGAGAGCGACCCTCAGGCCGAAATCCTGCTTCTTGAGAATGAGATTTTGGAATCGAAGAAACACTACAACAACATCACGAAATTGATTCAGATCGCGAAGACATTCCAGAATGATCCCGAGGCAGCTGCTCTTGCGTCCGTGGCTCTTTGCAGAGTATTTATCAGATTGCTTTCCGCTGGGGCCCTTGTGAAGAGAAAAGGTCTCGCTGAGAAGGAATCGGTGGTTGTCCAATGGCTCAAAGACCGTTATTTCGAGTACAAATTAGTGCTCATCGAGCTTCTCGGTGATGAGGATCTCGCAGCGACAGCATTGACTCTGGCCATGCGGTGTCTCAAGGCTGAGGCTCAGCATCTTAATGATAGAGAGGAGTACACCTTTCCGCAGAACTTTCTGCAGGAGATTCTTACTGCTCTTTTGAACTCGGATAGTGACGATGCCCGTCTCGAGTTTGTTGAGAAGTATTTGGGTGTGTATGACGATATCCGCTTCTGCACGCTGAAGGCTATTAAGTACGTTTTGGAAACCCCCGTCTTGTTACATGTATACTAATTCCCTACAGAGCCTTGGCCGAAGCACCAGGTGATATGCCGGAGGACGAACTCTTTGACGACGCATTTGAGCTATTGTCTAATATCGGCAATCTGCCCACGGAACTGGAAAAGTATTATGTCGAGAAGCCTAAGAAGAAGTCGCACAACCTCAACTCCTTGAATCAGCACAAAAAGCAAGGCCAGGACGCTTGGCTCGCAGTTTTGAAGCTAGCCTCAACAAAAGAGCAACGCAAGCGGGTATTGGATATTATGTCCAACGAAATCGCACCTTGGTTCATTCGGCCCGAGCTACTTGCCGACTTTCTCACCGATTCTTACGATGCTGGTGGCTCGATATCACTTCTCGCGCTGTCTGGCGTGTTTTATCTCATCAAGGAGCGAAACTTGGACTACCCGTCATTCTACACGAAGCTTTACTCTCTCCTGGACCGCGACATTCTTCACTCCAAACACCGTTCAAGGTTTTTCCGCCTGATGGACACTTTCCTCGCTTCAACTCATTTACCGGCTGTGCTAGTAGCAAGCTTTATCAAAAGGCTCGCACGACTTAGTCTCAATGCGCCTCCCAGCGCCATTGTTTACATAGTCCCTTGGATGTACAACATTCTCAAAAGGCACCCGCTGTGTACCTTTATGATCCATAGGCAGACGAGAGACCCGGATGTCAAGGCCCTCATGGAGAAGCAAGGTCTCGACGACCCCTTTTTGGAAAACGAGACGGACCCTATGGAGACCCGCGCCATTGAGAGCTGCTTATGGGAGATTGTGCAGTTACAGTCACACTACCATCCTAATGTGGCAACTATTGCCAAGATCATGTCTGAGCAGTTCACCAAGCAGTCATATAACATCGAGGATTTCTTGGACCACTCTTATGGCAGTGTAAGTTTAATAGATTCAAGCTACGAGGAACGAAATTCTAACCGTTTATGCAGCTGCTCGAAGCAGAGATGACCAAGCAAGTTAGAAAACCACCAGTAATCGAGTTCCAGATTCCCAAACGGGTCTTTCTCCCGAACGATCCTGAGTCTGGGGTTCAGGACAATCTGCTTACAAAGCTGTGGAGCTTCCAGTGATGCTTATAATAAAGGGGGTGAATAAGGGGGGAAGAAAGAGTGCTGTGCTGTTCCGCAGCCAACAACGGGTTTTCTTGTGTAATAACTGGCATCTTGATACCGGGCGTAAAATGAATTAGCATAGATAGCAGCTCAAAAGTTAAGAGATTACATCGTTATTTCGTATGGCTCCTAATGCACTTATGAATCATGAAAGATACTTTTCGCTTCAAGGCATTTGAAAAGTCTGCTTGTCTGACATATGGTGGAGATATGATCCGATGGGTTAAGGTAGTTACTTGCGATTCCAGAGTATATGTTATGCAGTCGATCTGCATTCGAAGCGCCAGTCGTTCAAGTCGCTGTATCACAAGACGAACAAACTGCCGCCTTCCGATGTGATAGATCATGATTGTGACTTTTCTTCAAGGTCAATGGAGAAGCCCTCTTGTGAACCATCAACTTCCTAGTTCTCGCAACGGCTGTTCAGGTCTATGTGGTACAGCATACAGAAACGCTAACATCAGACAAGTTTGGGCTCGAGCACATCGTAAGGGCAAAAGGCTCAGCTATCTTTGGCGTGGATACTTCCAGACCATCAAATTTGTCCGGCAACAGATGTTAACTAATTACACCTTGAATGGTCGAAACGGCTCTTGGGACGATAGCCAGGACTCAGGTCTTGGATGCTGGAATGCCGCGTGCCCACTTGCCTAAAGCAACCAGCTCTGTGAGCGGTGAGGCAAGGAGTATAGTCGGGCCAATCTAAATAAGTGTAGTGCTAAATCGGATGAAAGACAAGTGGAGGCAGCTTTATGCGTCGGGGAAGACCATGGGCAGCAAGGAACGCCTGGAGATGGTACTACGCGACACTGAGAGTAATGACCCAGGCCTGGACGACTCCATAACTACTGCGGGGATGGCAGCTTAGTGGCCAATGCAGTAGTAAGCTCGGCGCCTGTGAATCACAACTGATGCCAATCCTCAGAGGTGACCAGAGTGAGCCACTGAGAGCCCAACACTGATAAGAAGTCGCCAGGGGAGGGACGGTGAGCTGCTCTCGGACCTCTCAGAGGCCACGGAAGCCAATACGGCGGGGTCTCAGCAAGGTGTGTGCTGGGTCCTGGGAGCACTAAAAGCAGCTTAGCCTTTGGGGAGGCGCTGGGTTGTTCCAGTCCTCGCTGACATCACCGAAAGCAACGGATGCATCACCTTTAACTCCAATTCCTCTACGATCCGCAGACTTTTCTCCTGGCACCTAGCGCCAACGCGCACTTCCCCTCCAGTACCTTCTATGCCTTCACTTCCTGTACTTGGCAACCGCCTGATACTGCAAACTCTGCGACCAAGGCGCCTCACATACTCTTCATCTCTTACAGAGCTCCTAAGTCGACAGTCGCTATTATTGTGCTCTTTCTAGCCTACTCCACCCAAACTACACAGCTGACATCGGCCCCGGTTGACCGCAGCCATTCTTCACGTGGAATCAGCCCCGTAGCCACCAACCACCCAGGACTTGGCCCACGCCTAGCCTGCGTCTACCCGACGCCGACCCACGGCACCATAGCATCGCGCACATAAGCGCTCCAAGGAGACGGTGTGACATATAACTCTTCCCTCATCAACATGTCTGGCAACCCGTTTCAACCCCTAGCTGCTCATCTCCAAACACCTACTACACCCCGGAGACAGTCTAATGCGCCAGGCTCCAGCTCGACAGCAGCACCACCTCCGGTGACACCTTCTGGCAATGTGAACGGTAATGATCAGAACGGACAGCATTCACAGCCTCGTCGGCGAAAGAATCATCGTGGCGGAGCCAAGAAAAAGCGCAATCGGCGCAAGTCGTTTGCTGTCTTACCCGAGGAGTCGCACGACGAAGCTCCGGAAGCCACACCCGAGAGACAAGAATTCTATCTCCATCGCTCCAATTTAAGCAATACCAGCATTGAGAGCGAGGCTCTATTAGATCACAGGTGAGAGCGCAAGCCGCTCGGAGGTTACAAAGGCACAAAATATGCTAATCCCTACCTGCAGAGACCAGCAATCTCTCCGGACTCGACGACCTTCCATCATGACGCCTTCCGGCCCTTTTCCCACCACGACACCACAGACGAGCAGTCGATTGCGGAACGCCTACGTCAATGACAGCGGAGAGGATGGGGAGCAGTCATGGGACGAGGGTGCACCTCTCTTGTCTAGGTCAATTCAGCGTACCGCAACAGCTCCGGTGTTTCCAGGCTACGGCTCAGGCGATCCCCGGCAACGTGTGAGCCGACGCGGATCCAGCAGGTCTTCAAGAACGAAGCTTGCGCCGTCTTTTCCAGGAGAAAGTTACAACGTCAATTATCCCCCGTCCATGCCGGGGTCGCCACAATTCCGACCTTCCGATCCACTAAACCTGAGTTTTGGAGATGTTATGATTCACGACGACGAAATCGATATTCGTGCATCACCTCGCGGCAGCCGCAATGACAGCGTTGGGTCTCTTTCCGACCGCGAAGGCCGAAATGAGTCATCGCCCGACTTGGCACGAAGGAATACCATCGCATTGACAGCTCAAGAAGATGTCTGTTTCCCGAGCGGGATATCTGAGATCGGGGAGGAGGAACTGCACTCACAGGACCCCACGGTAAAGCCCCGGCCGAGGCGTCGCCGTCGCCGTTGGCCTGACCTGTCCATTCTTGAAGAATGGAGTCGCTTTGAAAAGGAAGGGCGGTCCGAGGAGAGACGCGTCAAGCGAATTACTGAACCTCAACTCATCAATGGTCGCTTACGCCCAGTTACCCGGGAATGGTATCGAGCCGAGGAGGAGTCTCCCTACCGATTCACGTACTTCAACGAAGAGTTTCAGAGTACCATTCACAGCCAGACCATTTCAGAGCTTGTCCAGCCAGGTGGGAATTTCCAGGAGCTGTTTATCCCTGAGCCCCGTATCCTCTCCGATGATGAGAGTGAGGACAGTGATGAGGATGGCGATCCGATACCTTTGTCACAGGTCAACACCCAACACTCGCACGGTGGTCAGAATGGAGAATCCAGGGCACCAACACGGCAACCATCTTTGGCAAATACTCAACCAAGAGACGGTGTCGCATCCCCAGAAAAGAACTCGGGCGGTAGCTCACGAGCCGGGTCAGTTCACCGCACACCCACGGGTGTCAGATCTCCTGTCGTGGGCAATCAGACCACTCAAACACCGGAGCTGCTCGTGAAAGCACCGAGGTATGGCGAAAGACCTGTGTGGTGGCTCGATGTTCTTAGCCCAACGGAGGCAGAGATGAAGGTCCTGTCTAAGGCTTTTGGAATTCACCCACTTACAGCAGAAGATATCATGGTTCAGGAGGCACGAGAAAAGGTAGAACTGTTCCGCCATTACTACTTCGTCAACTACCGATCCTTCGATCAGGACCAAAACAGCGAGGACTACCTTGAACCTGTCAACATGTATGTGGTTGTCTTCCGTGAAGGCGTCATCAGCTTCCACTTCTCTATGACACCACATCCCGCCAACGTCCGTCGGAGAATTCGACAGTTGAAGGACTATCTTATTGTCAACTCGGATTGGATTTCGTATGCGATCATCGATGACATCACGGACGTTTTCGTGCCCTTGATTCAAAACATTGAAGACGAGGTTGATGATATTGATGATGCTATTTTGAGGCTTCACTCTCACTCCGAAGATTCCAAGAATGACATGTTTGACGAAAAGGCAAGCAACACAGGGACAACAGTTGGTTCTGAAGGAGACATGCTTCGACGTGTAGGTGACTGCCGCAAGCGCGTCATGAGTTTGTACCGTCTACTGGGCAACAAGGCGGACGTTATCAAAGGGTTCGCAAAGCGCTGTAATGAGCGCTGGGAAGTTGCTCCAAGGTCTGATATCGGACTGTATTTGGGTGATATACAAGATCATATCGTGACCATGACGTCCAATCTTAGTCACTATGAAAAGTAGGCTCCTCCATCTCTTTCACATGAAAAGATGAGCTAACCAAAATCTCTCAGAATCCTTGCCCGGTCTCACGCCAACTATCTCGCGCAGATAAACATTCGCATGAACGAGCGCCAGGAGCAGACGGCTGACGTCCTCGGCAAGCTAACGGTCCTAGGTACTATCGTGCTTCCCATGAACATCATCACCGGTTTGTGGGGTATGAACGTGTGGGTTCCTGGTCAAGAATACGAGGGCGACCTCAAATGGTTCTGGGCCATCACGGCAGGCCTTTTGGCGTTTGGCCTGGCGTGTTACATGATTGCGAAGCGAGTTTACAACATTGTATAAAGAAGAGAGTTCCCTGAATCGGATATGTCGCTGGGGTTGGCGTTTGGTTGGACTAAAAGCATACGACGGTGCCAATATAGAACAGGTGCATCATACGGACGGGCAAACAGAACATGTACTGGTACACCAATCTTTCATAATGTCAAATCATATATTCCTTGCAGGCTGTATAGCTGGCATTCTCTTTAGAGAGCTTAGCCCTTTCCACCAGAACATTACTTACTGCGTACGCGACGGGACTTCGGTTCTACCACAATGGCAAATCGCCTCTGTATTTCCCCGTAGTTGTGTTGCACCCCTTCATCACTGTAATGATAATCTGACAGACCGAAGATAGGTGATGCGGAGCACCAACTACACTATCGTTCACATATTACTCCCACACTTTGGGCTAATTTTAAAGTTATTGCCGTCCAGAACTAGTGGCTCATTTGCCTCTTCATAAAAGGTAAACGGCAAAGTCCTGATTCTCTACGTTAAACTAAGGTTTACAAACCACTGTAACGTTGACTTGCTTCGGCAAAAGTATAGCTTGTAGGGTTTGCTTCCTCGAGCGTGAAAGAAATGCGCCGTTCCAAGTAAGGTCGGAAGGCCTCGAAGGATGTACCGGACGCGCACAGAGTGGCAAAGCAAAAAGTGGAAAGGCCACTGCTAATTACGTGTGACGAGTATTTTGTTGAGATATTTAATTGATGAGCATATACCAGCCACTGAAACCATATTACCCATGGACAGGATGACTTTCGCTTGTGAATTTAGGTCGACAATCACTAATCACTGGTTCAGGTTTGCAAACAACTGGTTTCTTGCAACTGAAGTACCAAGTATTTCTTGTCGCTTTTCAAGAAAAGGCGTGGACACATACGACGGAAGAAATAGGTTGAACGATATTGCAGAACCTGAAATATCAAACGAGACGAGTCTCGACCACTATTGCGTCAAAATCAGCAATCCAAGTTGTCTTGACGTCGGAATTCGATTTACATACAAGAAGTTGGAAAATCCTGTATTTTTGGGTTTCAAGGGATAGCGGTTGAATGTTTAAAAATCCGGATACAAGGTGAGCAAGCTATGGACTAAGAATATGATATTGGACTCATGACTTAAATGCGCCTAGACGAGGGTTGATCGAAAACTGTTGATTAAATTTGGAGGGGAGTGGTTCGCCAGGTGGTTTGCTACCTCTTGGGATGGCCGTGTCTGAACGCAGATTACGTCGTAGCATTAATCCAGATACTACTGCAAAGTATCTGTCCATGATTCTAGGACAATATACGCAGGATTGTGATAAACAGGCAGGCCAAATAGAGAGCTGTCTCATCATCTAAGCATAAACAACGGTAGATGGTAAGACAGCGGGGCCACGCTTGCAGAACATCTTCAAGTTATGGACATACAGAGTATTGTCGTTACCAACAACGCAAGGCCTACTTCACCTTTATTCTAATTTCTTCAACAGAGCCATTGAATGGTCAGCACGGCCTTGGACAGCATGTTCAAGAACATATCAACGGAGATAGCTTCCCCGGACGAGCTTGCCACGGACATCCGATTGTTATGAAGTGGCTGGAGAAATTGCAGAAATCAGGATATTCCAGTCGCTGCTTTCCCACTAACCGATTGGACTTATACTTGAGACCGGCAATCTCGGCATCTCGGATTATGTCGGCTGAATTTCGAACACCATGACTTATGGCGGCAAGAATGAACCAAGAAGCCAAGAAAGTTTCGAGAACTCGGCGCGCTTATGTAGGTAGACTCGTCAACGCCCTGTGGGCCGTTCTCAGGAATATCGTCTGAGTTGGCCGAAATGACAAACCATCTGATTACAAGGCGCTGATTGACGGTCGTGCTAAAAAGAAACGTTCAATTCTGGCATTTGATCCTAATCGACTATCATAATGCCATTCAGAGGGAAAACGACCATTAGATTTGTCCATACGTTGAACAACGACCCCTCAGATCAATCATGGCGGTTACATTTCAAAGATTTGGTTTGATGAAACAAATACAACTGGATCCTTATACCATTTGAAACCCCCTAGTGCTGGGCAGATGATCATGCAAACGAAAAGTATACCAATCGTGTTTGCTTAGCCTAAGGACTTACTGTCATAAAGCACCCAAAATCAGAACTCTGGTCAGACCATGGAGCGCTCAACGAGCATTTGAAATGCGTCGACTATAGTAATCAAACCTCTTTCCCAAACCACCCAAACTCCTCTTTTGATGCACAGCGTATAATGAATGTCAACACGTATAGATTACATACAACCATCTACCGACCCCTTCTACTGGTCCTTGGAGCGCATTTTCTTGATGCGCAGTCCTCCCTCAAAGACACCGCGATCAACGGCAGCAGCGACAGTCAAAGTACCACCGACAATGGCGCAAAGCCCAGTCAAGAATCCAGTGAACGTTTTTGCGCGCTCCTCGCGGTTGATAACTTTCATGGGGGAGATGTCCTGAATACTGATTAGCTTTTTTGAGTACGAAAGTAAAGGCTGGAGGGACTTACGTAGGAAAAGAAGACACCTGGAATACCACCCCGGGAGTGAAGGCGCTCTTGATGGCCCTCTGCAGAGTCATCACCGCCAGCCAAGCTACGCTTGTGGCTCGTCACAGAATATTGGTGAGTCTCAACGCTGCCATCGCCCATATGACCGAGTAGACCCAGCCCATAGCTTTCATCTTGCCCGACAGAGGCCGTTTTCTGCCAGTTAAGCGAAAGGTATGAAGTGGGCACGATCTTTACAAAGTACATGAAGTTGTAGTTGGGGTCATTGGTCTCCTGGTGGGTGTTGTCGAGCGGGTTGCCATGGTGGTTAGTCCACTGGTAGGCTCGCTTTGACATCTTCTTGGTGGCGGCATCAGGCAACTGGGGACCGAAGCGGAGAGTGTGAATGATATGGGTGAAATCGTGCTGGGCATCGCTAGGAGTGTCCCAGTAGTTTTTGAGGTCGTGAACGTGCATATTTCCGTTGCTGAAGCTGCGGCCGGGGGCAAGGTGGAAGTTTCCAACAACCTTGTTGACACGCAGGCTGCCTTCAATACGGCATCCCTCCTGGCGCTGCTCCTCCAGCTTCTCGGCGTAATGCTCGCGAGTGCACTGCTCGACATTTTCGCCCTTACCGAAGGCCCACGAGGCCTGCGCATACGCCTCCCTAACTTCCTCGCAGGTGTTACAGCAGCCAGGCTTCTGCGCGTTCGCGGGAGCCGGGGCGCCGTAGCAGGGGCCGCAATAGTTGGGGTCCAGGTGCTGGGCGGAATCTTCGCGAGAGTGGCTTTTGGGGGTTGTGTCAGTTTGGCAATTTCGGGCCGTTGTTGTAAGTCAAAAGGTAACTTACAGGTTCAGGGCCTTGACATCAATGACGCCGCCTCCCTCCTTTTGAGAGCGAAGGCGAACCTTACTGACACCGTGAATAACACTGTGCTGCTGCTCGCCAGAAACATCCATAACATCGAGGGTAAGAAGTTCGCAGGGCATTTTGGGAAACGTCATGTTGAGATGAATCTCCATGCGTTCGCCTGTACCAAGCGTGGATTAGCTCCCAAGTTCTAGGGGTCGGTATAATAAAAAAACAAAAAAAAGGAGGCCCATACCTCTTCCCTGATCGACAATGAGCTCAGGATGGATCTCTATCCTCCGGTAGTCGACCCATTCTCCCCAAGCCAGCCAAAAAACGACAATCAACGACACGATGGTGACGATTCCGCCGGAGGTAGTTCGAATGCGTGCCTCGTCGACCGTCTTTGTAAAGGCATCAAGCCTTGTAAATCTCGACTTCGCCGGCATGGTGGAAATCGAAAGGTGGGAAGCTGCTGTCGACCTTTGTCAAAAGTTACGTGCAGCTTCACGGGCCCTACGAAGCGTCAAGCAGGGAATAAGCAAGTCTCGAGGATGTCGCAACGGATGCGCCTGAGAAGGGAAAGGAGTGTGGGTTTCTAAGAGGAGAGGTTGATGTCAAGAAGTGAGAAACCCCGCTTGAATCATGAGAAGAGAACGGAACTGAGAAGGCTCGCACCAACACTACTGCGGCTGTCTTGGAACGAAGTCGTTTGAAGCGAAAGGCTCTGGGCGCAAGTCGTAGAGGCCACCTTCACTTATTTTCTGGCCACGCAGCCCCCTCAAGTTCCAATTGCGCTAAGAACGCGGCTTCAGGGGTCCCGCACGGGGCATAGTGGGACCCGGTCCTTGGGTAAATGTCGGCCGACGGCCAATGGAAAATGCCATACGGCACTGGAAAGAATCCAGAACGAAGAATGGGGTGGCCCGTGCTCAAGCTGCTCGGACCCACTGTAAAATCCCAGCCTGGCAACCAAGGCTGAGGCTCCCGCATGAAGAAAGCAACCTTCAACTAGAATACATCAAAAAGTCGCGTCCTGATCTCGAATAAAACTCGAGTAAGAGACACGAATATTACACACAAGGGATCGCGAGACACTACACGTGCTACGGACGCAAATTTTACGCTTCAAATCGATTGCTGAGCGAGTTTCGAGTCGATCGATTTATCTCAATCCATACCGCGACTGACGGCAATATGTCCAAGCCGCCTTCCAGAGTGGTTTTCGTGGGAAACATTCCCTACGGTAGGTCTCATGCTAATACCGAAGAAACTGTACTGACAATTACGTTAGGTCTCTCCGAGGAGCAGATTAGCGACATTTTCAGCAGCGCCGGCAAGGTGCTTAATTTCCGCCTCGTTTACGATCGCGAAACTGGTCGACCGAAAGGCTTCGGCTTTGCAGAGTATCCCGACAATGGTAAGATTCGCGCACTGGATGAAGAAGAAGAAGTTGCCACTGACTTGTGACATAGACTCTGCGGCATCGGCGGTCCGCAACCTCAATGATTATGAGATCATGGGAAGGAAACTGAGAGTGGATTTCTCTAATGAAGGAGGAAGTGATGGCAATGACGATAACCATGTGCGCTTTGGAAATGGTTGAAAATCTGGAATTTTGTACTAACACTTGCTATAGGGCCGCGATGGTGGTAACGCCGCTCACGCCTCGAACGGCTACAACCCAGCCGCCGTCCCCGCGCCATCGAACACTCTGCCACCTCTGCCTGCCGGCAAGGAGCTTCCGCCCAATGTCACAGCCACCGACGCCATTTCCCGTACTCTCAACACTCTTCCTCCCTCTCAGCTCCTAGACATTCTCACGCAGATGAAAGCCCTGGCCTCTACCGACCCTGCGCGTGCAACGGAACTCCTCCAGCAGGCTCCTCAGCTGGCATATGCAGTTTTCCAGGCGCTGCTGCTCATGGGACTTGTATCCCCCGAAGCGATCCATTCTGTCCTCGAACCTGGTGGTGCGCCGTCTGTTACACCCGCCCAGGCCGCGCCTATCGGCTACCCGCCTCAGCCTACCCCTGGCTTCCCTCCGGTGCCGATGGCGGGCGCCAACAATACCCCACCGGTTGCCAGCACACCGTATGCGCCGCCGCCCCAGCAGGCAACCTATGGTGCTCCGCCGCCTCCCCCGGCTGCCGCCGCACCGTTGGGCCAGGATCCCGATGCGCTGATGCGGCAGGTCATGGAGCTGCCGATGGAGACAATCAACATGCTTCCAGAGGCGGAGAGGCAACAGATTCTGGCGTTGCGAGCAAGCTTTGGTGTCCAGAGGCGATGAACACGTCAGCGGTGCTATTTAGGCACGAGCCTAGGCTTGGCTTTGAGGGCGCGGTACATCAAATGACAATTCGAATCGTATAGTTGTTCATGTCGGTGGAACCTTTCGGCTGGAATCCGCCACATCAACTGTTAACGAAACGAATGATGTTCTAAAAATTATGCAAATACGAGCTTCACTTCTGGAAACAAGGAGTTGTCGGCATTATAGTACCTGGCCGTGATATACCAGGCTAACCAGCATGGGAGTCTCAAAGACGGACTTTACCAGACGGAGGGTACCTGTCCGGCGTTGTGGTGAGGGGCAAACACGAGGCTATTATTGGAGACGATATTCTCATCAATGTCACCAAAGGGCGAGGAGGCAAGATCCGCCTATAAGGGGGGCCACTGGACATGACTTTATCCTCTAGCTATGACGCACTCTTCAATTGCCCATGGCAGATTCCTTCCTCGGTCAAGGAGAGACCGACATCGATCTCACGATAACCTCACCGGGCAACCGAACTCAAGCCTCGGTAGGACACGCCTTAACACAGGTGTGTGGGGACGTCGGAAGGTGGCGTTGGCGATGGACAGGCGTATTTTTTTTTTTTTTTCGCGGCTGCGCCTCCAGGAATGGGGCCTGTGGGAGGCGGGGCCGGAAGGCAGTTTCTCTCTGGTGGCCAAGGTCTAGGATCACGAGGACGATAGGCAGTCTAAATATACCACAATTGCTACTTCAAAGGGGAAAAAAAACCACTCACACCCGAGGGTTTCGGTTTAAGCCGAGCAGCATGACCATAGATCGACGTGTGTGCGTGATGTGCAGCTCTGGGGAAAGATGGGTTATGTTGTAGATGTTGGCCGTTGGCAAGGTCTCTCTGGCACCCCACCAGCTGCGGCACTCTGCGTCTGCGCCTGCGCCTATCGGCTGCGGCTCAACACAAAGGGTTACGAAGAATAGCAGACAGAAAGAGGGTCAGTTGGCCAAGAAACGATGATCATTTTTAGCATCACAACCCATGTTGACGCTTGCCTTGGCTGAGGATTCACTCTACAGGATGGTCAATCCGTCTAAGGCGGCAATAAGTTTAGTTCCTTATTTTCTTCTTTTTTTTTTTTTTTTTTTCTCTCGGTTTTTTATGGGTTTGTTGGCCTGGCGTTACTCTTCCAGGTCAGTCGTAGGAGAGGTAAGAGACGATCGATGTATATACACAAGCTGACACTGACAGTCCAACTCTAATCGAAGGAAGTGCCCGGCCCCTACAAGGCGAATGGGGCCACGCGGTGCTTCCGGTGATGCTGACCAGGGTTATTATTGTATGTGCGGCATGGTCGTCTCAAATTTTGATGGGGCAGGCAAACGGTACCATATGTTGGAAACGTGACAAAACCTGATTTTCATATGTGAATGCGATACTTTGCTTGCTCTGGAGTGTTCGCGTCTTTGGCTGCTTCGGTCACTGGGAGAAAGGATTGTATTGGACGGAGCACGATGGTAGGTCAATTGAAGGTCGGCATTGGTTCTGTTGCACAATGATGCTATTAAGAAAAGGAAAAAAAAGAAAAAAAAATCAAGCTGAAATGATTTACTGAGTACCGCGGCTAATAGGATGGTACTCCTTCATGCGGCCAAGAATGAGGCTCATGTTGTGCGGCTACGATGATATAGTATGAGCGGAAGCCTATGGCCAAGCGCCTCCACTCACGCGTTATGGTGGTGACCATGTACAATGGGGGCAGCACAAGCAACAGGATGAAATCAGATGGTCGAGTGCAATGGATGGGATGAGTCTAGTTCGGACACATTCAGGGCTGGGGCTAACGTGCGCACTCCGTCCGTTCATCCGTCCTTCATATCCACTGCCCGACCACCGCGATACGACACCTACTCAGTTGAACATTCTGGAACATTTGTTTCGCGGATCAGACCACCTTAGGTCATGAACTTCGGAGACAGGGAGGGCAACAAATAATAAGGAAAATAGAGACAAAGAGTAGCCGAAAAAAAATTGTTAGTACGAGTGTGTTTTCATATCAAGGCTTTCTATAATGGTGGGACTTGATGCAGGTGGTCCCATTCGTGCAGTTTAGTCTGCACGAAACAGCCACATGTCTCACAGAATACCAAAAGCCCATTTAGAGAGTAACGCTGTTCCTGAATCTCATACTTGTAGCATGCAGGCAGGGGGTGTGGAGAGAAGGGAGAGAAAAGAAAGAAAAATTATGGGGTTTGCGTCGGCGGATGTTAGTGGACAGAATATTGCATTGCAGTAGCATCCAGAAATTTCGGATTTATACACACGTGTCAAAGCGGCGAACAGCAACGGTAAGATGGGGAAGCGTGCTTGTCCCGCCATTGGGTACGACATTCTGGACTGTAAAGTAGGTTCATCTTAGAGGGCTCTGCAAAGGACGAATGAAAAGAAGGACGAATGTCCGGGTGGGAGGGATGATAGGCTCGGGCTGAAACAACTTGACGGTTGATACGAAACTGTATGGTTGTAGGATGCTGGACAGGACGAGTGACATAGGGTGTGTGAAAGATCCTAATAAAGGATGGAGGGGCCTTGAGAAGTTTAACAAGCTATTTTCCCTAATGGCCTTCCTGGGTCCCTGGAAGAGTTAGTGTTAAATGGCAGCGGGCTGTTCTTGGACGCATTCGATTCTAGTCTTGTTGACGCGTCCTTCCAAGGATCGACGTAGGAAATCGAACAGCCGTGTAATTTCCCTAGCCGAAAGAATATTGATTTTTTTTAATAATTTCTTTCCCTCTTTCCAATTTCGTGGACTTGAATGCAGGTCATCTGCTTGTGAAGAGAGTCTCCATTTCCTGGTTCTGATCTCACTGCTAGCATGTGTGTGTGTGTGTGTGTGTGTGTGTGTGTCATGCATGGCATGCAGGCTTGCAGCATCCGTCATTAATTAAGCTGCATTCAATAATTTATCCCGGGGAAACAAAAGAAGGGGTCCCCGATATATTACACTAGTGCAGCGTCGCTCGGATAAGGTTGCCTGTATCCATAAGGTCCTGTCGAAGTAGAAGGTCGTACTGAACGCGGACAAAGGCGCCCTCAAGTGGTAATCTACCGGCAGCTAACACCACAGAACGGGCGGGAAGCAGCTCAAAAGAAGGTTGTTGTGATAATACTCGTTCTGCTTGCGATGGGGGCAGCCAATGAAACGCGGGGATGACTTCCTGATTCAGGGGTAATAAAGCTGCAAGTGCGGGAAGCGAAATATTTAGAGCCCGCTCGAGGTGGAGGGGGCCAAGAGCATATGGGTTAGAACGGAACAAACGAATGGCTTAGCACGGATATGATGGTCGGAAAGAGAGGTGGGAGGGACGTCGTTGTCCGTGTGAGGCCTTCGTCATGTGCGACCTTAATTTTTCTATCCTCTCGTCTAATTGTTTATGTTGTTCTGGACCGTCGTCCGTGGCATGTGGCTCCGTTTTGTTTTGGCCTTGTTCCGTTGCAATTTGAGAAAGACAGGAGGCTGTATGCGACGGGGGTTTAGGCGGTTGCAAGGTGGTTCTTCCCCATTGCCAATGACCGACGACGATCAAGACGACACATGGCCATGTTTTCGTTGCTGGATGAATGGTTCTGTGGCTCCGTAGCGGCTCCGTAATTTCCAGCAACCTCGCGGAAGGTTTCGAGAGGGACGGAAGGAAAGGAAAACGGTTGAACAAGCAAAGTGGGCCGGGAAGGCAGGTCCGTCGCAAGCGTGATGATGAAAGGACTGGCTTCTGTCCTTCAGCCTCTGGTACCTGGGCAGCCTGAATTTCTGACGCGCCGGGGAGGAAAGGACTTTGAGATCTACGTAGGAGCAAGTAGAGGTTGTACATAATGGTGCCCATTCTTGATGGTAGTGCACCAAGTGTTGATCACTCCATGGTCGGTCCAGATTTCTGGCGCAGCGTGTTCTAGGCCGGCTTTCCGCCCGTGTTAGCGCCGCGGCACTGTTGCTAAAGTTAGGTCTTTTGCCCATCCGCTAAGAAACTGGGTTTTGGGGGGAGGGTCGCCTCACCCAGGCCCAAGAGCCTTACTAAGAGAGATAGCTATGGCGTCAGGTAAGGGAGGTCAGGGGGAGCGAGCAGCATCAGCAACAGCAACGTCGTCATCATAATCACTATCGGTAGATAGAAGAATGATATCAAACATGTTTACCAGAATGAGCAGACAAGAGCAGGTCCCGTATATCTAAGAAGTTGCTATTCTTGGTGACGGGGAGCGGGGGGCGGAGGGCTTGTTGCTGCCACAAGGCTAATAGTAGCAACCATCTTGCAATGAGGAAGAGAAGGTAGGAAGGAAGCAGTTTGGAAGGTGGCCAAACCCGAAATATCCATTCGGGGGACGTCCTGGGGCATGTTTGCTCGACTAAGGGAGCCAACTTGCCTTTCCTGGTTGCGTAATCAAGCCCATTCTGAGCCTGTTCTCTAGCCAGGCCAGGAAAGGTGTCAGGGTGTCTTAAAAGTAGCATCCATCCTCCGGCTCCTTTGAGGCGGTACGGTACGCTGTGCAAATTGGACATGATCCAGCCCATCATTACCCAGGCGCAAAGGGAACTCTCTACACTCCCGTTCCTTACCATCAATTCATGTCAAAGCAGGGCCACCTGACGTGATTCATGCCCACCGCAGCTTACACATGCCTACTTCACTGCACCTGTTGTGGTGGTGATGAGGCACGGATGGCGATCGATTCAACGGCAGACTAGGCACTTCGACCTGAAGTTAACCATCCACAACCTGACCGCAATCGCCGACTCGTGTTCACGCAGTAGCAGCCGATGCGCCTTCGCGACTGAGCATCGAATTGGATCTGCAGACCTTCGCGAACCAGCGGGACCTGATTGCCACCGCCTAAAGCCAAGCCACATTCATATTCAAGAGGTGATGCATAATATAGTGTGGTCTGTCGACGGTCCAGGAAGAAAACGGCTTGTGGCACCGTACCATAGTGTAGCTTAGACGGCGTTTTAGCACCATGCTACGGTCTGCTACCGACGACGCATTGGCATAAAGGACGAGGTGACAGCGACAGAATTGGACTGGGAGCGCCGTTACCAGCTAAAGCGCAGGGCCACACCGGCGGGGCCACCTCCCACAGGGCTTGAAGGGGGGAGTGGGGAGGCGGGCACCCAGAACGTTACGGGTGAGCAATAGGGAAGCGGTTCATGCCCAAGAAGACCAGCCAGGGTTCGACGGGACGAAGAAGATGAAAAAGAAGGAGAAAAAAAAAGAAAAAAAAAAAAAAGAGGGGGGGGGGGGGGGGGGGGGGGGGGGGGCTTGCTGCGAGTGTACCGAGTTGCCATTCAATGCCTGTGCCCATAACCTGGCATCGGTGATGAAATAGACTGGACTGGGCTGGACTGGACGACGGCCCTATTCTTCTCCCCCAATGTACTCTTTTGAATGGCAGCACTGGACCTGCATCCGGTTTCCTGCGGGACTGCAGGTGTGCTGTGAGGATGTGTTGTCTGATATTCAACAGTGTGTGTGTGTGTCTGCAATGCAGCAGTGCTCTCTTACACACTCTCCCCACTCCCCTAATCCGAATGAATGACTGCAAGGGAATACCCCTGCCTTCCCCCTGCTTCCGTGACCGCATGGGGCCCTGGGCAACGTCGTGGGCTACATGTCGTGCTAACTTATCCCTTGCGGTCTAGCGCTGCGTATGCTGTGCTAAGGTACCCTTTAGCGTGCGGTGATGCTAGGCCCAACTTAGTCTGTTCGCTCCGTCTCCACGATTGAACCACTCCCAATCGACCTGCTGACAAGTCAGTCACTACCGGTACAGCGCCATATTGGACGAGCAAAAGGTACGTACCTATCACTTCCTTCAGGTCCTCTCGTATCCGATTCTGGGGGAAACAGAGAGAGATAGATCGCTTCGCTTCTGATCCTCTCCTTCACTTTTCCTTTCCTCTCCCGTGCCCTTTCGATCTTTTCACCCTCGCCCTCGCCCGTGTGTCCCAAAATCTGTTATTTTGCGACGGATCGGTACCGGCCTGGCGTTGTCGAGAAAACGTCCTATTCCTCTCGGCGAGAGACCGCAAAAGAGAAGTTCCCTCAAACTAATTGGTCTTGCCGTCAAGGAGCGAACCCTGGGTTGACTTGGGCCTTTGACCTTCTGATACCCTCCTCTTGGTCTTCCTATTCCCCCTTTCCTAACCTCTACCGAACGGGCAAACCAAACACTGTCACATCCTTCTTTTTGTGTCTCGACTTCCTTCTTGGCTGCTGCGCCTTCTTTTTCTCCGCCGGCCACCAACCAAACCAGATCAATCCAACTGCAGGAAACTAAAAACGCACACGCGCCCTTTCATTAGTGCAGCCTGTCCTGCTTTCGTCTCTGCAACTACCTATCTCTCCACCTCTACCTCTTCCTCTTGTTTCTTCATCGGATAAACGAGGCATTCGTCCTGTTTTATCTGGGCAACTAAGTATCCGATAACGACACTCGCTACCTGAACCGCGTCTCAAACCTCGATTCCCAATTCCCATTCCACGTCGATCTGCACCTCACCCGGCCGGCTACCGCGACCTCTAGACCTCTTGGCCTCTCCTCATTGTTCATGCGCCGCCCATAGCATTCCTCTCAGCCACACCACCATCGGGCCATCGAAACTGCCATTTGGCCTATTTGCCGGATCCTCAAGTTTGGACTGACGCCATAATTAATCCTTCCGCCGAGACACGACTTGCACCGCCAGCATCCCAACCACCAACCACTCTCAGCGGACCGCCTAATCGCCTAGTCCGATCTGGCGTCAACCTCCCCAATTCACCCTAGGGCGGCCCCTACGACGATTGCATCGCATTGCATGGTAGCTTGAACCAAGTCGCGATACAAAACCGACCGACCATGTCGCCCCAACGCCCCAACTTCATCGATCTTCGGGCCCCTTCGAGTATGTCTAACGTATCACGACCGCTGCGATCCCCGAGACTTCACGTTGCAGGCGAGGCACCCCCCGAACTGTCGCCTCTCGATGCCTTCGCCCTGCAGAGTCGCTTGTTGGCGAGGCAGCTGCAAGCTGCTGCGAACAGCGATGGAAGACGAATGAGCCGGCTCCCTCCCCTGACGACCGAGAGCCCCTTGGTCGTACAAGGCCGATCTGATTACTTCCGCTCAATGTCTAACGACTCTGGCTCTGAGGAAGTGCCACTCCCTGAGCTTCAGAATCCAGGATTGGGCTTGAGAACAGAGATGGAAGATGCATTCCCCTCCGAAAAGGACCGTCCAAGATCAGTCCACCCGCGAATGAGCCGAATACCTCCTACTCCCGACGAGAATATCCCCCTGCCATCGCAGCCGCTTCCCGATGCGATGCGTGGACGTCCGATAGACGATTTTGAAGGCCAAAATGAGACACTGTTTGGCGCCAGAAGAGAACAGTCTCCTACGCCTATGGAGCAGCCGGCTAGCGATTCCCACCTTCAAGCCTCACCTCCACGAAAGGACCTTTCACTGCCTCTGCCTTCGCCAGCACGCTCCCGCGAGAACTCACTTACGGGATCTCCTGGAAAGACCAAGGGGCACTCTTTTGATGGCCCTGGTCTGGCTCCCCCAAGGCCCAACTTTATAGCGCGATCTTCAAGCTCAATGTCTTCACCTATCGACAATGCGACTGACGATAACTCGATGAGCAACTCTATTCAGTCTTTACCCCCACGCAAGCTCTCAAGCAGCAGTGCATTTGCTGTGCCAGCTGCGTCCCCTGGCCTCGGACCTGGGCCCTTCCAGCGGTCTCCATCGGTCAGCTCTGAGGCTTCTATGCCTCTGCCACGACCATCCTTCAACTTCTCAAGACCAATGAGCCGTGCAGGTACCCCTGGTCTGGAAACGCCCACGCGCCAAGCTTCATCAGATAGCCAGCCTTCCTTCATCTTTGCGAACGACGACTCCGCCAATACTCCTGTTAGCATGAACAGCGAAGGGTTTCCGGACCATATGCAGGACGATGGAAGGGCTGCACCTTCGTACATTTACTCCAAGTATTCGCTTCCTAGAGGCAAGACCATACAGAGATCAGTTCCTCTGGATCCTCATCCGCAAGCATCATTCCAGTGGGAACAGCCCATGACGCAACCGAGCAATGTTCAACCCATCCACCGTGGAGCGCCTCCTTCACCCCCAACCCGGCCCTCTAGCTCAGCTGAACCCGGCGCTCCTGACGACATCACCTTGACTAAGCCGGATCAAAACCGTGGCGGTCCGGCACCACAACCATCTCCTAACCCCAGTCGCCCTTCCACAGAAAGCCAAGCCTCGGAGGATGATCAGAGAGGCCGCGCCCTCACCTCTCCCGCCCATGATGCTGTCCGGGGCCAGACTGCCATGTCCACGGCTACTACTGACTCGAACAGTACTCTCAAGGCAGCTAGATCTCAGGCTTCGGGTGCCCCTACCACTGCGGATATGACCCCCGAGGAGCACTTGGCTAAGGGAATCGAGTGCCATGAAAACGGCTCAGTCAAGGAGTCCACTTATCATCTTCGTCACGCTGCCAGGGGCGGCAACCCAACAGGCATGCTCCTGTACGCTTTGGCCTGCAGACATGGCTGGGGCATGCGACCCAACCAGCGTGAGGGTGTTGAATGGCTGAGAAAGGCTGCCGAATGTGCTAGCCTTGAAATTGCGGATGACGAAGACCACGTCAAGGAGGGCAAGTTTGTTGACGCTATGGAGCGGAGGACGCGTAAGGCACAGTTCGCTTTGAGCATCTATGAGCTTGGTGTGAGTCACATGAACGGATGGGGCATTGAGCAAGACAAAGGCCTCGCCCTGCGTTGCTTTGAAATCGCTGGATGTAAGTTGCAATCGCTACTCACCTCATTAAGCCCGTAACTGACAGTTTATACAGCTTGGGGTGATGTCGATGCGATGGCCGAAGCAGGCTTCTGCTATGCCCAAGGCATTGGATGCAAGAAGAACTTGAAAAAGGCTGCGGGCTTCTATAGACAAGCAGAAGCCAAAGGGATGAACATGGTCGGCAACAGCTGGTATGTATTGCCTCTATTTAGCTCATCAAGGGGACTAAAAGTACTGACATGCACTTCACAGGATCCACAAAGCAAAGTACAATGACGATGACAACAATGGCAAAAAGGCTCGCAGCAAGTCTAGAACACGCACCAGGTTCGGCATCAAGACCGGCTAGTGATCAGTCTTTTTGAGTTCTTTTTTGCGCGCAGCGTCTAGCGGCATTTCATGGATCATGACCCTTTGCATTCGACACACCACCTTCATACCCGCATCCTCGGAGTTTTGGGAAGCTGGCTCTACGGAGTGCGGCTGTTTTTACTGGGCATTTAAGTTTGTGGCTGGGAATTTTGCCATTTTCTGCATTCAACAAGGCACGCTACATGTGAGCAGAGGGAGGACAGGACTGTCCCAACGCCCATGCAAGGGGACAAGCAAGTTCTCCACTCTGCGTCACAGGGGGAGACAAAAGTGATGGTTCCGTTTAGCGTGTACAGACCTTGATTGAACATACCCTTGGTTCCTATGTATATACCACAATTGCTTTAAGAAGGACGGCGATGCCTTCTGTAGGGAATTTCTTTGTCGTACAAAAATTAAGGCTTTGCCTCGCGTAATGGCGGTAGTAAGGCGAATGGAAAAGCTCTTTCCGAGATCTAGGTCAATGACAGACTATCATTCTCACGTGTGCCAGGCTGCGGCGTCTTCCTGGTAATAACATTGTCCCTGTCAAAAATGAATTGTGTTTTACTCTTCAATGTCTTCCTAGGAAGGCGAAAAAGAAGGAATTCTATGGGCACAATGCATGTGGAGGCACTCCCTCCTGCTTTCTTAGTAGCATATTTTATGGCACATTGGCAGGATCAGACATTCGGGGCAAAGTTTACTTCAATGCCTTCTATGGCCACAGTTCTGTGTATTGGTACAAGATCTCCGCGTCTCGGGAGCACTTTGTTAGCAAGCCCCTTGAAAACCATTTCTTCATAAACCATCAACGCGCTTAAGTATCAACCTCCATCTCCTCGCCAGCCGGCACTTCCGTTACACTCACGTAGCGACCAATCTCGTTCTTCTTGATGATCTTCTCGTTAAGGACAGCGGTGGTGCCCTTGGGGAAGGCGTAACTCTTCAGCTTGGCGCTGCGCTCGTTGGGCTTGACGAAGCCACGCTTGAGCGTCGTCTTGTCCTTTGTAATGATGGCAACGTCAACGTTGCTTCCGGAGCCCAGGTCGTTAAAGATACCGGCCTGGATGGCGTCGCTGGCTAGTTTGACGGCCTCCTCCTGGTTCAGTTGAGGCTTCCATTGAGTTTCAAAGACGGACATGGCGGCGAGGGAGCCGGAACCCATCGTGACATAGGGGAGCTTGTCGGTAGAGCCGTGGGCGTGGACAGTGAAGAGGTGGGTTCCCGTGGGGTCGACGCCAGCGACGACGAGGTAGGCACCAATATGGCCTTGGTACTGGAAAAGATGCTGCTTGAGCATGGTCATGCAAGTGACAACGCGGGGCTTGCGGCCTGTTGACAGGGCATGCAGCTCGAGGTTGGAGGAGATGATTGCCGTAGTGAACTCGGTATCAGCGGCGGTTCCGGCACCTGCGCACCAGATCTGAGGGGCAATATAGTGCAGCTTTTCGCAGTTCTTGTCGGCTACGATAGGGCCTGAGGTTGCTCTTGTGTCGGCTGCGATCTGGGAGGATAGTTAGTTGCTAAGGCTCCTCGAGGGGGTGGGTAGCTTGGCAGTGTGAAGGGCGGTATGATGAGGCAAGACAAACAAAGGGTTCTTCAATTTGCTGGTTGATAGGTAGACGTTTGTAAAATAGGGAGTACTAACCACCACACCGCCGTCAAATATGCATCCCACGATGGTAGTACCTGTGCTTGTCGCCTTGGGGAGGGGGACGCCTCGGGCATGGAGTGCCGCATTGCGGTTGTAGTTTGAGAAGTCGAAGCCAGGCATGGTTGCTGACTTGGCTTGCTAACCCCTGGCGGTGTTGATGTGTTATTTCCTAGTCGTCAAGTTCGTGTGAATGTTCGCGGTCGTTCAGTCGTGGTAGATGGTATTCAGTTGAATGGTCGACTGGACGTGGGGAGGATTAGGGGACGTGGGAAAGGCAGGAGCTGATGACGAGGCTAAAAGCTGCCTTCAGTGGTTGCCCGCTGGTTGGGGAGCTCATGCAGCGTGAGGCACCCTGCCACCAAAGAAATCTAGCGTTGATTGGTCAGGGAGGCCCCAGCTGGAGCTGCCTTAGCTTCACGTGATCACTAATAGATTGGCGACCAGGGAACGGACCGTCCAACAGCAACCAGAGCTACATGCGAATTTTTGGTAGTAGCAGCAGCCGTCATTGTCTAGGCAAGAAGGTCTTGCAACATTTCTCAAGGCATCTCCCTCTGCCTTGCGACCAATTTCTTCGCGTTTTCACGTGTAAATCTACTTCGCTCTCTTGATTTGGGCGCTTGTGAACATTTTCTAGAGTCGACTTACCTCATCTGCAGTTTCGAGTTGCGACAGCAGCAACCTCCCCAGCTGCTTGCGACGAAGGGAAAAAAAAAAAAGAAAAAAAATTACCCGTATATCAACAACGCGGCCCCTCCAACGAATGCGAAGAACCACCCCCAGCTGACCAACAAGGCCCCCCCTCCTAAAAGCCGGTCGATTCGCAAACCATCATGGCTTTTGGCTTCTCAAACCAAGGAAACGCCATGCTCGGTAGCACGGCTGGAGGCGGAGGACTCAATCAAGGCCCCGAGCTGGAGGTGATCCAGACCGAGGTGAGATCTGGTCACCGACACCGTCGATGCCGCTGTCTATTAAAAGTACAAAGCTTACCAGCTAAATCTTCTGTTCAGGCACTTGGTTTCAAATCGATTGCCGGAGACGCAAAGCTCCGGCTAACATCCGCGTGGTCCCCTGCCCCCGCCGACACGGCCTCCCTCCTCAGTATCGCCCCCCGCCGAGGCCTCGTCGCCGCCGCCGGTCCGGACGGCATCACGATTGCCTCAACCGAGTCTGTACGCAAGGGTTTTGAAGCTGAGACTAAGGAGAGCGACGCCTCCGATGTCCGCGCCTTCCAACCCCAGGCCAAGCTGCCCATGTCCATGAGAGTGGCACAGCTGGCCTTCAGCACCGATGAGAATTACCTTATCCTTTCTGCCGAAAGTGGCGGCGGTCTTGCCGTCTACGAAACTCAGAGCCTGCTAAATGGTGGTACACAGGCAGCATTCGAGCTTGCGACAAACGGCGAGACACTCAGGTCGCTTGTTCCAAATCCCACAGTTGAGAAGGCTGAGCTGGTTGCCATTGTAACGAATAACGGGAACTTGCACATTGCAAGCTTAAAGGATAGGCAGCTAAGCAACCCCTTGAAGACACAGGTCAGCTGTCTGAGCTGGAGTACCAAAGGAAAGCAATTGGTCGCGGGCTTGGCGGATGGTACTATTTGCCAGATGACCCCAGAGGGCGAAGAGAAGGGACAAATTCCCTGCCCGCCCAGCGTGAACGACGCTCACGGTAGGCTTTCGTGGTGCGAGTTGTGTTATGAACGGCAAACTGATTGTATCCAGTGTCTTCTCTCAGTTGGTTGGAAAACCATCTATTCCTTGCCATCCACACATCAACATCCGAGTCTCCTCCCGCCTCAGTTTACCACATAATTACTAGGAAGTTGCCGGCAGACTTCACATATCAGAAGCTTACCGATCCAGTTGACCCCTTTGGCGCAGAGAAGACGCCTCATCATTCAATATTAAGACTGAAAGATTTCCCTCCTAGCCTACAGGATCTTCTCATTGTCGCATCGACGGCATCCCCTGATATTGGCCTTCTCAGCAGGTCCAAAACCCCCCTCACCCCTGACCGACCAGCAGACGCTATTACAAATGTTTTCACCACCACAGAACTGGCCGACGACTCTAAACGTGCTTCTATTCCTTTGACCGAGGACTTCGGGAACACATTCCCAATTGGAGTTGCTCTCGACCTGTCCAGCAAGGAGAAGGTTTACAAGCCTCTGCCCGCTGACGAAGAGATTGAAGACTCGCCTGGCCCTCTGCCAGGTTTCTGGGTTCTTAACCATGAGGGTATCCTCTGCTCCTGGTGGATTGTGTACGAAGAGTCCATTAGGCAAGGCACAACATACCCGGGCATGGCAATGTTAGACACATCAGCTCCTGCGTCTACACTCGGCCCCACGCCATCACCAGCAGTACCAGCCCCGGCTGCTGCTGCTCCTTCGCCCTTCGGTGGTCCCTCGAAACCCTCACCGTTCGGCTCGAATCAAAGCGCGACACCTGCCTTCGGTGCCCCATCTGCTTTGGGCGGGGCGCAAAACAAAGCCAACCCTTTCAGCTCTGGCTCATCAACGACCCCTGCATTTGGCGGCGCGTCTGTTCTCGGTTCGAAGGCTTCACCATGGGGCAGCTCAAATACAGAAAGCTCTACAGCCGCCACAACATCCACTGGGTCGACTTTTGGAAGCAATGTGTTCGGTAGCAGCGCGGCCAGCCCTTCAACGTTCGGGCAGCCTTCGGCCTCCAAATCGGCCTTCGGAAGCGGCAGTGCCTTTGGTAGCACTAGCACCCCAACCTCTTCCTCAGGCCCAGCTTTTGGCCAACCTTCATCTATTGGTTTTGGCCAAAACTCATCGCTCGGTCAAAGCAAATCTCCTTGGGCAACCGCTGCTGGTTCCGCATCAAATGCTACGGGCTCAGCCTTTGGCCAATCCAGCTTCGGCTCTGCTAGTAAAGGTGTCTTTGGGAGTGGGTCAACGCCGACCTCCGGGGCAGCCCCTTCGTCCGGAGGGGGGTTTGCTAGTTTTGCCAGTTCTGGTGGTTTTGCTTCGCTTGGTAACAAGAATAGTAATGAAGGCGGCAGTGTATTTGGAGGTAAAACATCCGCAAGCCCTTTCGGCTCAGGCGCTTCTCCGTTCTCAACATCCAAGGACACTGCATTCCCGCCGCCTAGCCAAAAACCTAACAATAGTGGCGGGGTCAACCCGTTCTCCACGCCCTTCAAGCTGGAAAGCAGTTTCAAGCCCGACCCTTCTGCAAAGGAGAATGATGAGAAGCCTGCTGGCAGTGGCGAGTCGTCACTCTTTGGCAGCAACTTTGGTTCGGCGCTTGGAGACACAGCAAAGCAGACGACGCCTACTAAGGAGCAGGGCATGGACACGACCGAAGAGACACCAAAGCCCAAATCACCTTTCTCTCTGGGAGGATTGGCCTCTACGACGCCAAAAGAGACCCCAGCACCAAGCAGAGGACTGTTTGGCTACGGGACTGCGCCCCAAGGCGGCAAAAGTCTATTTTCTAAGCCCTCGCCAAAGACATCGAGCTTCAAACTGGAGCCTCAGTCTCAGACTAAGACTGAGAGCGACGCTCCCCTACCCCCTGATCCAACTAGCAAGGCGGAATTCACACTCGGAGACACGTCCTCTTCCTCAGGCGGTGGAAGTAAGACTTCACCGAAGCCGGAGAGCGCCCCGTTGCCTCCTGACTTCCTTTCAACGCCGAAGGTTGCCCAAATGAAGGCTGCGGTAGCCGCGCCGCTTCCGCCCGACTTTCTCAAGCCTTCGAAAGCTAAGGAGAGCACCACTCCGATCGATGAAGCACCTCTGCCTCCCGACTTCATTACACCCAAGCCCAGCAAACCAGTGGAGTCTACCACGCCTCCTACAGCGCTCCCCTTGCCTTCTGATATCCCAAAGTCGCCAACCGAAAGTGAGAAGCCCAAGCAAACAGCGCCAGCTACTGCTCCAGACTTCCTAAAGATGCCCAAGCAGTCGCTGTCGAAGGCAACTTGGTCGTCTACTCCCGTTAGTGAGGCACCTCCAAAGGAGTCGGATGATGCCCCCTTGCCACCTGATTTCCTTGCCAAGCCCAAGACAAATGATCTCCCTAACATCCCAACCGTCCCTGATAGCGAGCACGACAGCGATCTGGAGGAAGACGAGGAAGTGGACGGCGAGTCTGAGGGCAGCGGAGTTGATGTCGCTAAGGATCTGAGCCCATCCATTGCAGCCATGACTCCTACGGCTGGCTTGACCCCTCAGAGCTCCTTCGGCGCCGTCAGTAGTAGCACTTATTCCATTCCGCGCACCGAGGAGGACAGACCGCGACACTCGCTGTTTGGGGATCTAAGCCGCAATGCACCTGTGTTCCCACGACCATCACAAACAAGCCCACGCTCTCCCAGTCCAGTCCGGAACGCTGTGCCAGGACGGCTGCGTCATGAGTCAAACCGTTCGGTTAGCGCCCCTGGCATGGCCTCTCAGATTTTAAACGCGCAGAAGAAGCAGTCTTCCCAGATGGGCATGTCGATCGTCAGCTCCAAGCCTGCCGAGGACCCTTTTTTGGCACAACAGAGGCTTGCGCGCCAAAAGAAACATGTCGAGGAGACAAGAACTCTGGAGGATCAGGAAGACGATGAAATTCAAAAGATACTTGCTTCCAAGATTGAGCCTACACTCAAGTTAGATGACTTCATTGCGCACTCGAATGTAGTGCCTTCGGCGAAGGAGACTATACCCGCTCAAGTGGAAGCCGTCTACCGCGACATCAACTCCATGATCGACACTTTGGGTCTGAATGCCCGCTCGCTGGCCAGCTTTATCATTGGGCATGATGTTGGTTTCAAGGATGGCGGCCGACGCAAGGAGGATCTAGAGATTCCTGATACCTGGGTTCTGTCCGAAATTGACGAGCTCGGAGAGGTCATCGACAGATACCTTGCCCGAGATCTCGAAGAGGGCCGTGTTCAGGATGTGGAAGAAAAGTTGGAAGCCTGCAACGAGCTTGCCCGCGAGATGTCTCGCCTCAGGTCGAAACAAGATGATCTGAAGAAGATTATCATGGTCAAACTTGACCCTGATCAGGCCGACATCAGCCGCTCCTTGCCTCTGAGTACCGAGCAAGCCGCCCAGCAGAATGAGCTTCGCCGCGAGTATGCTAATTTTTCCAAGCTTCTTGCTGAGGCGGAGGAATCTTTGACTCTTCTCAAGACGAAGATCGCAGCCGCTAGCAGTGCATCTGGCAAGGGAAACTCGAATATGCCCACCGTTGAGGCTGTTATGCGAACCATCAATAAGATGACAAGCATGGTTGAGAAGCGTTCCGGTGACATTGACGTGCTTGAAAACCAGATGCGCAAGCTTCGCTTCTCTTCCGTCAACAGTCGTGAGGGTTCGCCTATGGTCACCCCTCAGAAGAACAACCGGTCGCTTATGTTCTCGCCTGAACGTATGGCCTTGGCTTCGCCTGGTACTCTTCGTAACTCCCTTGTGTCATCTGTCGCTTCTTATGGTGCGCGTGGCACGCCTCCTCGCAAGAAGCTTTCTGGCTTTAGCAAGGAGGAGAAGTCGGAGTTAATGACGAAGCGAGCCAAGAGACAGGCCGTATTGAACAAGCTCAAGACAAATGTCGAAAGGGCTGGCGTCAGTGTGTGGGCTATGGAGGATATCGAATAAGGCATCGTTGGAGCCTGTTTCTAGTTTGGTTCTGGAAAGGAAACGAGGACCAACGCTCAGCGCGTCTAGGATTAATGAATCGATGGGCACATGGAAATTGAGAGCGTAGATAGTGTATATCATAATGTACAATGGAACTAAGGATGTCAAAAACCCGCCTCAGGAGCTTTCCTGACTTCTCATCAATCTGCCGAATATGTCAGCGTTGATCCACCAAAGGCTGTTTCTGGAGCAAATTCCGAGATTCGGTTGGAATGACAGACCAAATTTTTTGTACAATTCTTGAGTACGTAGGTGTCGCTTTTAGATCTATTGTGTTGATTCGGCCATTGGTTCTAGGTCCGGACTTCTTCAGTGGCTGCGATTCAATGCAGTCTATCAAAAATAACACTAAACTATTGGGTCTGGAAGCCTCGTTCGTCCAGAACAATGTTAAGCATCGTACGTACCCAACCAACTCCAGAAGCTATTTTAAGCATCGCCTCCTCCCAACTATCTGCACTCGATCAGTGGCTGTGAAGGGCGGCACTAACAGGACCTCCCAGGATATGCAGCCTAGCGCGGATGGCGGTCAGGCGTGCTGCGGATACCTGCAGCCGTCGTGTAACCCGACGGTTTCGAAGCGGCAAACCCCCACCAACCAATAAGTGCGCTATCGCAAGGCGACGGGGTGAAATGGAACTCTGGCGCAGAAACTCAAGTGAACAGCATGCTGGCGCGGAGGATTGAAGCCTACGACAGGGATGTCTGGTTATGGTTGGATACGTGTAGACAGACATGGCCATCCCACCGACGATTATTGTGCATCTCAGCCTGATTCAACGCTGTGTGAATGAATAAATATCTGCCGGTAGCCCTGTACATCTTTTGCGCAACTAGCCTTGAGAAAAGTATGTCCAGTTGAGCTGCCGCAACAGTACCTTCTCTCACCGGATCCGCCTGGTTCTCAAACTTCACATGAAGAGACGACTATCCCCATGTCATCGCTACATAATGATGGGGTCAGCAGTCCAGGAAATAGTTTCTGTTCTGTAAGCCGACAATCAAGCCTTAACGACCAGAGCTCGACACTGCTTGGGGCCGCAGAAATGCACTCAGTATGGACCTCAACCGACGGCCGTCCCATAGGCCATGGCGTGGCCATAAAGCGCAAGCCCGCTCCATCCATTCACTTAACCGAAGCCGCACCCCTCGTATCTGACGATACATACCAGGTACCAACAAAAGATTTCCTGCCTTCAAGACCATCAAAGAATATAAAGGCATTCCACTGGTGGTGGTGGTGGGAGATTGCTGCCGCTTTCCTAAGCATCACCAGTATGTGCCTAATCATCGCCGTGCTATTCCATGTACAGAACAGACCACTGGCGAAATGGACTTGGAATATCCAGCCGAGCTCTGTGATTTCGGTCTTGACTACCATTGGTAAAACTGCCATGATGGTGCCCATCACCGCTTGTCTAAGTCAACTCAAGTGGAGACATGTGCAGTTGCGTCCTCGGCCTTTGAATCATCTGCAAGTCTTTGATGACGCCAGTCGCGGACCCTGGGGATCTGCCGTTATGGCTTGGAAGTTACCTTCCCAATCGTTTCTCGGCTGTGCTCTTGCATTTGTCACTATTGTCGCTCTTGGAATCGAGCCTAGTGCACAGAATATACTCGACTTTCCTATCCTTGAGTGGAATGCCACAACGGATCTGGCGGCCAACCTGGCTAAAGCAGATATCTACTTCTCCAAGGGTTTCTTGCAGCTTCGAGGGAATAATTGTGGGAATTTTCTTTTCTGTTTCCGGTTGTACTTTTCACCGTTGCTAACGCATGAACAGGGCAGCTCTGGGTTCCCAACTCAGACCTTCCCAACTTCCAGGCAGCTCTTCTCAATGGGCTCTCTGGCGCAGTATTTGAGCCAAACTACGACTGTCCTGGGACAGCCACGCGTTGCTCGTGGACCAACTTCACTAGTCTAGGTGTTTGTAGCAGCTTCCGCGACGTCACAGTGCAATCGACGCGTAATTGCACAGTTATCAAGAAGAATGACTCCGTACAGAACTGTTCATATGTCATCCCCGGTCGAATGTCTTCGGATCGCCCCGTGCTTCAATACTACAATAATGGACCTGCGTCACTAAAAGATAGCCAGATCCTCTACAGTGACTTTGATTTCGATGTCGAGCGGGTCGGCCAGTTAACGATCGTGAGACACAGCACGGATAAGTGGCCGGAGGACTTTGTACCACCTTCCCCCGAAATATTTCTTGCCGACTTTGACTGGTGCATCAAGACCTACGCAAACACGAGTGCGACAGCTGGGAAGCTTGATTCTGGCACGAGCGAATCGGAGATACTGAAGTTCAAAGAGGTCATCATCGACCCTGACGAAAGTTCTTTGGGTGCCGAGTCCGTCGTGTACCAAACATCGGATAATAGCACGCAGTTTGAGATGGTGCGTATGGCCAAGGAATGGCTCCCGAGGTATTTGCAGAATCTACTACGTGGGGAGCTTTTCCAGCAGGTTGCGGGTCATCGTCCTGACAAGACGCCGGGGCCAAACACGGCGATGAACTTAGAGTTTGTGCTTTTCAACGCCGCAGATATTAAAGTCGTCACCGATAATCTTGCAACCACAATCACAAACCAGATTCGAAGTGGCAGCCCAGGAGACAATCGCAATTCAACGATGCTACGGGGTGAAGTGTACAAGACGGAGACTTTTGTGGTGGTGCGGTGGCCATGGTTGATTTTGCCTGTCCTTGAGACAGTTGTGACGGCTATACTGCTGGTTATCAGCATCCTGATGACGGCTAAAGGGCCGCTGTTGAAGACTTCAGTCATTGCTTTGTTAGCATACCCGCTCTATGGCTGGGCAGATGACGAAACTGCTGTCAACGGTCACCAGACCGCTGAGAAGTTTGATAAGTTATCACAATCGTTGAATGGAAGGCTTGAAAATGGTGATGGCAACTGGAGGTTTGTTAAGGCACAAGTGTGAGTAGTGACACACACACATATGTGTACTATATATATGTCGTCACTAAGCAAATTCAATCGCTAGAACTAGTAACTTTCTCAAGCCATCATTTCGTTTTGGTGTCGTTTTAGATATCAGTTGTTTCTTTGAGACACCCGCGGGGCAACTCATAGCGTACCTTCATGTTGCCATCCTGAATCAGCAATTGAGAAACGAAGAGTCTGACATTATGAGACACATGTGAAAGCTATCATTCATTCTTCTTGTGAGTCACACATACGGATTTTTGACTTTCCGTTGATTTCCCTGGAAGCATAACGCGGAAATAAATAAGTTTAATCCCCGAAAGCTCAGTTGCAGGCACCCCCAGCAAACATTGCGGTGGTTTTAGTATCGTAGAAAACGGAGTTGGTGTCGACAAGTTAAGGAAGTTGTGCCCTGTCGCCAATAGTTCGACAACTCATTTTGCAACTATGATATTGGAGAAGCCAATATCATATTTGACAGTTTTCAGAATTATTGAAACCACAATCAGGCGCCGTTAGACACGGAGCCTACTTAGAAACAGTGCATCGTTAATACCTTGATGATGCATTTTGGGAGAGTGATGGAGATGAACCTGGCAGCCTGGTTGCAAGGGTACTAACTGGAGTAGCTGTATCACGTGACTTCGCGACAAAGCCATTTAGAGACCCCGCGTTTTTCGTGTTTAGAGGAGTCCAAGTCCTAACGTCATGACTCTGTGACAACTTGATTGGTTTTGCTTGGAGCTTCAGATTCGGATTCCTAGACCTGCAACCTAGCCATTCCTGAATTCGGTAACACTGTAAGCTTTTGTACTCAGTTCACTTCTTGCTCCGAAAACCACTCTCCGAACCCAGAAGGAAAGTGGCAAGATGGGGCCGCCATCATCAGCAGCCCGAAAGCGACCGAGTAGCACTCCGAAGAAGAGTATTACGAAGATCCCCCCTCCTAGAAAACCTGCAAGGCCTAACGCTAGTATTCTGAATTTCTTTCAGAAGGCTGAGAAGCCCGAGCCGACACTCTTTCTAGACGGTCAGGAAAAGCTAGTCGTCCAGAACCAAGACCAAGATGAGCCAGACATCTACGATGCCGAATCGTGGGAGGAGAATGAGGAGAAAGAGGAAAATAGGGACGATAGATTCAATGAGGTTGAGTCATCAATAAAAAAGAGGAGGGTGAGCCAGGAAGATGAGAGCAAAGTCACAGAACAAACGAGTCCAAAGGAATCGAAGAGCCCTGCGACTTCCGACCCCGCCCCGTCATCACCTGCGGAAGCGAAACTTCTGAAACCACAATCGAATAAGCGCAAAGGACCATTCTTGGACGAATCCGATAGCGAAGAAGAGGAGGATGTGAAGAAGCCCTCAGCCAAACCCCCCTTTGTCAGCACAGTGCACAATAGAGGCACCATTGCACCGCCTATTAAGATGGAAGAGAGGGCGATACCGCTCGCGAAGGAGACAAGCTGCCTTCCGCCGCTACTGAAGGTTGAGGACTCGATCGACAAGGAATATGCAAATGTTGACGAGTTTGGTGACTTAGACGAATATCCCGACGACGAAGACCTTGGTGGCGAAGAGTACCGCATGATGCAGTTCATGGAAGAGCAGGCACGACTGGAAGCTGAAGCGGAGGCTGCGGACGCCGACGATTACTCCGGCGAATATGTTGCTGATCATGTACGACACAGTGATGCTATGGTAGCTAACTGTCCAATATGTGATGGTAGCCTGGCTGGAATCACTCCTGACGAAGCAACAAGACATGTCAATGCCTGTCTCGACGGCAACCCGATTTCACTTCCATCAAAGTCTACTCATACACAGGAGGTTGCTGGTCCACCAATAGCCGAGCATCCAGAAGTCAACAAACGTTTTGCACGTGCGGCTGTTCCACGAGCCGGGCAAGCCAACCCCTTTAGTCTAAATGAGGCTCAGAGCAGGCCAACCTCTGCTTTTACAAAATTGATGTCAGGCCATGCGGAAGATGCTGCATGGGCAGATGCCGCGGCGGCGGAGCATTCTGCACGTGGCAAGCCCGCATATCAGCGCACCTGTCCATTTTACAAGATTATGCCTGGTTTCTATATCTGTGTGGATGCTTTTCGATACGGTGCTGTCAAAGGATGCAACGCATACTTTCTGAGTCACTTTCACAGTGATCATTACATTGGATTGACGGCCAACTGGACGCATGGGCCCATTTACTGCAGCAAAGTCACCGGGGACTTGGTAAAAATGCAATTGCGAGTTGCCGCCAAATGGGTTGTTCAGCTCGAGTTCGATCAAACAATCGAAGTTCCTGGCACCGAGGGTGTCATGGTGACTATGATTCCCGCAAATCATTGCCCTGGAAGTTCTTTGTTTCTCTTCGAAAAGACAATGGGAAAGGAGCCAAGCACAAGAAAACAGAGGATTTTGCATTGTGGTGACTTCAGGGCTTGTCCAGCTCAAGTTGCTCACCCTTTGCTGCAACCAGAGGTATATGACTCGATCTCCGGCAAAACCAGGCACCAAAAAATAGATGTTTGTTACCTTGATACTACCTACCTCAACCCTCGCTACTCATTTCCACCGCAAACCGACGTGATCCAAGCATGTGCGGATCTTTGCAAATCACTCGCCCCTATACAGAGCTCGGAGGACAACGCATGGGACAAAATAAACAGAGAATCAGGTACAAGCACCGTCAGCAAGTTTTTCACCAAGACCAATGGTGAAACAACCGAATCGAAACCTAAAAATGGTCCGAAAGAACGACTTCTTGTCATTTGCGGCACGTATTCTATTGGTAAGGAGCGCATTTGCAAAGCCATTGCTCAAGCCCTGGGCAGTAAGATTTTCGCTTCGAAGTCCAAAATACGAATCTGCTCCAAGCTTGGTGACCCAGAGCTCGAGGCGCTGATGACGGATAATCCATTGGAAGCACAGGTACACATGCAAATGCTCATGGAGATTCGCGCCGAGACCCTACAGGACTATCTTAACTCGTACAAGCCACACTTCAGCCGTATCGTTGGTTTCCGGCCTTCCGGCTGGAATTATCGTCCCCAGGGTGCCGGTAAGGTGTTGTCAGCCAATACGCAGCCCGGCACAATTCCCACAACGCAGATCTTACAAGGCAGGGCGTGGCGGTCACGTTTTGGGGTCAAGGATTTTGTGGCTCAACGTGGCAGCACTAAAGAAGCTATGTGCTTTGGAGTGCCTTACAGCGAGCACAGCAGCTTCCGGGAACTGGCAATGTTTTTGATGGCGCTTCGCATCGAGAAGGTGGTCCCCACGGTCAATATCGGCAGCGACACATCCAGGAAGAGAATGAAAGGTTGGACCGACAAGTGGCTGGCGGACCGGAGGAAAGGGGGGCTAATTTTCCCACTAGAAGGCGATGAAAATGAAGGGAAAGAGGTGGTGCTTTGGGAAGGAAAGGATGGCCGTGGGGGAGGGGTGTGGTGGTGATAGATCTTCTCAGAAGATGGACGACGTTAATGAGTATTGAGGACTCAATCAGAGCCCATGCCCTTTTAAAATTGTGGTTCACTCCATGGTTTCTTAGCTGTATATCAAGCTGTCCTACCCTTCTTGCGTCCATATCATCTAGTTGGATTACCCTTAGACGCAGTGACCTATGCCTAGTTGCCAGAAGATTTTCAGGCCGTGGCCATCCACCCCCATCTTTCGTAGGCCGGCTTTTGTAGTGCCCCGGCCACGTAATCATAATTTCTTGGATTCCACCAAGACCATACCTCTTGCAACGTGCAGAACTTATTTCGCCTTTGCTGACTGTGCGGCAGCCTCTGTTGGACTTATTAGCACAGTCTCTAGATGCTCCAAGCAGACCTGGAATCGCATGGATGGGCGAATCAGGACTCACCTCTCCGCGTCGCGTCTTCGAGAAGAGGAACGTCCACAGACCCAGCAGGAAGATGGACATAGCGTACTACAGAGCCACGAATGAAAACATTCTTGACCGAACTCTGCGGGATAGTGTTAACGGTTACCTGTCATTAAGGAGCTAATAGCTGAAGGCAACGAGAGGAAGATCCGCGCCTAGGCTGGGTATAGTGGCTGACTGACCAGGTGCGGGTACTTGAGCTCTTCGACGACAGAAATGTCATCAAGCTTGATATTGAGGTACTGGTCAACGCTCTTGAGAGTGCCACGGATCTGAATGTCGTTCTTGAGCTCGACGGTGACCTCGTGGTCTATGAGAGTCTTGAAAAAACTAGCGGGGTAAGCGCGTCAGTATTGGAGCGTTTGGGCTGTCTTCAAAGTGAAATAGCCTCTGAATTATTGATCTTTTGAAGTGAGTTGCCGGGTCGTACCTGAAGAAGAGCATGATGGGCAGTTGAGTTGGGTGCTGATTTCGATGAGCCACTCAGTGAGGTCGTGATGCTCTCAGGCGTCTAGAATACAAAGGTGTGGGGGCAGGCACTGTGTATCATACAGTGTGTGCGATAGTTAGTCAACGATAAAACGATTCCGAACACTGTATCGTGGCTGGACATGTGTGGCTGGAGGCCACTGCAAATGGAACTTGCGACTAAGTGGCAATTGGCCACTTCAAGTAAGTCCGTCTAGGGGAAGGAACCTCGAAGCGGCAACTTCATTCGCTCATTCATACCTTTACTCAACTTCAGACTTTATCTCATTTAGGTCGTCGCTCACTTCTCACTTGGTTTTCGATTTTCCATACTTTGTCTTCTTCATTGATACCCTACTACTTCTTGCACATGTATTTAAAGCAGATTCTAGTTGACCATTGAACGCTATCAAAAATTACTTCACTATGTCTCTGGTCCGGGTTACGGAATGGCGAAAGTTGCCACTGAGTCTTGCCGAGTTATGTATCGACACAACGCTACGATGCGGCCAGTCATTTCGATGGCGTAAAATTAATGACGAGTGGTTAGCAGAAGATCCCTTTGTATTTCAAAGTGAGTTTTGCTAAATATTCACGTCAGGTGTTGCACTTTGTATGGCCGCATCGTCTCATTGAAGCAAGATCCGGCTCATTTGCATTACAAGGTGATTTGGCCAACAAAGCCCTTGTATCCGCTGACTCCGCCTGTTACTGGCGACGGACCTGATGGCGACGATACGGAAGAATTACTGCGTCATTACTTGAGCCTGAAGCTCGACCTCAAGTCTTTGTATGAGCAATGGTCCAGGGCAGATCCCAATTTTCGCAAGAAAGCACCAGAATTTGAAGGAGTACGCATGCTGAGCCAAGATGCGTGGGAGTCATTGATCTGCTTTATTTGCAGCAGCAACAACAACATTTCCAGGATATCGCAAATGGTATGCTCAGCTTTTATCATCTGTGTCACTTGCTCACACCATACCAGGTCCATAAGCTATGCATACACTACGGTCCCCTTATTGGTCATATTGGAGAAGAAGCTTTCCATGACTTCCCTCCACCGGAGGCGCTGACGGGAAGTTCAGTAGAGGCGCACCTACGAGAGCTCGGTTTCGGCTATAGGGCTAAATACATTGCGCAGACGGCATCGCTCGTTGTGAACGAACGACCAAAAGGGTGGTTTGAAAGTCTAACAAACCCGGAGAACCCCTGCTACAGGAAGACTCCCGAGGGCGCCAAACTGCCTCACTGCACGTACAAAGAAGCCCATGAGCAGCTTCTTCAGTTGGCTGGTGTCGGGCCCAAGGTGGCTGATTGCGTGTGCCTGATGGGTCTGGGCTGGGGCGAGGCCGTGCCGGTAGATACACACGTCTGGCAGATTGCTCAACGAGATTACAAATTTGGCAAAGTCAAGACTAAGACGTTCAATAAGGCAACATATGACGCCGTGGGAGGCCACTTTAGGAACCTTTGGGGTCCATATGCTGGATGGGCTCACTCGGTGCTGTTTACGGCAGACCTGAAAACATTCTCCGAGCGTACAATCAAGAAAGAGGAGGACACAACTACGACGCACAAAAAGGAGGTCAAGATAGATGAGGACATGCCAATTCATGGCAGGAAACGGAAGGTTGTTAAGGCAACTATAAAAGTGGAGGTTCAGGATGAAGTGCCCGAGGTAGCGGCTAAGGAGCCGTCCCCAAAACGGCGCAGAACAAGATCGCAGGTGCAAAAGAGGACATGAAATTCGATACAAGGAGCATCACCTATTCTTTCAATAAACCGGCTGTTTTCTGTGACCATCTAAGGCATTGAAGTGGTATTTTACATGCTGATCATTTGCTGAAAGAAAAATTTTCAGTCACCAATTTCTGAGGAGCAAGTGCTTCCATTTAAACAAAATAAAGAGAGAGGAAAAATTCAGTTTATTACTTTGTGAGAAGTCCAGAGGCCGTAACCAAGAAAATTAAAGTTGGCAGGTCTTCCCAATTGCTATTTCCCGAAGGTTGAGGTGAAGAGCTCCCAGCCTTAGCGTTTCTCGGCTAAATTTCGGTCGCTTTATTCTAGGTGGCGTCGGAAAGCTTTTGCCTTACCACGCAAATTGCAAACTCTCTTGCGATTCTTTGCTCCCCTTTCAGCCTCATCAGCAACAATCAACAACTACTGATGCGCGCCGTCATCGTATGTCGACCACTTGCACCTTCACAAGTGACATGAAGCAACAATACCCATAATTCAAAATGTCTGACGCAGACTTCGAAACCGTCCGGAAGCTCCAGGCTGAGCGGAATGCTGCCGCCGCTGCGAAAAAGAGCTCGCGCACCTTCGACCCGTCCAACCAGCGATCCGACGCGGGAACCAAGCAGAAACTCACCGATAGCTTTGACACCGATCTATATGATCGCAATGGAGTTGACAAGTTTGCCGGATATAACACGTCCATCCCTGCTGGCGATGACGACGATGAGGAGATGGAGGGCGCTGATAACACGCGACGCCTCGTCGGCCAGTATACGGCCTCACGTGCCATGATCGACGAGTTCGCTCATGGAGATGGCGTCGAGGAAGACGACCCCCTGGCAGGCCGTGGCGAGCGCAGCAACCGAATTACTGATCGCGAGACCGATTACCAGAAGCGACGATTCGATCGTGTCCTTACCCCGACCCGAGCCGACCCGTTCGCTGCCAACCGCCAGGCCGGTGCTGCCGAAGATGGAACTAGCTATCGCGATGTAATGGAGATGCGCGAGCTGGAGAGAGAAGAAGAACGCGTTCGCCGCACCATTCAGGCCAAGGCGGAAGGCCGAGAAGAGGAAGATGGCAATGTTGCACAAGCAACACTGAAAGATGGCGATAAAGAAAATACCGAGGCCGGATCAACTGAGGCTGTCGCCGCAGGCAGGAAGCGCAAGAAGAGATGGGATGTTTCGTCTACTCCAGCTGAGGACGAAGCTGCCACTCAGCCTTCAGAGACTGCCAAATCCAAGCGTTCTCGATGGGACCAGACGCCAGGCCTGCCAGGGCCCGACTCTGCAGATGCGCCGAAGAAGCGCTCTCGATGGGACCAGGCGCCATCCGCCACGCCTATGGGAAACCAAGGACTCGCAACGCCGATGCATCCCACGCAAGCGAGCGGTGCTGTGCTACCGACTACTTTCGGCACGGACATTTCAGGGCGTAACATGCCGTTGAGTGATGAGGAGCTGGACATGCTCCTCCCTGGCGAAGAGCAAGGTTACAAGATCCTCGAGCCTCCACCAGGATACGCTCCTGTGCGAGCTCCTGCCCACAAGCTCATGGCTACACCGGCGCCGCAGACTGGATTCATGATGCAGGATCCTGACGCTGTCAGGTTGAGCGGAAAGCCCATGCCAGCTGAAATTCCAGGAATTGGCGACTTGCAATTTTTCAAGGCTGAGGATATGGCATACTTCGGCAAGCTTACCGACGGTTCTGACGAGAACAGCCTGAGTGTGGAGGAGATGAAGGAGAGGAAAATCATGAGGCTGCTCTTGAAAGTCAAGAACGGTACTCCACCAATGCGTAAAACCGCTCTAAGACAGCTCACCGACAATGCCAGGCAGTTCGGAGCTGGTCCTCTCTTCGATCAGATTCTCCCCCTACTCATGGAGAAGACGTTGGAGGACCAAGAGCGCCACTTGCTCGTCAAGGTTATCGACCGCATTCTGTACAAGCTCGATGATCTGGTGAGGCCATACGTCCACAAAATACTGGTTGTTATTGAGCCGCTACTCATTGACCAAGATTACTATGCCAGAGTCGAGGGCCGCGAGATTATCTCTAACCTCAGTAAAGCAGCGGGTTTGGCTACTATGATCAGCACGATGAGACCAGATATCGATCACGTCGATGAGTATGTCCGAAACACCACTGCCAGAGCGTTTGCCGTGGTTGCTTCGGCATTGGGCATTCCGGCGCTTCTGCCCTTCCTTCGGGCTGTTTGTCGAAGCAAGAAATCATGGCAGGCTCGACACACTGGTGTTAAAATCGTGCAGCAAATCCCCATCTTGATGGGTTGCGCAGTTTTGCCGCACCTCAAGGGACTAGTGGACTGTATTGGTCCTAACCTCAACGACGAACAAACCAAAGTAAGGACTGTCACCAGTTTGGCCATCGCTGCGCTCGCAGAGGCTTCCAACCCCTACGGTATTGAGAGCTTCGACGACATTCTCAACCCCCTGTGGACCGGGGCTCGCAAGCAGCGTGGCAAGGGCCTGGCTGGTTTTCTCAAGGCTGTGGGTTACATTATTCCCCTAATGGATGAGGAATATGCGAACTACTACACCAGTCAAATCATGGAGATCCTTCTTCGTGAATTCTCGTCTCCAGATGAGGAAATGAAGAAGGTTGTCCTCAAGGTGGTGTCACAGTGCGCTGGCACTGATGGTGTCACGGCAGGCTATCTTAAGGAACACGTTTTGGACGAATTCTTCAAGAGCTTCTGGGTGAGACGAATGGCCTTGGATAAACGCAACTACAGGCAAGTTGTGGAGACCACAGTAGACATCGGCCAAAAGGTGGGGGTTAGTGAAATTCTGGAAAGAATTGTGGTGAACCTTAAGGACGAGAGCGAGGCCTACCGAAAGATGACCGTGGAGACGGTAGAGAAGATAGTGGCCAGCTTGGGTGCTGCAGATATTGGTGAGCGACTTGAGGAGCGACTGATCGACGGTATACTGCATGCGTTCCAGGAGCAGAGTGTGGAAGACATCATCATGCTCAACGGGTTTGGTTCGGTTGTTAATGCGCTTGGCACGCGTTGTAAGCCGTACCTGCCTCAGATTTGTAGCACCATCCTTTGGCGGCTTAACAACAAGTCGGCAACAGTACGACAACAAGCTGCCGACCTCATCTCCCGCATTGCTATGGTCATGAAGCAATGCGGAGAGGATGCACTGATGGGCAAGCTTGGTGTTGTCCTTTACGAATACCTTGGTGAAGAGTATCCTGAAGTCCTCGGATCCATTCTGGGAGCTCTGCGATCCATTGTGACGGTGGTGGGCATTACGCAGATGCAACCCCCAATCAAGGATTTACTGCCGAGATTGACCCCTATCCTGCGTAACCGCCACGAAAAGGTCCAGGAGAACACCATTGACTTGGTCGGTCGTATCGCTGACCGTGGACCCGAGAGCGTCAATGCTCGTGAGTGGATGCGTATCTGCTTCGAGCTGCTTGACATGCTCAAAGCGCACAAGAAGGGTATTCGACGTGCCGCCAACAACACCTTCGGTTTCATTGCCAAGGCTATCGGTCCGCAGGACGTCCTAGCCACTCTACTGAACAACCTTCGCGTCCAGGAGCGTCAGTCTCGTGTTAACACAGCCGTTGCTATCGGTATCGTCGCTGAGACTTGCGCACCCTTTACGGTCCTTCCTGCTCTCATGAACGAATACCGTGTGCCTGAGCTCAATGTGCAAAACGGTGTTCTCAAGTCGTTGTCCTTCCTGTTCGAGTATATTGGCGAGATGGCGAAGGACTATGTCTACGCTGTTACCCCTCTGCTCGAAGACGCGCTTATCGATCGAGACCAGGTCCATCGCCAGACAGCTGCCTCAGTCGTCAAGCACATCGCCCTTGGCGTCGTGGGTCTTGGCTGCGAGGACGCCATGGTTCATCTCCTGAATTTGTTATACCCGAATCTCTTCGAAACTAGCCCGCACGTCATCGACCGTATTATTGAGGCCATCGAGGCCATCCGCATGGCGGTTGGACCTGGAATTGTCCTCAACTACGTCTGGGCAGGCCTATTCCACCCTGCGCGCAAGGTTCGGCAACCGTACTGGAGGCTCTATAACGATGCCTACGTCCAGGGTGCCGACGCTATGGTGCCGTACTATCCTAATCTAGACGAGGAAAAGGTTGACAGGTCGGAGTTGGCGATCATGCTATAGGCATTAAGCCTATAGCCATGAAAGTTAGGTATGACAAGAAAAGCGTATGGTTCATTCAAGGTTTCATGGTTTTCTTCACGTGCGATATCCCGGAGAGATCCGGGGGGTTCCAGTTTGACATGAGCGCCCCGGGATGAGACGATGGCAAGGGGTAGGCAAAGAATGGGCAGGCAGATAGGGATACATTGCGCGAATTGTTGTGTTGCGGGCGCAAGGTAGCCATTGTACTGAGTCATAATACTCGATCGTGTAGACTTCCTGTGGCGGAGCATCACCAACGGCGTTGTTTGGCAAATAATCACGAAGCTTTTGGTTTTTTATCGACTTTGTAGCGAACATTCTATACGTTTTCGAAATGTATCTCGGCTTCCTGGTGTATATGTGCGTGATATGACTCGAGGATATGAGATAGTTTCCATCTGTAAGACTGGAATAGCAACGGAGGTGGATTCAAGACATGGAAGCGGCACTGAGAATGAGTGCACCCAGTCCCGATAATGCCGTTCAGGGCCTCGCGTCGTTCCGATCGGTGTCAGCGAGCAAAAACAACGATAGGTGCCGACCATCCGTAATCCTCGATCCCAGAGGAACCAAACCCTCGGAGTCGACCCCGTCGCGCCGTGTTGTTCGTCCTCCTGGGGTCGCCCTCCCATGCACGTTCGTGTGGTGGCCTTACTTTTTCACGTTTTATCACGTTACCAGCGGTAGCCTTGCTTGCCGTCAGGCACAGCTCACATGTTCTATCTATATTCGGTTCTGAGAAGGAACTACTTGTGACGGGGATGGAACGGATATGTTGCTAGGGATCAGGGGTTCACGGATCGTTACGGGAGCAGAAAAGGCCGCTTTTCTATAGAATATGAACCTGTATCCCAGTTTCTTCCATGGCAGCATGAGGCAGCCATATCCTATGTATCCTTTATTCAAACTTCTGACTGGCATAACTATGACTAAGGTAACCCTTTTCTTAACTTAAGCTTCTCTTTTGGCGATGATCGACGAGCTGATTTTTGGATTGTGCGCGTGTGGATTGGCACAGAACTTTTTTTTTTCCGTCTTCTTTTCTTTCTGTTTCTTCCAAGTTGGGGCTGTTTGAGATGTATTCGGAATGCAACTGTCTTCGCTAGTGGTCAGGGTCGGTGTATGTTGCATTGCACTGCTTACTTTTGCCGTGGGGAATGACGAAAATCTTTCGCTCTCTGTTCCGGAGAAAAACATGCAAGATTCAGGTGAGCCGGTGCGGGTAGATTGTCGAGGCTTATGGTGTGAACAAATAATATTTTTTTGGGGAAGATGGAAGCTTCACGTTTCAAGTGATAGAGCCTCCATTCTTGCTTTCATCAACTTCATCGCAAGCGGGGATACTGACACGCAATTTCTTAGTTTGATACGGCGTATTTCTGATTCGGGGAGGCATGGGAAAGTGACATTTCAGTTTCTTCTGGGGCGCTCTCCCCCCAGTGCTAGACGGAGAAAAGGGGGGGGGGGGGGGGGGGGGGTGGGTGTGCTTCTGGCCGTTTTCATCCAGTCATTTCCTATGTATTCGTCCAATATGTGATCCAATGCCACCTCTGACCAGCCACTGGTTTTTGGCGTTTTTCTTAGCAAGCTTCTTTTCTTCTTCCTCTAAATCACCTTGACTGGCTCAAGTGGTCCGTCGTAAACTTGATTCACAAGTAGTTCTAATGGTCGAGAGCAACGGCCGCGAAGGCGTTGTTGATGTTGCTTCTCGCGGGAAGGGACCCTGCGGGGGATCTGCAAGCCCGCGTCGGCCGATGACAGCAGAGTTGAGGCTAGCTAGTGATAGTTCTGAGCTGTCTGAGGCGGTGCTGAAGGCACTAGTCGCCCTACAGAGAGGTACATGCGCAAGCCATTCGCGAATTTCAGTGTCTGTGGCAGAAGATCGACAACATTCCCAGGTGTTTTTACAAGACTTACTTTCTTTAATTTTTTCCTTCCCGCGTTCTGCTATTGATGAGTTTAAATACCGTGCCTTGTCGAATCTGGCCATGACCAAGATGGTAAGAACTGTCTCGGTCAATTCGGCCAAACTCACTGATGGGGCCGGGATCTTTACTTAGTGTCACTGGCGAATCTCACGACAGGAAATCAGACATGTCCTAGACAGCGAAAGTGGAAGCCGATGAGGTTCAAGTCATTGAGACATTCCGCCTCATTTACATTCCGGCTGCATTCAACCAGAAAGCAATAAGGGAAAGCCCTGCCTAAGGTGCAAGGTACGCGTCAACCGGACCACCGTGCTGTGTCTCATCTGAACAAAGATGGAACGGGCGTATGGCTCTGCAGCAGACCTGATGGGACGACGCGCCGTTTTTTTTGTAGGGCGTGTGGCGATCAACACCACCAGAACTGGTATTTTCGCAGGCACGAGAGCCCCTTCATGATAACCTTACACGAAGTAGATAATCGCAACCCGCAGGTGGTATTCACCCTCGATAACTCAGCCTTGCCCGTGTGTCATCCCATCTGTGAGGGCCATGATCGTCATAGATCGTCAGCGTCATCAACTCCTCGTCCACCTTCCCACGAGCAGTCAACTTGTTCGACACATGGTCTAAATGTAGATCCGGGAGTTTCCTTCACCCAGAAGATCCCACGTCAGACCGGAAAAAAAAAAAAAAAGGCTGAAGTTACATGCACGGAGTTAGGACGACTGTCCGTTTTTTTTTTTTTTCCTTCCCTCATTGCATAAGGAGTTGATGTAGGCTGAGAATTCGAACCAAAGATGCTAGCGTGCTAGTGACTGCCTTTTTCTTATTGTGTACACCTGGGCGACCAAGGGTACTGGCATGCGAACCAGATACAGCTTGTTCCCGCTAAACAAATGTTGGCATCACAATTAGCTATGTTGAGATATATTGACCAGACGCATCCGCGATTCATTTGGAGACATGCGCAGGATCACATCGACCAACAGCGACGGAGCGCCCTTACACATAGTTGTGTACGTCACTGTATCGAGATGGTTTTGCCCGCACCAACCGGTGTCAGCGAAACCTTATCACAGACGGACCCGGGGAGGAAAGATGGTAAGTGGCGCACAACGTCTCCGGATTGGATACGCCGAATTTGGGCGCCGATGCAAGTATCTGAAAATTACGAGTTGTGACGACGTATGAGGAGTAAGGCAGAGGGTAGATTGGGCGGAGAGGAGAGTATCGTGACGAGGGGTGGTCTGAAAACTTGGGACGAAACGGTCCTGGGGAAAGCAAAGGAAATGAATTCTAGGTGCACCAGGGGTTCATGATAGTTTAAGGGACTGGACTGCAATTTATCAGCTGAAAATGAAGTAAGCTCGGAACTAAAGCAAAGTCGGTTGAGGTGGAAGAGGGCTTTCGCGGGGGGGTTTCAGAAAGAGCAAGGCAAGCGGGCTACGTCATTGAGTGTTTCGAAACAGATCCCACGATGCCCCTTCCTCAGTTGGTTTCCCTTACGTTTTGGGAGTGTAAGCTGTGGCAAGCACAGCAGCCAGCTGTCAGTCAGCTCACTCTAATTCTGCGACCGTACGGATGGAATACTTTGGCTGAGATGGCTTCTCTTGTCATTGCCTGTCGCACATTCACCGTGTGAACGCCGTCCTTAATTTTGACTGTTTGGGCTTCTTTTCGTAGCTGCCTCACCTTGCTCATCCGGCTTCAGATTTCCGTATCTCCCCAAGGTAACCCTGCCTACTTCACTACGTAGTACCTGGCCCTCTCAGCAATCAATGGTAAGCTTCGGTAAAGCACGGGGGAAGAGAAGGGAAGGCTTGACCTGATTCAAACGAACCTTGCAAAGACAAAATTTTGAGTCAACCTCGACTTAACTGAGCCGCACCATCGCCTTTTTCGACCACGCAACGTCAGGTCCGTCCGATCATACACAAGAGTCCGTCCCATTTTTCTCGTTCTTCTCTTTCTTTGTGTTGCGATCATGACTAGCTGAATTTCACCCACTCGCCGTCCAGCGCATTATTGCCGGAACTGGAGTCATGAGAGGAGAGATCAGTACGAATGCAGATAGTTGACTTTGCACCTTCCAGCGAGCCCTTCATTTGCTCACCACTAAGCTTTTTGTGTCATCGCCGATGCACGTCTTGAGCAATGGCATCGCTTCCAGCTTTTTGTCCCTGTCCGAGTTCTTCACCATCCGCGACTCGAGCTAAGCAGGCACACCACTCCCACTAGAGCCCTTGCTCCAATAGCACCGCGCCTTGACCTCAAAATGACGCCGCTGTACAGTAGTAGCTCAGCGGCTATTCTGCCTTTGGCCTGGCCTGTTCAAACGGTCGTTCGCGTTGTCCTGCGATGGCATTCCGGCTGCAGCGCCTTCCGCCATTAGAGAGCCTTAGACATGGCGCCTCCTTGGCCTTGTATGACTTGGATCTTCGCCTTGCTTCACTCTGCCATGGCAAACTGGAGCTATGTAATGGGATCAACACGAAAGTCCCAACAACGTTAGGTAGACGTTCGTCCCGTCTCGGTAGGCGTCGCCCAGGGCGCCAGTCTGTCAACCACATGTCTGCAACAGGTTACGCGCGTCACCCGTCAGCCCTGCTCCACCTGCGCCAAAATACTTACAGCACTCACAAATCATCAAACCGAACGTGCGGCATTGACCAGCAAGCGACTTGCGGTGTGGTGTTCCCCGTTTTGCCTTTCCCCTTTGCAACCACGGGTCACGGATGCTATGAACACCGGGTGGGACAGGAACAAATGCTCCTCCCCCGGTCCCAACCAGCTATTTTTGAGTCGACCTGATGCCATCAAGTATCTCACATGGACAACGAAGGAAGAGGAGTCACCTTGTCTCGCATTCCCCGGCGTCTACACTCTCAGACGGGAAACGCTTCGCATCTTAGAACTGCTGCTCCATTCTTCTCGATGCAACGCAATTGCAGAAAGAGGGCCAGAAATTTGAGCGAGAGAAAGAAGACATGAAATGAACCCACCACGGGCCATCCATCTCACGACAACGCTTTGATGGACCCACAGGGAAATTCAAATTAATGCCTGCCCGCAGGGTTCCTGTGTTGCATGGCAGTGTAGTCTACGGAACCGACAGTCGACAACAGCAGCAACAGCAGCAGCAGCAGGCAATGGGCACTGGCACCAGCATGTAATGCCTCCGCAGTTGCGCAGGGACACAATACGGCACGACACCCCTAGCCGCTAGAATCTTCACTATGCCTTTGTTGTCGTTGTGCTGATTTCCAAATCGGGGTTAAGCTCACTGGAACAGATTAGAATGGGGAAAGTGACCATTTTGGCAAAATTAAAGCTCTGATGGCGAGTGTCGAATGCATATCCCGTCCTTGCCGTCCCGTTACAGGCGCCTTACGGCACTTTCTCGCTGTAATTAGGCTCCCGATCGCCTCCAGAGACAACGCCCAGAACGACAGCACTCCAGACTTCAGGTACCCTAGCACCAGGCACAGGACCTTGGTGAAGAGTGAGGCTGCCACGGCTGGTCCGTCTGCAGGACAGCAGAAAGCGGTTATGATCGACAATCCCCGCTGTGGACCATGATCTAAGGCCCCTGTAAACGCTATGGTGCATATGGAATAGCGTCCCCATACCGTTCAATGCCCAGGGAGCTTTGCAAAGTGGTTAGTGGCCTCTAGCAAAAGGACAGACCCGCCTTTGGGGAATCCTGGTCAACTCTGAGACAGACCCTGGTCACTTCAATCAGCAAGGGGCTTCCTGATGGCTCGCCCTCCCGTCTCCTCCGCTGTCACCCGCAGCGGTCATCAACCCAACCGCACACCTACGACACCTACCTCGCGGCACTGGCTGGCACTAGATTGGGATCCCCTCCATTAGACGCACTCCTTTCATATGCATCCGCCAAGGGTTGTTTTGATGAGTTTCTCGTACTCAGCAACCCGCGATGCACTTTGTACTTGCACTGCCTTCCTTTCTCACCACCCGTCACTAGTCACCCCATGCCCACTGTACCAGGCAACCCTATCTAACATGTTTCTTGACATTACATTCTTCTCGAACTTTAATCTACCGCCAGCGTTGCATCCGAGGCTTTGTGGGCCGAGTCTTTGTCCTTCTTGAGATGCCATGACATCCAACTTTGGCAGCAGGAGACATCCACTCTGTTGCCGCATGAGGCCGCTCACCCACCCATCCGTTGGAATGGGATCCGTAATTTGACAGATTCCTACAGATTGTTGCAGACGACAAATAATGTTTTCCACAATGCGACCCTACTATTGTTTGGGATGGAAGATCAGTCAGGTGCCGGAGCGGCGCGGATTTCTGGGCGGTGATCGACGCCGTCATCATCTCGGGTATCTGGATCAGGTGGCTCTTCACCCTCGACTGACAGGCACCTTCTGCCACCTCTCAAGAATTCTCCTGTGCGTTCGGCCCTATTC